GAAACATTTTTAAGGTTTAATTACTGCAGTGTGTTTAACTTAGAATTTAAAATCTTCCATTTTGTTGATAACCTGCTAAAGCCTCCTATAAGTGATTAAAGTTCAACTAACAGAGTAGGTTAGAAGTAGATAATCTACACACCAGAACAGCTTCATTAAGCTAAAGTTGTTTTGGTGCATAGAATATAACCCTGCTAATGCTCCGGGTAATATAAGATGCATTACGAGATAAAGGAAGCATTTCCTTGCTCTGCCATTGCTAAAGCATCTTTCTAAATGTGTTCGGGATCACTCTAGGACAGTGGTTTCCAAACCGGTCCTCAAGGTACACATACCAGTCCAGGATTTAATAATTACCCAGCTGTGTCTAAGGTGTTTTTATAAAATAATATTTTTTAAACACCTTGACACAACTGGGTAATTCCTAAATCCAGGACTAGTAGACGTGCTTTGAGGACTAGTTTGGAAACCACTGCTCTAGGATCTTAGGGTGTCCCCCCTCCCTTCTATCCCATGCAAAGATATTTTAAGGCGTTGAAATATTGCTTTTTTTGCATTATACTCTTGTGGATTTATGCCATGTCTGTACTACTCAAACTAAACTGGCCCAGCAAGGAATTTTTCCTTTATTTTGTAAAGGATCTACGCGAGCGAGCGCAGTGTACATACTTTATATCCGCTAGTTAAACAACTTCAGGAAGCATTTGATCATGTGTTGGAGAATTTTAAAAGTAAGTGGATACTTATGTATAAATAGATCCTTTAGAAAGTTACATCTTTCTGATACATTGTTAACACTGGACCAGCTGCTCAGAAGAGATACAGGAATGTATTCCCTAAACACCAAACTGAAGTGAATTGAAAGCACAAAATACAGACTTCTAAATCAAAATGTCACTGTAGCAGAGTTGGGAGAATTTATACCAAACCAGCATTTTTTTACTAGCTTTTTAACCCCTTAAGGACACATGACATGTGTGACATGTCATGATTCTTTTTTATTCCAGAAGTTTGGTCCTTAATGGGTTAAACTTGGTTTTCAGTTCACTACAACTACTGAATAAACCCTATAGGAGTTTTTAAATATTTACAAAAAAAATCTTGCAAACTGAAACATCAACCAAAACATTAAGGGAAATATAGATGGTTTGAAGAAATTCTCCAATTCAGAAATGATACCATTCTACGTATAGCCCAAAGCTGTACGATCAGACTTTCTCGCTGTAGAGAGAAAGGTCAGAATTAAAAGTAAAATTTTAAATGAAAGGCCTAAATAGCCAAACTATTGTAAATCGCTGTGAAATAAGTTGGCGATATATAAATTCCAATAATAATAATAATAAAAACACCACTGACTTGGAGAATGTTTCCAATTTAGCTATTTTGACCTACAATCTGAAATTCACATTGTATTCCCTGGCAATTCACATTTTAACAAAGACAAACCCCAAAACCTCTGTACATGATTAGAGAACCATGGAGGCCTCCTCTCTAATCCTGCTTAGTGACACACAGAGCAATATTCAGACTATACTAGGAGGAACCCGCCATATTTGAAGAATCCTAAACAATAAGGCTGATCAGGAAGCTGGCTCAAAACCCAGGACTAGGGGGACTAATACTAGACGGGACCCCACAGCGCGCACACGTCCCTCTCTCTCCCCGGCCCCACAGGGCACTGGGAGGGAGGGGAGTTCACCAGCAGCCCAAGGAGAGAAAATTCAAAACGAGTCTACTCAACCTCGTCTTGGCTTTCGCCGACACAACCATGGAGACCGACCGGAACACTGCGCATGCGCAGGAAGCTCACTCAACTGAGCCCAACCGCACTCCGTACCTCGGTGGAACGCAACCCGGAAGCAGATTTAGTCTAGTTTAATTACATAAATAAATAAAAGGATTATGGTGAATTATACATGTGGGGAAAAAAAGCTTTATGTGAACTATCCTTTGCCTAAAAGACTATTAATTAATCAGGAGATTCAAAACCGAAAATATACATTTTATTTTTTTTTTTTAAATACTGATTTGGGGGGAATGTCCAGCTCAGCTATAGTCACTGCATGACTGCTTTAATCTACAATACAGTTTTGCTGTTCGGTTTTTAGTTGAATGTTTAGTAAATCAATCCATCTTGAGGCACAGAACTGCGTGGGAGGCATATAAAAGACATGAGGATACATGTGAAACCTTATAGGGTGAAGGGGTCAATAATTACTTCAATATTCAGTCCCCCCCCCCAAAAAAAATTTTTTTATTATGCTATGGTTTTGCAATAAAGATAACCTAGGAGGTAACATTAGAATAAAAGGTAAACATAAACAAAATTTCTTTAACTAAACAGCAAGTTCAGATTTAACAACAAAATAAAATTACATAAATTTAAACATTATTTGTAATTGGTACAGAGCTTTAAAGAAATATATACATTAACCTATAAGTGTATTGCATAACGAGACGTGGATTTAATAACATATATTATCCTATATCTACATATACCTGGACAGGCTCTCTTTGGATGGTGTTGTGGGTGGAAGAGGCCAAAGGTAATAGAGATGAAGAAATAGTTAAAGTCCCACAGATGTATGGAGTACATCTGGATATACCTTGGCTGACACTTCCACCTGTGATACCAGAAATTGGGAATTGTTATATATACAGGCAACTAAAGGGTTAAAAAGCCTTTTTTCCTAGTTAGGTCCTTCTACTTCTGCAGGGGTTAAAAGCTACATTTTAAATCATGATTATGTCCCCAGTTTCTGCAACTGCTTTTGAAATGTTTCTTTTGCGTTAACCTTGGAGATAAGACCCTCAAGTAAAGCAATTGTCCTTTGTATTAACTAACAGCATACGTAATGTTCTGCACTGAAACTTTATTGATTGGTTGATTTTGTCTTTTGTCGTAGAAACCCCTAAGAAAGCTGTATTTTATATATACGCTGTACCCACATTAAAAAACACCACTATTTTTCTTGAACTCCATAATGATTGTTGTACATTAATTGTTCTCTGCAGTGAACATACATAAAGAGATTAAGGAAAGTAGAATGTGTTAAAAGCATAAGTCCATGGCAGCTTAAAGGGTTACAGACCCTGTAAAATTTTGCAGTCTAACAGTAATATAATGTTTTCTTTTCTCTGAAGCACAGTAGTTATGTAGTAATATAAAGGGACTCTCCAGTGCCAGCAAAACATTTCTGTTTTCCTGGCACTGCAGTGTCCCTCTCCCTCCCACCCCCATCCCATGTTGCTGAAGGGGTTAAAACCCCTTTAGTTACTTACCTGAATCCAGTTGCGATGTCCCTCGGTGCTGGGTCAGGGTCCGCCCACACTCCTCCCCCGTCGACGTCAGGGGAGACCTAATGCGCATGCATGGCAGTTCCCGCACGTGCATTAGACCTCCCCATAAGAAAGTATTTTTTAAAGGACCACTCTAGGCACCCAGACCACTTCAGCTTAATGAAGTGGTCTGGGTGCCAGGTCCAGCTAGGGTTAACCCATTTTTTCATAAACATAGCAGTTTCAGAGAAACTGCTATGTTTGTGAATGGGTTAAGCCTTCCCCTATTTCCTCTAGTGGCTGTCTCATTGACAGCCGCTAGAGGCGCTTGCGTGATTCTCACTGTGATTTTCACAGTGAGAGCACAAAAGCGTCCATAGGAAAGCATTATGAATGCTTTCCTATGTGACCGGCTGAATGCGCGCGCAGCTCTTGCCGCGCGTGCGCATTCAGCCGCATGGGAGGAGAGGAGGAGGATCGGAGGAGGAGAGCTCTCCGCCCAGCGCTGGAAAAAGGTAAGTTTTAACCCCTTTCCAGAGCCGGGCGGGAGGGGGTCCCTTAGGGTGGGGGCACCCTCAGAGCACTATAGTGCCAGGAAAACGAGTATGTTTTCCTGGCACTATAGTGGTCTTTTAATGCTTTCCTATAGGGATTATGGCAATGCTGGAGGTCCTCCTCATGCATAGTGGGAGAACATCCAGCGTCGTTTAAAACACTTTTCATGTTCTAAGAACACGGAAGTCCCTCTAGTGGCTGTCTGATAGACAGCCACTACAGGAGGACTTAAAGGGATTCTCAAATGCCAGGAAAACTAATAGTTTTCCTGGTACTACAGGACCCTGTAGTGCCCCTCTCCCTCCCACCCCCCATCCCAAGTTGCTGAAGGGGTTAAAACCCCTTCAGTGACTTACTGGAGTCCAGTGCTGATGTCCCTCGGTGCTGGTCAGGTTCCGCCTACTCTCCTCCCCACCGTCAGCCGGCAGGGGAAGACCTAATGCGCATGCGCGGCAATGGCCGTGCACACGCATTGGACCTCCCTATAGGAAAGCATTATTCAATGCTTTCCTATGGGGATTTCGGTGATGCTGGAGGTCCTCACATAGCGTTAGGACGTCCAGCATTGCTTAAAACACTTTTCGTGTTCTAAGAACACGGAAATCCCTCTAGAGGACTTAACCGTGCAAGGTAATTATTAATTACACTTGCAGGGTTAAGGGTAGTGGGAGTTGGCACCCAGACCACTCCAATGGGCACAAGTGGTCTGGGTGCCTGGAGTGTCCCTTTAACATTCTACAGTGCTTCTATTTTTTCCTTTGATTCTCAGCCAATCCAATATCTGGACATCATTTAAAAGATAATCCAAAGTGTTTTAATGTAGAAGATTAGACATTAGTGATACTAATCTTATTTAAATGTAACGAGAAGACTAAAAATGTATTAAATGTTATTCCAAACTGATATGTAGTGTGATGATGAGTGTGCATGCAGCCAATTCGATACTATGCACAGTTTAGGTAGTTGTTTTTTTCTTCTTTCTGCAGTCTGATCAATGCGCCTTTCAGATCAGGCATGACTAGTGGCTGAAATTCGATGCGCTCTGTGAACAGGACTGCTCCTTGTAGACACGTGGTTGGTTTGCACAGCTACGAGCAGACCCAGTTTCCTTGTCTGATTTATTTATATGCACGTTTGTCTCCCGACTTGGCGATAAATTGGCAGCTATGTCGCAGATACAGGCGAGATTCTTTACCCAGAATCAGAAGTAAGTAATACAGAAAGTACTCAGATCTCTTCAACTGTGATTGGAATTATTTTAGTTTATGTGGCCTGTGACGCCTCGTAGACCATTTCATTCAATGCTTAATGTTTAAATAATCAATGCTGTTGTGTTATTTTACACAACCTTTTATTATTCAGGGCAGACCACACACATTCCTAAACCCATGGTTTTACTCTGTTAATGTATATTTGACCATTTTTGGCGAATGTCTCATGAGTGGCTTTGCTGTTTTAACAGATCAGTTCCTGCTAGTAATGGTTAACTTTGTGGATTGCAATTCTTAAGATTCTAAGCCAACCAGAACTACAGTAGTGCCAAAGGTCCTTTTTTTTTTTTTTTTTAAATCCATGTTATATGATATAGTCTGTTGCTAAAATAACCTTCCTGGGAGATATTCTTTTACCTGGAGTTCTTTGGGAGTCATCTTTGCAAGAAAAAATAATTTTTGGCCATGCCCAGTATATTACCAGAATATTATATGCTGTTTATGTATCATACAAGCAAATGTTCCTTTTCCGTATTCATCCAATTGCTAGATATTTAATTACCAAATAGGCAAGCTTGTTATTATATTTCATCGTGTTATATTATATATGTGTAATATTTGAAGAAAATATTTGTTCGAATTAAGAATTAACACATTTTTATATCACAATTTGTTTTAGGCATAGGATCGATGATGTTCCATTCTCCATTCCAGCTTCTGCTGATACTACAGATCTTAGTAATGTTATCAACAAAGTTCTTGAAAGCAAGAAGGGTAAGAGATTGTCTAATGATCAGAGACTTAACTATGTAAACCTTAATGAATATGAAACATAGCACATATAATTATGGATAAGTGTTTATCTCTCAAGCCATGTGTCATTGGATCATAAGTCTGTAAGGGAAGCCATTAGAAAACTGTGCAAGAGGTGAGACAGATGGCTATTCTATTATGATGCATTGGGATACATTTTTTTTTTTTAAAGATTCTTTATTTTCATTTTCAGGTTTCATTTGCACATTTGAACATTTTGTACAGAAAGAAGAAAAGAACGGGGTGGTTATTTGGGAGAAACTAGTTTGGTACGACATTAGTTCGTTTGCTTTCGTGTCTGGCACTTTGGGCCGAAGCATCATTACTATCCCGTCTGTCGCGGATCCCTGTTTGTAGGGAGTCGTATATTCAGCTCCTCTGTTTGTGTTGTTAGTATTCATGCTTCAATGAGGAGGTCGTAGTTGGGGTGCTGAGCGTTGTGTTGGTCTTATTAGTTAACTGTCTGAGGATAGTATGGCGCTTGTATATCTGTTCCGCCAGGGTTGTCATGGATGGTCGTTTTTAGGTGGGGGTTGGCGTCAGTGTAGGTTGCTGCTGCAGGGTGGTTAGTTGTGTGGCATTGGGCAGCAGTACCTGACTCGTGAGTAAGGTCACAAGTCAGGGGATGGGTAAGGAAGGGGGGGTGGGTGTGTCGGGGGTGGGGGGAGGGGGAAAGAGGGGGTGTTCGATGGGGCTGGTGGTAGGGTGCTGCCCTCCTGGTTACCCCCCGGAGCTCCGATTTGGTGGATTGGGTTGGGGGTTGGGTAGATGGGCTGCATTTTGTCTTTTGTTATGGGTTGATGTTGGTGGAGTGGGTTGTGTGGTAGCCTTGTATCACCATGGGAGTGCGTTGTGTCCTTCTAGCCATGGGTCCCATACTTTATGAAATGAGTTTGGGGTGTCATGGACCTGTGCTGTCAGCTTATCCATGGCTATGTTGTCAGTTATTTTAGTGTTTATTTGGAGTTGAGTGGGTATGTGTGGTGTGGACCAAGTTTCCGCTATAGCTCTGCGTGTGGCCAGTGCTATTCTAGCTATGAGTTTGTTTTCATTGCGGGTGAAGGTATCAATGGGCTTAGAGAGTAGGAGGGCCCAGGGGTCCAGGGGTATTGGCTTGTTAAGGATTCTGGTTAATAGTGTTGTAATTGTTTTCCATAGAGGAGTGAGTTTGGGGCATGTCCACCAGCAGTGGAGGAAAGTGCCGGTTTCACCACACAATTTCCAGCAAAGGTTATTGGGTAATTGGTTCATTGCCTTCAGGCGGAGGGGGGTGAGGTACCACCTAAAGAGCATTTTGTAAGCTTGCTCTTTGTGGGTGACACAGATTGATATGGATTTTATGGATGCCCATATGTCTGCCCATTCGGTGGGATCCTCAAGAGGTCCCAGGTCGTTTTCCCATGCTGCTATGTAAGGAAGGGCCACCTGAGTGTGGTGTGTGGTTAATGTTATGTATAGGTTTGAAATTTGGCTCTTTCTGGCTGGAGAGCGGAGGGTATCCCTCTCAAACTCAGTTAGGGTCGAGGTGGCTGCCATGCGTACCGTATCCGTTGCTGCAAAGCTTCGGAGTTGGAGATATCGAAAGTAGTCGTAGGTGGTTAGGGATTCAGGGTTGGGGATTTCTGAGTATTGTAGGAGCTTACCATTGGGGTAGAGATGTCCTAGTCGGACTATGTCTCTGTCCTCGAAGTGGGCGTAGTGTCTTGGTGTGAGGCCTGGTGGGAACATTTTGTTGCGGAGAATCGGTGTGAGGGGCGATAGGCCCGTGGAGAGATCAAACTTATCGCTGAGGCGATCCCAGAGATCTAGGGAGTGAGTGATCGTTGGTGACGTGGGTGGTGGCAGTGGTCTGTATGGTTTTGGGGTCCACATATATTGGGAGGGATGGTCCCAGCCGAAGATGAGGTGTTCCAGGTCTACCCATCGTTTGTGGGCAGGGGGGAGGTGCCAGTGCTGTATTTGTGTTAGGTGTGCGGCGTGTAGGTAGTGTGTGAGATTAGGGAGGCCTAGCCCTCCGGAAGGCTTGGGTACGTATAGTGTGGATCTGCGGACTCGGGGTCTCATTCCATTCCAGATGTATCGGTCTATGGCTGTTTGCAAGTGTTTGAGGTCTGATTTTTTACAGGGGATGGGAAGCGCTTGGAAGGCATAAAGGAATTTAGGTAGGAGATTCATTTTGACCGACGCTATTCTTCCGAGCCAGGAGATGGACATCGGTTTCCAGCGTTCTAGGTCCGAGTACGCTTTGTGCAGGAGGGGGGGATAGTTGGCAGTGTATAGAGTGGTGGTGTCGTTGGTGATTTGGATACCTAGGTATGTGATCTCTGTTGGGCAGATATGGAAGGGGAAGTTACTTCTCAAGGTGGAGGTAGTGATATTGTTGAGGTTTAGCGGCATGAGGTCTGATTTTGTGGCATTTAATTGATATCCTGAAATCGTTGAGTATTCTTGTAGGGTTGACATTAGGGCCTCTAGGGTTGGGAGGGGGTTAGTTAGGGTTAGGAGGATGTCGTCTGCGTATGCAGCGACGGTGAATGTTTCGTCCCTTATCCTGATTCCCTCGATTTGTGGGTTGATCCGTATGGCCTCTAGGAGGGGTTCGAGGGAAATGGCGAATAAGAGGGGGGAGAGGGGGCATCCTTGACGGGTGCCGTTTAGTATCGGGAAGGAGGGGGGGGTGATGTTGGGGATTAGAAGTTGGGCAGTAGGCGTATGATACATGGCTTTCAGGAATTGGGTAAATTCTGGCGGGAATCCGAATTTATGGAGTACTGCATAAAGGTAGGGCCAGAGGAGGCGATCAAACGCCTTTTCGGCGTCCAGGGATAGTATGATCGCTGGGAGGCGTTTTTGGTTGGCGTACCATATTAGGTCAATGGTTCTCCGCGTGTTGTCTTGTGCTTGTCTTTGTGGTATGAAGCCTACCTGGTCCGGATTAATGAGTTTCGGTAGGTAGGGGTTAAGTCTAGTTGTCATGACTTTGGTCAGTATTTTTAGGTCAATGTTTAGGAGGGAAATGGGGCGGTAGTGGCCTGGTTCGTCGTGGGGTTTTCCTGGTTTGGGTAAGAGAGTGATGTTAGCTTGTGTCATGTCAGCGGGTAGTGGCTCCCCTTGTAGCATCGCATTAAAGACTTTGCTTAGTCTGGGTGTAAGTATGTCCCCGAAGGATTTATAGTAGATGGCCGTTAACCCGTCGGGGCCTGGGCTTTTATTAGGTTTCAGGGTCTTTATTGCCGCTATTATTTCCTCTGGAGAGATGTCTGCTGCTATCCTCGATCTGGCGTCTTCGGTGAGGGAGGGGAGGGAGAGCCTCCTAAGGAGGTTATCCGTTTGGGATTGGATCAATTCTGTTGGGGGATCTGGGGTATGGTTGTATAGAGAGGTGAAGTAGTGTCGGAAGACTTCCCCTATCGTGTGTGGTATGTCGCTCATCGCACCGTTTGAAGTGCGGATTTTTGTGATACGCTTTGTTTCGGTCAAGTTTTTGAGGCGCTTTGCTAGCATGGAGTCTGCTTTATTGCTTTTCTCGTAGTATTTTTGTTTGGTCCATGCTAGAGCTTTAGTGGTAGCTGCAAGAGAGAGGCTTTTGAGCAGGGACCTGGCTGTTGTGAGTTGTTCAAGGTGTAAAGGGGTCGGGTTGCGTTTGTGGAGGGTTTCTAGTCGGCCTATTTCGGTTATGGTTTCCATTAATAGTTTGTTGTGTTGTTTTTTACGTGCAGTCGCTAGAGCTATCAATTTGCCCCTTATTACCGGTTTATGGGCCGCCCATAACGTGATTGTGGAGGATACAGAGGGGTCATTTAGGGTGAAGTATTCTGTGATGTCTTTTGCAATGGATATGGTCACTAGTTTGTCTTGAAGAAGTTGTGAGTTGAGTTTCCATGTCCATGGGCGTAACATGTTTGGGATGGAGAGGGTTAGGGAGATGTCGGCATGATCCGACCAGGTGATGTGACCAATGGATGTGTGTGTGATTCGCGAGGTGACGTTTGGAGAAACCAGAAAGTAGTCAATGCAGGAGTAGGTGTTGTGGGGGTGGGAGTAGTATGTGAAGTCTAGGGTTGACGGGTGTTGGGCTCTCCAGATGTCTAATAGGGTGTGTGTATTTAGAAAATTGGAGAAGAGGGTGTCGTTTACGGAGGATCGTGGTTCATTCCGGGGCCTGGCAGTGCGGTCCAGGGTTGGTTGATGTGTGGCATTGCAGTCACCGCCTATGATGGTGAATGTGGCACGGTGTGCTGTTAGGTGGGCGGAGAATGTTTGCCAGAACAGTGGTTCAGGGGTTGTAGGGGCGTATAGGGAGGAGATGGAGTAGGTCGTGGGGCCTATTCTGCCGGTGAGTGTGAGGTACCTCCCGTGTTTGTCCGGGAAGGCCTGGATGTCGGTCAGTGGGCATGATGATTTGAGTATGATGGCCACCCCTTTGGTTTTTGCATCCGGCGAGTTAGCGAGGAAGGTGCGGTTGTAGTGTTTGTTCTTGAGTGGGAAGTGTTTATGGGGGGTGAAGTGGGTTTCTTGGATCATAAGGATGTCCGCTTTTTGGCCGTGAGCCCAGCGTAGAAGGGAGTGTCGTTTTTTAGGGTTATTGAGGCCTTTAGCGTTTATGGAGACACAATGTAGATTAAGTGGCATGGTACGGGTTATATCGCTCGTAGAGCGTGACTTGTGGAAGAGGGGTACTATGGTCAAGAGGGGGTTTTGGAGCCCAGGTGGTCCCCAGAGGGCAGCGTTGGGACTTAGTGGGGCGGGTGAAGTGGGGTAGAGGGTGGGTTTGCTGGGCTTACTACGGTTGCCAGCAAGGGTGGACTGTGTTGTCCGCGGTCTCTCGGGCCTGGAGGGTCCAAGGCCGGCGGTACTGGTCTAGTCGCGGGGGGAGAGGTGGTCGTCTACTTCAGGGCATGTGGCAGGCAATTTTCTGTTTCGTTTGGGCAGTCGTAACTTATAACAGAACTTAGGTGGGGTCAACTTAGGATGCAACAGGTGGGAGTCAGGTTTTCCCCCGATCCCTGCCTCCTCCCTCCAAGTGTCCAGGGCCGGAGGGGGGTGAGGGCATGGGGTTAGGTGATGTTGAGGAGTAGGTGGGGGCTGATCTCCTGAGTCCTGCTTGAACTATTTACATGTCGAGCCGCACCCCTTATCGTCTTTTAGGTCTTGTTGAGTGGTGTGTTAGTAATTCTGTTGGTGTGGGTGTTGTTAGTGTGGTGCATGGGTCGGGCTCCAGTAAGTGTGGTCCCTCTATGGGATATCGTCTGGCACAGCAAGAGTGGTTATGAGCTATGGGTTTTCAGCATGCACTTTCCTCCGGCTGTGGAGCCGTCACGGCCCGCCACCCCCCCCGCCCCAATGAGGGGGGGGGGGAAGGCCGCCAGGGCCCCAGGCCGTCCGCTCCCTCCCGCAACTCGTCCCCAGATGTTGGGCGCTCCCCTTGTGTGTAGCGACAATACTCGAGGACAATGCTTCATCTTGTATTCCCCTGGGGCCTCCCCCCTCCACGGAGCCAGGACCGCCGGCCCCCACCGCCAGGGGAAGGGAGTGGAAGGCCACTGGGGCCGCCCACCCCCCCCCAGGCGCGGGGCCCAAGGCGCCCCCAACCCCGCGGCCGTCGTCAAGCTAAGGGACCAGTCCCGAGCGCCTCCTAGGGTGCACTCCTTCCCCGGGGTCCGGGGCCCCCAACAGTCCCCCCTCCCCACCGCCCTTCCCCGCACCCAGGCCCAGAGTGTCCCATTGTGGGTCTTACTGTGCGCCCAATGTCAGTTGAGTTCATGTGGCACTTCATCTTGTGAGCTGGGGAGTGAACAACCCTCGGGGGGAGTCCTCTCCCGGTGCTGCCGAGGGGAGCGGTGCAGCATTCCGGCTTGCCACGTGGTCTTGCCGGAGGGCAACAGGTCCAGGGTCAGGCGGAGGGGAGCCCGGTGGTGAACTGTGCCAGCGGTGGGCGCGATCATTGAGGTCTGCAGATCTCCGGTATCACCCCGGGCCCCTTAGAGGCAGTCCATGCACTGCTGGTGTGTTGATTCGGTTGTCATCTGGTGCCGGGGTGCCGGAATATGCATTGGGATACATTTTAATGTGGATAAGTGCAAGATAACGCATCTTGGACATAAAAACCCAAGGGCAGAGTACAGAATATTTGCGAGTCCTAACCTTAACATCTGAGGAAAGGGATTTAGGGGTGATTATTTCTGATGACTTAAAGGTAGGCAGACAATGTAATAGAGCAGCAGGAAATGCTAGCAAAATGCTGGGTTGTATAGGGAGAGGTATTAGCAGTAGAAAGAGGGAAGTGCTCATGCCACTGTACAGAACACTGGTGAGACCTCACTTGGAGTATTGTATGCAGTACTGGAGACCGTATCTTCAGAAGGATATTGATAGTTTAGAGAGAGTTCAGAGAAGGGCTACTAAACTGGTTTATGGATTGCGGGGTAAAACTTACCAGGAAAGGTTAAAGGATCTTAACATGTATAGCTTGGAGGAAAGACGAGACAGGGGGCATATGATAGAAACATTTAAATACATAAAGGGAATCAACACAGTATAGGAGGCGACTATATTTAAAAGAAGAAAAACTACCACAACAAGAGGACATGGTCTTAAATTAGAGGGACAAAGGTTTAAAAATAATATCGGGAAGTATTACTTTACTGAGAGGGTAGTGGATGCATGGAATAGCCTTCCAGCTGAAGTGGTAGAGGTTAACACAGTAAAGGAGTTTAAGCATGCGTGGGATAGGCATAAGGCTATCCTAACTATAAGATTAGGCCAGGGATCTAATGAAAGTATTTAGAAAATTGGGCAGACTAGATGGGCCGAATGGTTCTAATCTGCCCTCACATTCTATGTTTCTGTGTGTTTGTTAGTTGACAATGATAAGATACACGAGTGTTGGGTAGTGTACCACTGATGAATCTGGCTTTCAAAACAGCAAAACATAATTTGTCTCTTGGCATGCCAGAACTATAAAAATGTGCTGTCCAAATACATCATACTGCTTGTGATTGACTCTTTAATATAAAAATCTTTGCTAAGTGTTTTTGTACAATGTATTTGTCTGTTTTTATTGTCCAGTCCTCTTTGTTGTAAGCTTATGGATGGTCTTATGTAGTACTTTTCCAAAGGTGATTCAAGCATTGATTTAAAGCCTGTGGGCTTACTTCTACTCCATTTTCTATCAGTGTCTTATTTTCTATATCTCTTTTAAACCTATCTTTGTCCATTTTTTATATATGACCCACTCCAAGCACCATGACAGCTTCATCACAATTAAGTTGTAATGGTGTCAGGAGGCCCTGGCACCATCTTACTTAAATGGGGTAAACCTTTAATGAATGGTTTAACTCCAAACTTTTGTAAACATGGCTGCTCTCTGTGCTCAGCTATGTCCTTCAGTGACTTTAATCAGGTAGCATCGGACTGGGCCAGCTAGCTCCTCATTCAGAAAACTGAATGAAAAAAATGTTGCGAGCAATGGCTGTAGGAATAAGAGATTTTCTCACTCAATGAGACCTAATATCTATAACGGCTCTTGTGGTCTTCCAGGATTCTCCATTGATATCAGTGTTGTACTCTTGCTCATGGCACTGTCCGCTGTGGACAGCGTCCGGTAAGTATAACTCACCTCAGCTGAATCCCTTGTCTCCACACAACATATGGCGATGTCACCATTGGGGGTCTTGGAAAAATATACAAATATCCCAGAAGATAACAGAGCCGTTTTTAATGTTTTCTGCATAGCTCTGTTTGTCACTTGAATAATTGAGGATATTCTCATGTAAACTATTATATTTATGGACACAAAGTATTTATGACTTTTTTATCAAAAAATCTGATTTGATTTTATGTGGTTTTAATTTTACAGATGATCACGCACATGTGGAGTTTGATTTCCTCGTCAAGGGGCAGTTCTTGCGGTTGCCTCTTATCAAGCATATGGATGCCGAGGGGATTTCTACTGTAGGTGGCATGACAAATCTTTATCAGTTCTTTTTTAAGTGAGAGGTTTTTTTTGGGTTCAGTTCACATATTTTAATAAATATTACCTTTTATAAAAGCCTACATACATCTCTTTCACACACGAAATAAAAAGGGACACTCTGGAGCCCTAAAGCACTTTAGCCTGCTGAAATATATATTTTTTTCCTGCTAAGGAAAACCGGAATGCAAAGTTTACATAATTGCAAACCTTTTGCAATGGTTTTGGTTCTTAAAGTGCTACTGTCATTTGGTTTGATCTGTAAGCCTTTGTAGGACTCAAACACCCTAAGGCTAGGTTGGCAAACTTTTTATACAGAGCTATTTGCAGGGTGCTTCATCAATTTGCAAATTGACTAATATTTTTTTTGGGGGGGCAAAGGAAACTTGGTATTTATAAAAGTAGGGGGAGAATGTGATAAGTAATAATATGGTAAAGAATGGTCTGCTTCCTATTTTTTAAATGCTTCTAATGTCCAGAGTAAAACTAGAATTTAGTTTATTACCAGACCATTAAAGGATCTGGAATCGTTTGCAATCACGTGTGTAGAAGTTGTTTATGTAACAGAATAATCTTTTACAATTTTGTATTTTATTGATTGAATATGTTATTGTTTCTGTGTACAGCAGAATTTAGGAGGACGTTTGCTGTCAGCAATGTGTGTAATTTGCGGTCTATTGATGTTGTACAATGAATGCAACAGAATAGAGTCCAAAAAGCACACACGTTTCCTGCTACTTAACCAGAAAGCTAAAAATCAGGATTTTCTTTTTCTTTTAAACCGTATTTTTCTGTTATAAAATTGATCTTTATTTTATTTCCTTTATTCTTTCTTTCACCCCAGGAAGAGGTAGTTGAAATTGAATATGTGGAAAGGTTTACAGCTCCCCAGCCGGAGGAGTGCATGCTCCACGATGATTGGATCAGCTCTATTGCGGGCTCAGAGGAGTGGTAAGTTAGTTGTGGTTTTTCTTTCATTGAATCTTTTTGCTAATCTATTACTTGAAATTTCTCTCTGGGCCACATGTGCAGTACAAAGTGGAAGGGGGGATTAGAAGTAGTCTCCACAAGAGGCAGAAATCTAAATACAATCGTCTTTATTTAAAAAAAAAAAAACTAAATGCTAATCATTTGCCAAAACCAAACCCTGCTTGTAATATAACCCTCAATAACACCACGTCTGCCTGCATTTTACAATTCTGTTTTTGTTTTAATACAGTACAGTCTTTAGTAAATACTCTCTATGTATAATTTTAGATTTTTCAGGGTGTTTTTTTTGAGCTGGAAAATAAATGAGTGGTAGAAAGTGGTGCTTATAAAGGGATTTCGCCTCAATATTTGCAATACACTAATAAATTTATGGTTTAGTGAACGGGTCATTCACTAAAATGGCACCTAAAAAAAGATTTATGTGAACCAGAAATTGTGGGGATCTGACATGGGAATTGCAACCTTTTAGGGCAAAGTAGACACATTGAAAGTATTGTTTAGTGGATAATTACTGTAGTGGTTAGGGTGCTTAGATGATCACTTTTAGGATTACTACAATTGGGCTGCAAATACTTGCTAAGCAGTCAACAAATTGCTAATCTGGCAAATTGGCAACCCCAAACAGCAAAAATATGGTGTCTCATAGACCCAAAATAACTTCTTTGCTGTAGCAACGCTGCTTTCCTAACAGCTATGTAGAGTGCTTTAACACAGCTTTGTTTGTTTTCTTTTTATATTTTCATTTTGGCTATAGGTTCCTCTATTCTTGGCTGCAATAAATGTAAATTAATTTATATATTTTTACCGTGAGTTACAGGAGCCTGTTCCACTTCTATGAGTGGCCAAGTTTATACCTAGTAATTTTGCATTGACAGTTGGCCAATAAAAATGATTTATCTTACTTCCTGAGCTGTATTGATAATTAACTTTTCATCACTAGGATTCTAACTGGGTCTTATGACAAGACTGCCAGAATATGGTCGCTGGAAGGAAAGCCAATTATGACGATTGCTGGTCACAATGAGGTTGTTAAAGATGTTGCCTGGGTGAAAAAAGGTAAGTGTCGCCTTTGTATTGTGATGGAGGATGTGTTGGCACTTAAAGGAACACTTCAAGTACCATAACTAGTACATCATGCTGCAGTGGTTATGGTGCCAGTAGTACCCTTGCACCCTTCAAATGTAAGTAGTCAAGCGGTTTTACAACTGTTTGCTTATTAACTTGGGTTACATTGGGTGCCGCTCCTTGCCATTTCTCATCAGCTCTGGAGAGCTTGAAGCTCGTACTTTGGGCTACCGTTAGCTCATTGGTTGGGAGCATCACCTGATAACCCCCAGCCTGTGATCTAAGCACTGCACCTCGGAGCTGAGGTCAGGCAGAGAGCTTGTAGTGGTTATGGTGGTTGGCATGTTCCTTTTACCAAACTTGTTTGAAATAAGCAGTGCGGCTTATTCTTTACACTGCAAGGAATGCATGTACAAGGACAGGATTGAACAATGATGTGCAAAGCCATGCCTCCAGAATACAAATCGCTGACTCCTTTCTCAAATGTCAAATTGTATTGTGTGTAGACTAGAAAACCAGAGTTTGCCTTTTAAATGTGTCAGTCTAGTTCTTTTGTAATTGGGCCTGTGTGAATCCTCCATGTGAGCTCCTCATTTGTATGTATACTGATCATTATTTAGTGTTTGTGTGTCAGAAGATTATATATTATGGTCATCCAATTTACAGGAAACAGGTTTGTTTTTATCTATTTGCACAGATGTGTAGAAGACCAATATTGAAATAATTTCACTTGGGCAGAAACTTGTATAGTCATCATTACGAGCATTTCCTTGTGTATATACGTGCATTTTACGCTCTCTTCCTTTGTATATGAATTCATCTATTTAGTTGTCATTCTAAAGGATGACAATATGACTTTTAAATATATTTAAACTAATATGAGATGAAATGTTAAAGGACCACTATAGTGCCAGGAAAACATACTCGTTTTCCTGGCACTATAGTGCCCTGAGGGTGCCCCCACCCTCAGGGTCCCCCTCCCGCCCGGCTCTGGAAAGGGGAAAGGGGTTAAAACTTACCTTTTTCCACCGTTGGGCGGGGAGCTCTCCTCCTCCTATCCTCCTCCGTTCCTCCTCCTGGGCTGAATGCGCACGCGCGGCAAGAGCTGCGGGCGCATTCAGCCGGTCACATAGGAAAGCATTCATAATGCTTTCCTATGGACGCTGGCGTGCTTTCACTGTGAAAATCACAGTGAGAAGCACGCAAGCGCCTCTAGTGGCTGTCAATGAGACAGCCACTAAAGGCTTTGGGGGAAGGCTTAATCCATTAATAAACATAGCAGTTTCTCTGAAACTGCTATGTTTATGAAAAAATGGGTTAACCCTAGCTGGACCTGGCACCCAGACCACCTCATTAAGCTGAAGTGCTCTGGGTGCCTAGAGTGGTCCTTTAAAGTAAATGGTTATTGTTTTTAGTGATCATGGTTTCCTCTTGCAGATAGCCTTTCCTGCCTGCTTTTGAGTGCGTCAATGGATCAGACCGTCATTTTGTGGGAGTGGAACGCAGAACGTAACAAAGTAAAGGCTTTGCATTGCTGCAGAGGTCATGCAGCTAGTGTGGACACCATAGCAGTGGATGGATCTGGGACTAAAGTGAGATCCTTGTTATTGTTTGTATCCTGTTCGTATGTCCCATTTAACCAAATTATCTATTAAAATAACTTTTTGTATATAGACTAATAGGGGTATATTAGTCATGTAGCATTGGGGTCTTCTCATTCAAGGCATGCAAATATGCAGCATCCTTATCTACATTTGTATCCCTGTGAGGGTCTCTTTTTTTTTTTTTTAACAACTGATATGTACATTTTTAGTAGCGTTGTTATATCTCTTATGAGTTACAAAATATCCCTTCTAGTGCCTGGGTGGCCTGTCTACTTTAGGGGAATTTATATTTACTGTCACACAACCATTAGTAGCTCCAGGAAATCGCAGGTCTACTCTACACAACCGTCAGTAGGTCTAGGAAATCGCAGGTCAACTCTACACAACCGTCAGTAGGTCTAGGAAATCGTAGGTGAACACAACCATCAGTATCTCCGTGAAATCGCAGATCTATGATCGAGCCTCTAATGCTGTCTCAATCTTAGGCCACTGACATTAAACCATATCCTATATATGCATTGATATCTTTATTAATCTACTAACATTGTTTAAATGTAAGGCATATAATGCTAGGGTTAGTAGTGACTGATGGCTGATACAAATATGCACATGGTTTGTAATACCAGCGTTCTTTCTTAATCATTTTATGATGACACCTTTTTCTTGTTCCTTCAGTTTTGCAGTGGCTCATGGGATAAGATGCTGAAAATATGGTCCGCAGGTTAGCATCTGTTATGTCATGCAGGATGTATTTAGGAAATTGCAGTTATCTGATGGATTTATGGAAAACATGTTTTATTGTCATTACACTCTCCTTCTCGAGGAGGGTATATTTCTTATGTTTTTTTTTTTTTTTTTTTTTTTACCTTGAACCTTCAGGTTGTTTTGATGGTAAATAATGGTATTATAACCTAATAATTGCTATAATTTACCTTCACTTCTTTTAATTCGGGCTTGATATTCTTCCATATTATCTGACATGTTAATTAATTTGTTAATAACCTGTAAAGATTAGAAATGGAAATAATCCTGGTTAGTGAAGACTCTAATGGGGAAAAAAAACTTTTTTAAACACATCGACGCTATTACTTTTATATTGAAAATATTTAGTATTCAATGCCATCACATGCACATGTGTCTTTCATTTGCATATATGTACACATGTAACTTAAAAGGAGGTGAGCAGTAATTATTTCAGAATCTGGAGTAAATATTTAATTTTTAAGATTTTATTCAATTTTTTTGTGACAAGGGTTGTGTAGTTTTAAATGTTTTTTTGGGCTGTGATGATACCCAAAGTTAAGGGGGTAGGTGTGATATATTGCCTGCCTGTGACACTGATTGAAAACACCTCTGTTTGCAGTTCCCACAGAAGAGGAGGATGAAGTCGAGGAGACTCCGGGACGTCCTAGGAAGAAACAAAAAACTGAGCAACTGGGGCTAACAAGGGTATGTCCTTGATTAAGGCCTTCATGGGCCAGGAGCTGCATATGTGATGGGTCTAATGAGAGAAATGTAATGTACAGATCAATTGCCATTTTAACTGTTATAGATTATGGTCTTGATTTAAAATTTTAGGAAAAATTTTTACAATGTTTTTTTTAATTTAAATATTAAAATATCAAATATATCCTATATAAAAATATACCTTTTTATTTAAAATATATAAAAATCTGAAGGGGGGGCGTGGCCGACCGCCGAGCAACCTGGCAGCTTAGGAAATTGCTCCGGCACCCGGGCTCTCAGAATCTGACGACATCGTCTCCCAGGGTTCAGAAAACCCTCACAATACACAAGATGGCGAACCCCAAAGGGAAGAAGAGCACGCAGAAAGCTGAAAAACAAAATTTTTTCAACCACAAAAACGCGAGTGGTCCAGAAACCGACCGCGGCACAATCCAAGATGGCGCTGACGAACAAACGGCGGGAAACATCCCAATCACGGGCTCATCTCATGATAGCCAGGAAAACCTAACCAAACTCATACAAACATGGCAATCCTCCATAGGACAACTCCGCAAGGAAGTCCAGGACATTGGCAACAGAACCACAGATGTGGAAAATACATTGAGCGAGTACGTAACAGCGCACAACGACATGGCCGATCATGTGGCGTGGCTGGAACAAAAAATTGAAACAATGGAGGCACGTATGGCTGATGCTGAAGATCGCTCGCAGAGAAACAACCTCAGGCTACGAGGAGTTCCGGAGAGCATCATGCCGAATGACCTACAAGCCTACGTGCAAGGCCTTCTGAGGGCGTACGCTCCGGACATACCCATGGATATGTTCCTAATAGATCGAGTACACAGGGTGCCTAAACCACGCAATCTGCCTGATACTATCCCTCGAGACGTCCTACTGAGGGCACACTATTACCACATAAAAGAGGCAGTACTGCGTGCTAGCAGAAACCACACAGAACCGCATGAGACCTATGCAATGATCAAGATCTTAGCAGACCTGTCTGCGGCGACTCTCAAACGCAGGAGAGATTTCCACCCGGTGACAGAAGAATTGCGTCGCGCTGGAATCAGATACCGCTGGGGATACCCCACTAAACTAATAATTACTAAAAACGGCGAGCTCAACATGGCTTACACGCCGGACGAAGGCACCCGACTATTGAGAGACTGGGGGCTCCTCACAAACCCCCCCACGACTCAAGCAAGTCCAACAAGACGTCTGACACCAGAATGGCGCCAAGCCTCATCACGGACCATGTCGCCATGACCTACCCGAGGGACTAGGCCGTCAAGGCCATAACCAGGGACACGTGAGATATTAATATGTACTGCTAATTTCTATCACAAGTTTTTAGTTTAAGTTTTCGTGAGGTTAACTGCTTTGATTAGCATTTTATTTACCACATAACTAAATTACACTATGCATGATTTGTTGGATGCTGGCGGGTGGGGCGCCCCCATGGGTGACAATCAGGGTAAACTCCGGGCAACAAGGAGGGCCTGTATAGTACAGGTAAAGAAGGGACCGACTACCAGAGGTGATCCTGATATCTAAGTGTTAACTGTAATTGCTGCTGCTATGTATAAACAATAATGGTATTTCAAGGACGCAAAAAGACGCATAACGATTATGTAGGTTGTCAGAACAATGCGTATAGCAAGATAATTGTAAATCATACCACACAAGCAACTATTGCTTTGACTAGCGCGTCAAGCTCACTGCAACCGTGCCACCCCACCTCACTACACAGCTTTGTACAATACACTCACAAGCTATGCTGTGAGAACCGCGATACCGCATCATATCACAAAGATTGACATGACAGGTGGGATAACCACGCTAGATGTCAAAGCGGTAAACTGTACAATGCCCCATTAAACCTTCACTTGGGTCAGGCTTGACCTTTCACCTATGTACACCTGCCAGCACTAAGACACCGTGCACATTACCTTGGTCGCTATTGAATTAAGGCTCTGAGGAGAGACGGCAACTATGTAACCAAGAGGGCCCAACGGCCACAATACTAGAGACGCTGTTTAAGTGTCCCTCCCCCATGGCACAACGCCACAGTGCCAAGACCCACGTTTGGGTCAAATTGTATATACTTTGGTTTCTATCACCCCTTCCCCCTGTCATTCCTGAACCTCTCACTCCCGGGCACAACAATGTAGTCGCGCAGGCGCCGACTATGAGGCACACCAAACGAACCCCGTCCAATCTACAATTCCATATAGGCAATGCAGAACCGCAAACGAGCACCACTTATCACCCACCTATCGCATGAAAATATACTCACACAACTGCAGGGGACTGAACACCCCACATAAGAGGTGCATGATGCTGGAGGAAGCCAAGCAGATTCAGGCGGCAAGCCCGGACTGGCCATCGGGCATACCGGGCAAATGCCCGGTGGGCCGCGATGGCCCCCCGGCGGCTCCTGCAGGGCCAGCGCTACCCGAGCGTCGGCCCTGCTGTGTGTCTCCATGGGCCGGTGGGGAGATCAAAGATCTCCCTTTACCGGCCCAGAGACACTTCCAGGCGGCTGCTTGCTGGGGTGTGAGGGAGGGAGGGAGGAGAGGACCGGCGGAGCTCTATCCAGCAGCTCCGCCGGGTCCTCTCGCGGGATTCTGAGCGTTGCCGCGGTTACCACGGCAACGCTCAGATCTCGCGAGAGTGAACTCTAGCCTACAGGCTAGAGTTCACGCTCACCACTAGGACCACCAGGGATCAGGCAGCATGGCTCTCCTCCCACGGCAGAACGGCTCCCCCCCTTCCCAGGCTAAAGGTAAGAAGGGAGGGGGGGGGGAATTTAACTTTTTTAAAAATTATTATTATTATTAATAAATAAAAAATTAATTTAAATTAAAAAATCACACTCACACACACACAGCACCCCCAGACACACACAGCACCCAAAGACACACACAGCACCCAAAGACACACACAGCACCCAAACACACACACAGCACCCCCAGACACACACAGCACCCAAAGACACACACAGCACCCAAAGACACACACAGCACCCAAAGACACACACAGCACCCCCAGACACACACAGCACCCACAGACACACACAACACCCCCAGACACACAGCACCCCCAGAAACACACACAGCGCACCCAGACACACACAGCGCACTCAGGCACACAGCACCCTCACTCACACACAGCACCCTCAGACAGACAGCACCCTCGCTCACACACACACATATATATATGTGTGTATGTATGTGTGTGTATGTATGTGTGTGTGTGTGTATATATATATATATATATATATATATATATATATATATATATATATATATATATATATATATATATATTTACAGATATATAAAATAACCCTCAGTGAGTTAACAGACAAAGAAAATTAGAATGTGACAGCAGATAAAAACACCCTCACACACAGCACCCCTCTTACATACACACACACTGCGCCCCTCACACATACAATACGTCCAAATATATATATGTATGTATATACACACTACAGCACTACATACATTACGCTCCAGATACACGCTAGATCCCTTACCTTATATGCACTCTTAATCCTCTATACACACACACACACACACACAATCTCCTATACACACTCTGGGTCCTTTACACACTAGATCTCCTACACACACACTGCATCACCTACACACACACTACATTCCTTGTCAGCAAACACATACAACATTCTCTAAACACACCCTCTCTACAACCCCTACACACACTACTTCACCTATACACACACACACTACAGCCCATATGCACACACTCGCTACATCCCCTATAACACTATGCCCCCTATACACACACTCTCTACAGCCCCTAGCCACACATATTACACCACAAACACAAATGAAATTGACCTATTTACACAATACCACACCACACTCTACACACACGCAATCCCACAAGCAGGCTCCAAACACATGCACCATACATTTTCCTGGCCCTTTTGTCCTCTGGTATCCCACTTGTTGAGACACCAGAGACAATTTAAAAGCAAACACAGCGCAAGCATGTTATTAAATTTGCTTGCGCTGCGCAGAACAAATACAGGGCCTTTTTCTAATGCCAGAGCTCTTCAGCGCAGCTCTGCGCATTGAACCAACATGCTCACTTTGCGAGGAGGCGTGCTTGTCATTAGTGATGACAAAACACACCCTCTCTGGCCCCGCCCCCTTCTTAGGGGGCCGCTCTGATTGTAAAATGCCCGGGCCTAATTTTTTTCCCAGTCCGGCCCTGTCAGGCGGACATTATCTGTCTACAAGAGACCCACTTTGTTAACGCCAGGGTGCCTAACTTTGGTGCACAACATTACCCTCACCAATACCACGCAACACACTCCTCCAAATCAAGAGGGGCCTCAATTCTTCTGCATTCCTCCTTAACAGTTGAAGCCCTAAACTTAATCAAAGACAAACAAGGTAGATTTGTACTGCTACATTGCCTCCTAAATAACCTGCCATATACCATAGTCAGTTTCTATGCTCCTAATGTACACCAACGCAACTTCCTACATAAAGTGCTCTCCGCACTCCCAACTAACCAGACCGCCTCAGCTATATTATGTGGAGATCTAAACCACCCCCTCGACCCACACATGGACACTACACTAAAAACCACGACACCATGACACAAAGCACTCAAAACACAAAGCAAAGCAATCAACAAACTGTTAGGGGAATATGGCCTATACGACCCATGGAGAGCATTCCACCCTAATGAGAAATCGTTCTCTTTTTATTCAGCAGTGCACAAGTCATATTCAAGGATCGATTTCATTTTCATAACAGGCACATTACTCCCTAGGGTAACAAACCGTGAAATCGGGGATATAACATGGTCAGACCATGCTCCGACCATAGTAGGGCTGACTGAGGAATACCAACACAGAGGAAGGCCACCGTGGCGGCTAAATGATTCACTTTTATGCGACCAGACATTCTCTACAACATTGACAGAAGCCCTGACGTATTTCCAAATTAACGACACGCCGGATGTCCACCCAACCACTGTATGGCAAGCCCATAAGGCGGTCATCAGAGGACTTATCATTAGCAGAGCCTCCTACCTAAAAAAGAAGGCACAACAAGAACACTTACACCTGCTGCGTACCTTAAGAGACACAACGGCAGCAAACATAGCAAACCCCTCACCACAACTTGCACAGACAATTCAAGACACCACAACAAGTATTAACAACATAGCAATTTCTAAAAATCTGAAAACACTTTAAATTCTCTTTCTGTATTTGCAGTGTTATTTAGCAGGCTCTGAGGGTGCATGGCACATGGAATGAATGGAGGGGGAAAACAACAATTACCAGTTTTTTGCTTTTTTTCAAAGTATGGTTAGGAGCAGCCACTCCCAATAGCCCCCTGTGTTATTGTGACCCTGGCCAAATGGTGACTATACCACAGTGACTATGCTTTTGACTAGTAATCATTTTACCATCACATGGTCCCGTAGTCCATGCCTTGTCTTATAGAGATGGTTTATAATATTTGGCTTTATACCAAAAGCAGATATATTGTGTTTTTTTTTTTGTTTGGTTTTTTGTGTGTGTGTGTGTATATAACACACACACACACACACACTCACTCACTCTCTCACTCCATTGTGTTATAGAACATGTTTTGCTGATCATATTTATTTCAGTTTATTGTCACATTAACACATTACATAATCAGCATGGTCTAATCTAAATTGAGTAAGTGGATGTAGAGAAACTGAGTGGAAACCAATTAACACCAGTGATGATAGTGGAGCGCTAAAAAAAAAGTCACTTACGTAATTAATATACAGCAGTTTGCTAGATAAATAATCTATTATTAAATTAAATTGAACTCTAGATGGATTGACTGTCCATTTATGTGTTATTTTTTGTTTTTCTTTCATTTTAGACTCCGATTGTTACAGTCTCCGGCCACACTGAAGCTGTCTCTTCTGTCCTGTGGTCTGATGCAGATGAAATCTGCAGTGCGTCATGGGATCATACAATTAAGATCTGGGATGTTGAAACTAGTTCACCCAAAACCTCTTTGGTAATATTTTCTTCATTTTTTTTTTTAAATTTTTTTTTTAATTTGATTATATATAGACCTCTTCTACTGCTAGACTGACAATATTCATGTATTAAGTGAAAAGAACGTTGTTAACGTGGAATGTGGAGATCATTTAAATTAGTTCTTGAACACTTGCATATAGAAAGAATCCATCACCTTATGACTAATTTAAACAGATCAGATGAATACTTATTGAAAGCTGCTACTAATGGTGCAGCCAGTGAGAGAAGCCATTGTGTGTCAGTGTGTGCTAATGCACATGCAACTAGACAACAGAAGGACACACTACTTGTGTGTTTATTCACTAGCAGGGCTACTGACTATCCAAATTGAATATTTAGATTGCAAAATTTAGGCTGAAATAATGAAACTGTTACCATGAGGGAATTGGAAACGCTTTCCAGATCGGCTTTTTATTTTTATATATATATTTTTTTTTTTTTACTTTTTGGTTTTAATTCTGTACAATTTTAAGTTTAGGGAATCATTCTATACAGCTTTAAACTCAGACATGGCTGACAATGTAAACATCATGGGAGTCTGTTAGTCTACTGTACATAGAAAGCAATATGATCTTGTTACTATATGATGTTCCCTCTTAAAATAAATAGAAAGTCTATTTTGTAGACTTATTGCTTTAGTCGACGAAACACCAAAATCAATCCAGAGGTTTGAAACCTTACAGGGTTTTTTACTAAAGTGAGGATAGTTGGATTTCAATGGAAACTTAAATCTAAGTTCAAAGAAGCCGATCTGGAAATATTTTCCAGCTAAATATGTTTCGAGTTTGGCTACTTTGGCCTTAGATTTGAAATTCCCTTTGAAATCCCTTCTGCGTTATACTACCATTACAGCCACGATCTTCAAATTGGTCCTCAAAAGTTATTTATTTTTATTTATTTTTTTGTTTTTTTATTTTTTACATTTTGTTTTCTATTAGTTACAAATTGCTTCTCCAGATTTAATCCCTTACAGTCTGTTGTTGGTCACTTTGCCCGAGATACAGCCCATTTTACACACGTTAATAGACTCATGGGAACGTCTATTATTTTGTCTCATTTGTACCATTTCTATAATGTTTACTTTTCCTCACATGTGTTTCTTGTTTATTTTTGTTTCACATAGAATTTTGTTTTATACTGAAAAACAAGCATAATTAAATAAAAAATTAATAGAAAAACAAAAAACTAGCAAGTGCACTGGAAGGAACAGTCATCAATCAAAATTGGTTGTGCTATTTTTTATTTTATTTTTTTTAAGTGTGAATTGTTGGGAATTTCAAGTAAATTAATGCTGTCTTATAATATTATTATTTGTTTAATTCTCATTTAGACCGGAAATAAGGTTTTTAACTGCATTTCCTACTCACCACTGTGCAAACGTCTTGCATCTGGAAGCACAGACCGACATATTCGCCTCTGGGATCCACGGGGCAAAGGTTAGTTCTGAGCAGCAGAAAGCAATTCTAGTACAGACACACTTTAGGGTTGTGCATTCAGTCCACTCGCCCACTGCCCTGCCATCAGAACTCATGGTGGCCCTTTACAAAACCACTGCCTGTCCTCTCTGCAAGACTTTAACACAGAGCAGAGAATAGGAGTGGGAAGAAGCAGTTAGTACAGCCCAATAGGGATCCTGCTGCACTGCAATTTTCCCGATTGAGGTCTCTATATCTCCCCAACTGAACCACGTAGCACAAGCAGATCCCAGGGATCGGCTGAATCCTTACTGGAATACTGACTGTACTCTCTCCTGGTGGCCTTATCTACCTTCTCTACCATCTTTGCTAGGCAAAACTTCATCTACGATGGGCTACGTAATATCTTCAATACATTTCTGCTTTTTGATATATTTAAACACACACACATATGTATGTCTTAGCACACATACTGGTTTGACTGAGTTGGTTTGCCGTTTGTTAAAGTGAAATATTCTTGATGTGTTTAGTAATGAGTGGAGGAAGAGGAGGGATAAAAATCAATACTTCACTGCAAATTGATCAGTTAAATTGACCGCGACTTTGTTCTATTTAGTCCTATTCTGTGAAACAAGCAACATATTTCACGTCATTTTCTAAGACTTTGCTTGTACATTTTTGATTTGTATGTGTCTTCATTCCAGATGGTTCCCTGGTGTTACTGTCTCTGACGTCACACACAGGCTGGGTCACCTCAGTCAAATGGTCTCCTTTTCATGAGCATCAGCTTGTTTCTGGATCCTTTGACAACGTAGTGAAACTGTGGGACACCAGAAGGTAGAGTTCCTTAAACAAGTTTACCCTTGAAATTTGTAAAAAAGTTGCAGCCACGAAAAGAGTACTTTTCTATTCGTGTTTGTTTTGCAAACCTGTATGACTAACATTTTTTTTGTCTTCTCCCTCTCCCAGCTGTAAAGCACCTCTGTATGATTTAGCTGCTCATGAGGATAAAGTACTTAGTGTTGAATGGACAGAGGCTGGGGTAAGGACTATTGTTTTGCACAGAAATATTAGAAATAAAGTTTACAGTCATCACAGTAAGCAGCTATAATTAAAAAAAGTGTTAAGATCCACTAAACTGGCACAAAGTATAAATTAAATTCTATGGCCATGGTTCTTAAATTTTTTTTTAATACAGACCCATATTGAATAAATGATCTTAGCTTAACAATCCATTCATGGTTTAAAAATTGCCATAGTGACTAGTTCTTAAAGTAAAATGTATAATATAACCGATTCATTCTGCATAATAATAAACTTACAAATCTCATGTGTAAGCTGGCTTTCCAATGTATTAGTTGAAATAGCACGGGTACACAATTTTGTGTCCAGAGCCAAAAGTTAAGAATCACTACTTTTAAGGGGGAACTGTCACTTCTCTGGGAATTACACCATTGAATAACCCATGGAAAATCATCTATAACTTGTGTTAAGCTTTTTCTTTTCCTAAGATTCTCTGTAGGGATCGACCGATTATCGGCCGATATTCATTATTTTCGGCAAAATCGGTATCGGCCAATATAGATACCGATATTGCCGATAATACCTTCTAGGACCGCCAGGCTCATTACAAGCCCGGCGGTCCTGGGGGGGGGGCCTGCAGGAAGCTGTTCCTTACCTTTCTTGCAGCTCCTCTGTGTAAATCTCGCGAGACTCGCGGCCGCAGAGCGTTGTCACAGGTTACCATGGCAACGCTCCGCGCGGCACTAAGGGCCGCGAGATTTACACAGGGGAGCTGGAGGAGCTGCAAGAAAGGTAAGGAACAGCTTTCTGTGGGCCCCCCAGTACTTGACAAGCCACTGGACCACCAGGGAATACTATATCCCCCCTCCCTGGTAAGAAGCAGGAGAGACGACTTAAAAAAAAAACAATTTTTTATTTATTTATTTATTTTTAATTTTAAAATTTTTTTAATAATAATAAATGCCCCCCCCACCCATTTTACACAAATTACATCACTACACACACACACTGCATTATATACACACATTACACACACACTGCATTATATACACACATTATACACAAACACACACTGCATTATATACACACCACACATACTGCATTATACACACATACAGCATTATATACACACTACACAAACACACACTGCAGTATATACACACACTACACTAACACACCATTCACTATACACTCTGCATTCACTATACACACTACACAAACACACTCTGCATTCACTATACACACTACACAAATACTCACTGCATTCACTATACACACTGCACAAACACTCTGCATTCACTATATATACACACTGCACACTCACTGCATTCACTATACACACTACACAAACACACACTCTGCATTCACTATATATACACACTACACAAATACTCTCTGCATTCACTATATATACACACTACACAAATACTCACTGCATTCACTATACACCCACTATACACCCACTACACAAACACTCTGCATTCACTATACATACACACTCACTGCATTCACTATACACACTACACAAATACACACACTGCATTCACTATATACACACTGCATCCACTACACACATACTACACAAACACACAGCTCCCCTGTCTAAACACACTTCATCCACTACATGTGGCATGTATATTTTGTGCATTTACCTTTAGAAATAGTTTATTTTTTCAAAATGGTAAATGTACAGAATATCGGCCTGAAAGTTCACAGATTATCGGTATCTGCTTTAAAAAAAATCAATATCGTTTGATCCCTAATTCTCTGTTTACTTTTAAAAGTTATATGAAAGATTTACCAAATGACATGTTAAAGGAACACTCCAGAGACTTAAAGCATTTCAGCTTGGTACAGAGCCTTTTGTGTTTTGAAGTCTGCCATTTTGTAACAGCCTTCTATTCGCTCCACAGGGCTAAAGGAAGTAGCTGACGTGCAAGGCTAGTGTGCACCTGCCATCCCCAATTTACAATGAGCTGTGCTACAGCGTATTGAGTGGCTTTGGAAAGCCGCAATTGCAGCACCAGCACAGAGGCTTCTTAATAAGTCTGGCAAAAACCGAGGTGCAAGATAGTACTAAGAGCGGACAACAGCTCAAATAGCCTGCCCTTCGGTGGGTCCCCGCTGCGATCTAAAGCTGGTTTTGGCTCATCTTGTGCCATTACCCACCCTTCCCCCCCTCCCCCCCCCAAAAAAACAGGCTATTTTTTTAATAAGTGTGTGACGGGGAAAGTGGGGAAGCCTTGCAAATACTGCAGGCCTGCAGCATTTGCAAGCTGTTTTTTCATATACTACAATGAAAATATACAGAAAAATTGTTTAAAAATAAAATGTCTATGGAGTGTTCGTTTCAGGGCAAATATTCCAAATCAAGACGAGAAAAATAAATATTGTTTAATTTCTCCTCTTCTCTGTATGCTTTTTTTTTCTATGTTGACAGCCTGGTACAAAGGGCTTTGTCAATGATTGATGGGTAGCTACATATAAGGCCCCCTATTGCAGGATGAAGAGGTGTGGATTTCTTAATTTAGTTAGATTTTTTTTCACAACTTCCAAATACTTATTTGTTAAATATAGGATTAAGTAAACGGTAAGTAATATTACAAATCCTAAGAGGTGGCAGTCCCCTTTTAATTAATTTCACTATACAATGTGACTATATCATAAAAACATGGGATACCATGGAATACATTTTAACTTGAATCTAATTAAATGTGAATCTTTGGCATTCAGTGGCTGTTCTTTATATAATGTCATTTAACCAATAATTGTATTATACCATGATTTAAGATACTGATTGTATTATTACTAGATGTGAATATTACCGTTCTTTCCACAGGTGATCCTGAGTGGAGGTGCAGACAACAAACTATATTCTTACAGATATACAGTATCACCCTCAGACGTGGGAGCGTAAACAGATTGTGTGAACTTTTTGTACTGTTATACGTTTGATTTTTTTTATTTTATATAACATCATCTGACCTTTTCAAAGATGACCTTCAATCCCTGTGACCCATTCATTATTGTATAATATGTATTTATCTGTGGTAATGGTGGGGGGAGGAGCTGGGCTATAAACCCGTTTAGCTGCTGTAACTGTTTGGAATTAAACACCAATTGTTTTAATATAATGACCCATTTCTTATGGATTTTCTTTTTTTAATGCCCAAGATAGATGGGGATATATATATATATATATATATATATATATATATATATATATATATATATATATATATATATATATATATATATATGTGTGTGTATATATATATTCAATTCACCCCAGCGTAATATATTTATATAAATTGTGCGTGCATACTAGGAATTGTAGGGTACAGCGGACTCAATTCTAGGTGTGGGGGCAGATGAGGTGCTGCCCATTGCTCTTAATTTTGTAGTGTTTCCACTACAATGGAATAGTAAAAAACTAAAGTTAATAAATGTAATTTTCTGCAAGCTGGTTAAAATGCGCACATGACATTAAATAGAGCAATGGATCTTATTCTCTTCCCGTATATTTTCCGAATCTATTCTCTTATTCCCTTTTTTTTTAATGATGTTTGAAAATGTAACTGATTTGCAAATGTTATATTGTACACAGACAGTTTGAGCTGTAAAATAAAAAAGTCAATAAACTGTTAGTTACCAGTGATACCAAGGTAAGTGCACTCTACTAGGTACCTGTTAATGACAGGCATACTGGAGAAGAAAGCCTAAATACATCCAGGTCCTTTCCATGATCTAGAGTGCGATAAGAGCACATTACACAAGTAAGCTCACGTAACAGAAGCACTCGTGGATTGCGTGTACTTTCCAGTTCCCATGGAAGGTGGCGTGAAAGACAGGTGATAGATGACAAGCCAGCTCTTGTACATTCTTGTACATTCCGATGTATTACATGGCATGCTTTTATTTACTGGCACATTGCTCCTGTTCATCAATTTAAAAAAATAAAATGTGATTTAGGATTTGAATACTGTCCGACTTGCTGAATACATGTAGCAGCCAATAAAAATGCAGTTTTGGTTTGACGCAAGTCTGCAGCCTTTCTCTAGAGCAGTGGTTCACAGTACAAAGTGTCTCTGTCACCTCAAACTTACCATTCACCATTGTTTCCTCTTTCAGAATCTGTTATTTTTCGCTTTAAAATATAAGACAAAATAGGGACTACTTTGTCATGTGTATTTTTCCTACACTTGACAATTGTGACAAAAGGGTGAAGCGTAGCTCCACTTCCTTTGTCGAGCTTACAAAGGGTAAAGTTTGCCTTACGTTCCTGCTCTTGTCAAGATTGCCTTCTGTATTTTTCCTACACTTGGCAAAGTGGTCCCTATTTAGTCTTCTTTTTTTTTTTTTTAAAAGGAGAATAGATCAGAAAATTATTACAAATTCTAAAAAAAGCGGTAACAATAGGAGAAAAGGAAGTTTGAGGTGACTGCAACTTTAAGGCATACCAGAATAATGGCAATTACTGTTATTCTGTTTTGGGAACTGCTGGGGATCATTGATGTAGTGTGAAGGGTTATTATTTATTTATAAAATATTTATTTTACCAGGAATGATACATTGAGATTTCTCTCATTTTCAAGTATGTCCTGGGTCCACAAAAGAATTGCATTGATACAATAGGGTATAATAAAATACAGAAACAATATTAATACACAATATATACAGTATTTAACATAGAAACATAGAATGTGACGGCAGATAAGAACCATTCGGCCCATCTAGTCTGCCCAATTTTCTAAATACTTTCATTAGATCCCTGGCCTAATCTTATAGTTAGGATAGCCTTATGCCTATCCCACGCATGCTTAAACTCCTTTACTGTGTTAACCTCTACCACTTCAGCTGGAAGGCTATTCCATGCATCCACTACCCTCTCAGTAAAGTAATACTTCCTGATATTATTTTTAAACCTTTGTCCCTCTAATTTAAGACTATGTCCTCTTGTTGTGGTAGTTTTCTTCTTTTAAATATAGTCTCCTCCTTTACTGTGTTGATTCCCTTTATGTATTTAAATGTTTCTATCATATCCCCCTGTCTCGTCTTTCCTCCAAGCTATACATGTTAAGATCCTTTAACCTTTCCTGGTAAGTTTTATCCCGCAATGCATGAACCAGTTTAGTAGCCCTTCTCTGAACCCTCTCTAAGGTGAACAGATAGCTCTTAAACACAAGGCTGGAAAGATGAAGTGTGCGTCTGGATTCCAGCGACAGCCAGTTTAGTTCTTTTAGCATGTCACAATGGTAGGTCCTGTAATTACATTGTAGCACAAATCGGCAGAACGAGTTATACAATGTATTGAGTTTATTAAGGTGGGTTTCCGGTTAAGGTGCATATACTACATCCCCATAATCAATGATTGGCATCAGTATTTCCTGTACAATCTTTTTCTTTACTGTAGGGTTAGTCAGAATTTGTTTCTGTACACGGCACCTAGTTTTGGATAAAGTTTAGATGCAGGTTTTTCTACGTGGAGGCCAAAGGATGGATTGTGGTCTAACAACATACCCAAGTATTTGAAATAGTGGAGATGCTGAACGTCAGTACTGTGCAGTGTGCTATTTGAATTAGTTTTGATGGATAGGTGGGAATTGTGTAATTTAGGTACTGTTCCAAAGATCATTGTCAGTGCTTAGGAAGAGTTTGTTTTTTGCAATCCACTTTTCTACCTCCGTGAACTGATCTTGGAGCACAGCCTCAAGCTGCAGTAGATTGGATTTGTTTGTATAGATTACTGTGTCGTCTGCGTACATGTGTACATTTGAGAATTTGCAGATCATTTATAAACAATGTGAATAGCAGGGGGCAGAGAATGGAACCTTGGGGAACACCACACGTGACTGGGTGAGGGAGGGAGTCTCTGTCAGAAATGGACACATATTGTGACTTGCACAAAATTCAGAACAAGCAAATCCCATAATTTATGAATACTCTTTTCTCCCAATGCTGTTCATTATTAGTCATTTGCAATAGGGGAGTCGTATACTGCTTTCAGCTAAAAGAATGTATTCTTATAAATTCATACAGACAAATTATTACAGGGTTACTCACTTTAAATTTCAAACTTAAGGTCAGTTATGCTTTCCATTCAGCTACTCGGACCCTAAATTTGAAATTCACTTTAACCCTGTTAAAGGCAAAATCTCCGTTATAAGTTGGGTATTAGTATGCATGGCTACAAATAGAGGGCACACATGGGAGTGGATATTGTGGATACAGATTTAAAATAAATAAAAAAAAACTGAAATTAGCCTTACATTCATATTCATGGATACTGGCAATGGCTATAGTATTAAAGGAACACTATAGGGTCAGGAACACAAGCATGTATATCTGACCCTAGAGTGTTAAAACCACCATTTAGGTGGCTTGCCTCCCATTAGCCCCAATCAGAAAGGGTTAAAACCTTTTTTTTCCAGCTCTCCAGTGGACTGCAGGCGCTGCCCCTGCCCCTGATCCGCATCTTTGGCTGACATAATCAGAATTGATTAAATCAGCCAGTCCAATGCTTTCCTACAGGGAAAGCATTGGATTGGCAGAGATCGTAGAGGAGGCGGGGTGGAGCCAAATGCTGTCTTGGCCAATCAACATCTCCTCATAGAGATACATTGAATCATTGTCTTTCTATGAGTCAAGCTCAGTGTCTCAGCGTGGAGATGTTGAACGTCAGTGCTGTACACTGTGCAGCACTGCCCCCAGGAAGCACCTCCAGTGGCTAGTGAAGGTGTCCCTAGACTTTACAACGCAATTTGGACAGTCTATTGGACTTTTATTCAACCAAAAACATTACATAGTTATATAGCTGAAAAGAGACTTGCGTCCAAGTTCAGCCTTCCTCACATATGTTGTTGCTGTTGATCCAAAAGAAGGCAAAAAACCTAGTCTGAAGCGCTTCCAATTTTGCCACAAACTAGGAAAAAATTCCTTCTTGACCCCAAAATAGCAGTCAGATGTCTCCTTGGATCAAGCAGCTATTACCCCACTAATTCAATATTATATCCCTGTATTTTGTAAGTATTTATCCAATTGCAGTTTAAACATCTGTAGTGACTCTGACAAAACCACCTCTTCAGGCAGAGAATTCCATATCTTTATTGCTCTTACTGTAAAAAAAACTTTTCTTTGCCTTAGATGAAATCTCCTTTCTTCTAGCCTAAATGTGTGACCTTGTGTCCTATGTATAGCCCTGTTTATGAATAGATTTCCAGATAAAGGTTTGTACTGGCCCCAAATATATTTGTATAAAGTTATCATATCCCCTCACAGGCACCGTTTTTCCAAACTAAACAGATTTAATTTATTTAACCTTTCTTCATAACTAAAATGCTCCATTCCTTTTATCAATTTTGTAGCTCGTCTCTGGACTTTTTCTAGTACCATGATATCTTTCTTTAGAACAGGCGCCCAAAATTGCACATATTCAAGGTGTGGTCTTACCAGCGATTTATAAAGAAGCAAAATTATATTTTCATCCAGAGAATTTATGCCCCTATTTATACATGACAAAACCTTACTGGCCTCCGCAACTGCAGATTGACATTGCATATTGCTGCCTAATTTGTTGTCTATAACAATTCCCAAATCCTTCTCGTGTGTGGTTATCCCTAATTCACTACCATTTAGTGTGTAAGTTGCTTGTGCATTCTTAACCCCAAAGTGCATAACTTTGTATTTCTCTACGTTAAATTTAATCTGCCATTTTAGTGCCCAGTCCCCCAATCTATCCAAATCCCTCTGCAGCAAAGCAATATCCTGCTCACATTTTATTACTTTACAAAGTTTTGTGTCATCTGCAAACACTGATACATGGCTTTCAATGCCTATTTCAAGACCACTTACCAGTTTTGTCCAGCCTGACAATATACCATTAATTACAACTCGTTGTACTCTTTCCTTAAGCCAATGTTCTACCCAAGAACATTCATCTAGACCAATTTCTTTTAGTTTGAAGACTAACCTATTGTGAGGAACCGTATCAAATGCCTTGGCAAAATCCAAGTAGATCACATCCACTGCAACATCCTGATCTATACTTCTACTTAATGAATGTGTAAACACTACCTTTTCTCTGAAAAGACAGTGTTTACTGCAAAAAGCCTGCAGGGCTTGTTCCTTTAAGAAAACAAGGAACGCACAAAACGAAGCAAAAAGGCTACCTGCGTTTAATCCAAAAGTGCATTTAAACATGTTTCGTATTACTCATGGTGCTTGGAATCTGTATGCACGTGCACAAATATTCAGGCTAGCTGCTGAAGTTGTAACTCCACTTCCTGTAGCATTGATAACCATCCTGAAACTAGAGATGCAGGCTGGCAAATGTCAGTTCTGTGCATATTGCATGTACTGAGGGTCATTCATTAAAGGACCACTATAGGCACCCAGACCACTTCAGCTTAATGAAGTGGTCTGGGTGCCAGGTCCCTCTAGGGTTAACCCTTTTTTCTATAAACATAGTTTCAGAGAAACTGCTATGGTTATATTAGGGTTAATCCAGCCTCTAGTGGCTGTCTCATTGACAACCGCTAGAGGCGCTTGCGTGCTTCTGACTGAGATTTTCACAGTGAGAAGACGCCAGCGTCCATAGGAAAGCATTGTGAATGCCTTCCTAAGAGACTGGCTGAATGCGTGCGTGGCTCTTGCTGGAGAAAAAGGCAAGTTTAACCCCTTCCACCCCCTAGTGCCCGGCGGTAGGGGGACCCTGAGGGTGGGGGCACCCTCAGGGCACTATAGTGCCAGGAAAACGAGTATGTACTATAGTGGTCCTTTAACTGAGACTGCTGAGAATGAATGACCAGCTTCTGCAGCTCAAGCTGCCTAAGTCACATCTGCCAGGGGTTAACTAGCCCTGGTACAAAAGTGCAGATCTCTCATCGTAGTCCATACTTTGCCTTATGTTTTTAAGGAAAATAGATCAGAAAAGAACAGATTCAGAACGAGGAAGAGAAGAAGCAACAACTGAATAAGGGTAAGTTAGGGGTGATTGGGCTTCTTTAATAAAATACCACAGGGGAATCTACTTTCTATAAATATTTGTTTAGATGCATTGGATTCTGTGACTACTATTAAAGAAACACCCTGTGCCCCATAACCACCACAGCACATTGCATGTTTTTACACTTACCTGGGTCTTACCAGGAGCCCACACTGGCCAATCAGCACTTCCTAATATAGATGCATTTAATCAATGCATCTCTTTGTGGAACGTTCAGCATCTCCATGCAAAGAGTTGCATATTGTGCAGTACGGACCCAGGAAATGCCTCATTTCCACTGAGCAGTACGGGTCGGGTTGGTACAGTTCGGAAAGGGTTAGAATGGTCCAGCCTATTCAGGTGAGCGTTTCCACTGCAAGTCAGACCACCAGGAGGCATGCGGGGTTTAGACCAAATGCCTAGCGTGTCATTTGCCGTGAGCATTGACGTTTTCCTGTCCGCCAATCAGTGGATTGCATAGTGTGACGCCAGTAGTTCCGCCCTAACCGTACCGTACCACTTCCTATGGCCCTACATCTGAAAGGGGGCCCAGGAATGGTGCGGTTTGGTTCGGTTTTATGGGCCACTTTCATAATGGAAACACTCAAAATAGCGTACCAGACCATACTGACCCAAACCGTTCCGCTCAGTGGAAACGAGGCATTGGTGCCATCTGAGTGACCGTTACTAAAGGTGTTACTAGGCAGTAATGTAAACACTGCCCTTTCACTGAAAAGGCAGTGTTTATATTTAAAAAGAAAAACCTGCAGGGACATACAATAATCACCAGAACAACTCACTGCATTAAGCTGTAGTGGGTCTGGTGACTATAGTGTCTCTTTAAAGGACCACTATAGTGCCCTGAGGGTGCCCCCACCCGATGGGCTCTGGGTAGAGGAAGGGGTTCAACACTCACCTTTCTCCAGCGCCGGGCGGGGAGCTCTCCTCCTCCTCTTCGGCTGAATGCGCATGCGCGGCAGGAGCTGCATGCGCATTCAGCCAGTCTCATAGGAAAGCATTCATAATGCTTTCCTATGGACGCTGGCGTCTTCTCACTGTGAGAAGCACGCAAGCACCTCTAGCGGCTGTCAATGAGACAGCCACTAGAGGCTGGATTAACCCTCAGTGAAACATAGCAGTTTCTCTAGGTTAACCCTAGCTGGACCTGGCACCCAGACCACTTCATTAAGCTGTAGTGGTTCTGGTGACTCTAGTGTCCCTTTAATAAATACATAATACTTGTGTTAGGTATACAGGGTGTCAGTCCATTAGAATACAATGCACAGTATGTATGGATGCCCTTATAGAGGAATAAACACAGATAAATAGCATGAAAGAGCTCAGTGAGGGAAAGCCTCAGCCATTGAGGGGTTAACACTTCATATCCCATACAACAACATGCTCATTCTATCCAGTAAGAACCAATGGACGCTGGAAATAATGGGCAGCACCTCCCTCCCCCTTTCAGAAAACATGGTTCCTTCCTGTTGCCATGGGTTACTGCACCGATACTTCCTGCTCTGCAAAGCGGCGGCCGAGGAGGCGCATGCGCACTGGGCTGCTCCCTGGTACGGTCTACTTTTTTTTTTTTTTTTTTCTTTGCCTACGCTGTGACAGCTGTATCCTGCTGCGGATACCCTGTCCTCCGCGCTCCGGTTACCGCAGGTACGACCCGCCATGATGGCTCTGTTTATATACCCACGGTCCTCCACCCTCCCCAATGGCTTGGTACCCTTTTACTGTTGTCATGGTAACTGCTCAGGGATGCAGGGAGGGGAATATAAAACGCTTTACCTTCCCCCAACCCCAGGTCCATTATCACAAGGGCAGGCGGTGGGCAGCACTGACTGCCACTTTAATGGCCATTACAGCCCAAGAGCCAGTGATACAAGGGGGCAATAAAGCATTGATTTGTTATGGTACATTGCAGCTGGACTGCAAACCAGTTTAGATCTTTAATGCTGAAATACAAATACTACATACATCACTGTACTAATTCCAGGGGAAAAATAAATGCTTTTTTGTTTTGCAGTTACATTTATATATATATATATATATATATATATATATATATATATATATATGTTTTATTTTTTTTCTCGCCAAAAACTATTTTATTTGATGGCACTGAAATAAAAAAATTTAATAGACCCCCCAAAATATAGGTGTTTGTAAAGGAATTGTGATTTTGTTTTTATAGCATAATATGCTTTCAAAGAAAACACAGTATATTTTTGCTTGGTGAAATAAAAAAATGGGATTGCTGCTTTCACATAACATGAGTAATTCTAGAAAAATGGTAGTACCTTTTAGGCTTTTTGCCCTGTGCTGAAATTAGAGCAAAGTTTTGTTTGTATCTCATCAGAGGATGGTTGGCTCAGTAATCAGGGTTTTAAAGGAACAATGTCATTATTTATTATTTTTCAAAAAAACTTTTTTATTTTAATATGCCCGTAATGTTTTAATATACTATATAGTTATTTATTATTATTTTTTTCTTAATTCACGTTGTTTGAAATTTGTGAAGAGATCCCTTGTTTGCCTTTCCCACTCCTCGTTTCCATCAGCCATCTTTAGCCACCTTTGGTCTTATTGTTGGTTGCCTGACCCAATGCTTATTATTTTGTAACTGATCATTGCAAAGTGAGCAGGTGTAATGGGATCCACTAATTGTTTCACAAGCTGCATTTCTGGATGGTTATCGGGTCAAGGTCTTGATGTAGTTTCTGTGCCTTAAACAGTATTCTGGCCTCTCCTTTTGAAAATGGCCTCTTTGTTACTGGAATAAAATGGACATGTTCAATGACCTCATGTGTCTCCCTCACTTTCTGGACAGACAGGGCTTGATGTGCTGTATCAATAAGACATTGCTCTGCAATAACAAGGGAAAATAGGTAAAGTGTCAGCAAACCCAACAAGCTTTTGCCAGCCTCTTCAGTTAAACAACAGATCCAGAGATTATGAGAGTATATGTTTGAGAGTTCTTCCGACATATCCTCATCTTCACACAGCTACGTCTGCAGTACTTTCTAGCACTCTATAACATTGTTGTGGGTGGATCACTGTGACCTTTTATTCCACATGCATCTCAGACTCTGAGTCTGGTGTACTAGAGACCTCACCTTCTTCATACTGTGCACAGTCTCTTGATCCAGATAAGGGCACAGTTTGTCTTTTTGTTGTGAGATGTTTTTGGTCCTTGGTGTATTGGAGTCCTTCTTCTCTGGCTCTGTCTACTGCATGTGTGCGTCAGTGTGGGCTCCATCTTGTGAGGAGACTTGTTACCACTGGGTAGACGTAAACATTGTAGCTGCATAACTGTCTTTAAAATGATTTTTGGATGACCTTTTATTCATCAGATGTGTAGGCATCTTTGAAGCATGGATTGAGAAGCATAGCAACCTTAGGAATCTGGAAATCCTTTTTTTTGTAAGTTGATGGAAGCAGAGCCGCATGTTCTAACTACTTTTCAGCAGGAAATTCCCATTAATTTCTATCCTTCTTGTTGGCTTAGTGTATAAAGCTTTCATTCAGGCCAGCCTCAGTGGTTCAAAGCAGAACATTCGCTCAAAAACAAGGTGCCTTTCCCACTGAATTATTATCAGGCAGCAATTCCTGCTCTGAGAAGGGGCTCTTCCTGTGTTTGATATAAGTGAAAAATGTGGCTTCCATTGCTAATTCTGAAAAGACCTTGTCTGTGGATATGAACGTAATACAACAAAGCATATGATAACGCCATGTGTCCCACAGAGTATGTACAGGGGCAGCAGAATTGACCTTGTAAATAAGCATATATTCATCATCAGGGTTAGTGGCCCTAAAAAACGGTCTGACGTGGGAAGGGGAACAGGACGTGTGTGATTTGGAAGCAAAGGAATCACTCCCTTCCATTATGAAACATTAATGGTGGATAACTGCCGATCCAAATTCAAGCTTGCTGTTGTATGCTAAGAGCTCCAAGTTTCTGGTAGTCCCAGGGCTTGCGTGAAAATAGACATTTCATCAGCTGTTGCAATAATGGCTGCTATAACTTTAATATGGCATGTAAAGAAAACACGAATCCCACACACAACGCGGATATGGGACAAGGTGCCTGTGGACAACATAACCACTAATGTTGGCGATAATTGCTATGGTACTTAGAGTGCCCTGTTAAAGATTTAGCAAGTGACATGACAATTTTGTCCAGTCTTTCACACTGAGGGCATATATAGCTTTTAAGGAGGAGAGACAGAAACATTTATATCATTTGTTAAGTATGGCAGACATGACACGTGGCAGTTCTATCATATTTACTGTTAATGGTGCTTTTTAAACAGAGCATATTCACGAAAGCTTGTTGTAGTAGTTATGGTGGACATAGTCTTTGGACACAGTTGCCACAATTAGTATCAAACTGTTTTAATCAGTTGGTTAAAAACAGGGTTGTCCTAATCCAGGAAAAGAAAAACCTAATTCCGTTAATCTGGAAGTGTGTTTATTGCAGACTCTTTGTCTCACTGTACGACTCAGTGATTTGAAGTTGTTATGGTGTCTGGAGTCTGTATGTGCAGCGTTTCACTTCAGAGCTGGCGTGCAGGTAGGTTTTAGCTTTATTTTTGTTACTTGGTGGGTTGGACCAACACAGTATGGGCTACTCTAGCCCAAACATTGGTTTATTGGAATAAAACAGTGTTTGGTTGCAATAATCCATTAAGACATGAACAATATACGTTTATTTGAGTAGGGTCTTCTTCATCTCTAAATATCCCCTTGTATAATTGAAAACCGCTGCAGAATATGTTGGCGCTATCTCTCTACTCTTAATTAATAACGGAAATATTGCACGTCATCGCCAAAAACCTATTCTGTGTAATAATGCTTGCGTTTATATCTTTTGTGTTATAACATAGCATGTCATATTTTATTTACTCCCGCCATGGTCGGGTATTTTTGTTCATACTTTGTACACAATGCAAAAATATTTCATTATTTCACGTGTCACAAACTTTTTATTTCCTCGTTTATTTAGACTTTTATTCTACTATAGGATATCTACTCGGAGTCTTGTTATATTTACAAATATTGACTCCGTTTATGTACATGGCATTTGCAAAACTAAATGATTGTATTGCTCTCTGTGTAATCTATTTTAGAATTTATCTGTTTAACAATAAAGGACACTTAATATTTATCTTGCCAAATGTAGCATTTGGAAAAACAAAATCTTTCTCAGGTATGTGTGTTTGTGTACAGTAAACATGTACTGGAATCTACATTTTTGAACCCTTTGTGTGCCAGAGGTGTCCCCAACGCATTATATGCATAATGTGCAGCAAGGCATCCTTTCATTCTTTAATATTCGTTTTATATTTTGTATTTACAGCTTCAACACAAGATGATCCAATCAAATATCACTAATGAATATATCTGCCTCATTAGCATTTCTGGGATATCTTAGAAAGATGATGCGATGTGTTTTTTTTTACTGTTTATTTCTGATTCCTACCATAGTCTGTAACCTGATGCTGTAATTATTTATTCATTGGATTAACAGGCACAGATATCTGAAAGGGATGCTTAGCCTCACATCACTCGCATAGGCTAGAATAACTGAAACAATTGTTTTGTCTTCTCATTTTTTAGCCTCATCATGAACAGTAGACAGCAGTGGACAGGGGAGGACCAGTCAGTGGTCAGCCGTATGCAGAAGAAATTCTGGGAAACCAAACAAGTTTTGATTAAAGTTACAGGGAAAAAAGAGGATGAACACGTTGTTGCTTCAGATGCTGAACTTGATGCCAAGCTGGAGGTAGGTGAGATCTATGTTTGACTGTTTTTAAGAAAAATGGGAAGTTAGTGGGACTCTGCTATAGTTGGAGCCTGCCATATCCTCTCCACCACTAGATGGAACTGTGCTTTTAAACTAAATATTTTTCTTTACTACACGTGTTATATATTAAAAAATCTACATTTGATACTTCAGTAATACATTTATATATTTGTGGTGTGCATTAGCAGAAGATGAAAAGAAACTGTAAAGAGACATAAATTGGAAAGAAAACAAAAATAAGAAATTGTAAACACTAAGAAATCCTGATGTGAATAGTGAGGAAAACTATTTGACTCCTTAAAGGAAAAATAGTCGGGCACTGTAGCTCCCTATAGTGACCCCCTTGCGGCCCCCTTCTGTCACTTATCTGATTCCAGCAGTGATTCCCTCGGCGCTGGTCAGGCTCCTCCACTAACGCCAGCCACCAGTAAGGGACCTAATGCGCATGCACGGAGATTGCCGCACTTGCCTTAGGACTTCCCCCATAGTTCTGCATTGTACAATGCTTTCCTATAGTGTTTTGAGTTACACTGGATGTCCTCATGCATAACACGAGGACGTCCAGCATCAGTTAGGTGTCCAAAAGTCTCCAAACAACACGAAAGTCCCTCTGGTAGCTGTCTGGTAGATGGCCATTAGAGGTGGACTTAACACTGCAATGTAATTATTGCAGTTTATCAAAAAACTACCTTTGCAGGGTTAAGTGACCTGGGACATAGCAATATAATAATATTAGCTATATGTTGCTGCAACGTAAGTTTAAGCCCCCCCCATACATATAATATATAGTAGTTCCCCCATACATATATAATATATATAATGCCGTATTTCCCAGAGGATGCTTGTAATATAAACCTTACCATGAAAATAAGCCCTAGTCACTAGTTCGCTAATCTATGTTCGGGGAATTTTTCCCGAACATAGTTTTGCGGGATTTCATTTGTGAGTAAGCTAATCTATGTTCATGGACTTTTCCCTGAACATATACATGCAAGATTCTATTCGTGAGTAAACTAATCTATGTTTGGGGAAGTTTTTTTTCCAGAATATAAGTCCTAGTGCGTATATATGTTTTTAAAGGGCGGACATGGCTTTCTTTTAATATCCTATAAGTGTGAATAAAATGTTAAACTGGGTCTGAGACATGCCGTGCGTCTGAGAGGTGGCCCGTTCCACAGGGTGGTCCAGAATTGTAGCAAGGGAATGGTTGGTTGCATATATTGTTAAAGATCTCCATCCACACAGACTGCTGTGGTGTTGGTCGCTTCAACCCGGTTGTAACAGCCATTGTTGGTGTAGTCAGCTCCATGTACAGCTAGTCTCCAGTGGGGACCAGGATAACCCCCGCCGGTCCAAAGGTGGGGAAAAAGGGCTTCTTTCTCTGTAAGGCTTTTCAGAAGCATAAATCTGCCTAATAATCCACCGTGACAGGTTGGTAGGCCTTAATTTGAAGGAGCCCAAAAAACATTGAAAAAGTGGTCCAGTCCAGTTGGAGGTAGAGTCAAGATTTCAGTAAATAACACCAAATCACCAAATCTATGCTTAAATTATAGCTTTGTTGAGGAGCACTTCTAGCCTGCATCCCACTCAATCAGCTGCCAAGTCCCGGCCCTTTACACAGGGTTTTTATCGAAGTCTGATGCATATGATGTCCCTGATCACACCATTGGTGTCATCCAAAAATTACAGATTGACCTATTGTTGGACCACTGTTTTAGAGTAGACTAATTTAATGATAATTGTTTAGAAGCCCTTTAAGAATACAATAAATACTATTTTGAAAACAAATTTATATTGGATTTTTCTTTCTACAGATATTTCATTCCATTCAGACAACTGGATCAGAGTTAATCAAAATAATCGAGAAATACCAACAAGCACTTGATGGTAAGAATTGATGACCAAGTGCAGTAAAGTAGTTTGAATAATACATTTAATGGAAATAATAAGTTTATGAAATGTTCTGATGCTGAGCTACACCAAGGTTAGAATAAAAGATTGGGGTATATTCCTCTGCTGGGTGTTAATTGTCCTGTACATAAACTGGGTTATTCGCTAAAGTGTAAATGTCTGAAAATTAAAGGGAATTTTAAAATTTTAGACCAAAATAGGAGAATTGGAAAAAGTCAACAATGCTTTCTTTTGAGCTATTTTGGCCTAAACTTGTAAATTCAATTTAAATAATTTTCAGGATTACTTCCTAAAGTGAGATGTGTTGGGAATTTAAAGTGCATTTCAAATGTAAGTCAAACTATCTGAACTGGATGCATAGCTGATTAAGATAATCTTTTCAGTTTTGCTGTTTTGGTTTTAAATTTGAAATTCACTTTGAATTCCCAACAGTTTTACTTTAGTAAATAAACCCATTTGATGTCCCGAGAATTCACATGTTGGTGAATAACCTGAAAGTGTACTAGACTAGCTTTCAAGTCAACCTAAATATCAGAGGAGTAGAGTTGATCCCACCTTCTGTTTACACCAGCTGCCATTATTCCTCTAGCCAGGTTTTATTATTCCATTACATCGTTCCTTTTAGTTTTATCTTTTTCTTAAGTTGCATTAAAATATTATCAATGGCATAGGTACAGATATCATGCTCCCAGTCCTCGCTTCCGGTCATACGGGATTATTGCAATAGCGATTTAACTATACTGTCCCATGTATTGCTACATAACCACACGCTTGGATGTAAATATAGAACCATATATTGTTATAGATGGAAATGCAATATCTTGTGTACTTGTACCCATTGTACTTGTAAAATCGTTACTTTATCCTTATCATTTGTGTTGTATGAACCTGTTATTCATGTATCTTTATCACTGTGCCTTATCATTAAAAACCCACTTCTTCATAAAAGCATATCAATTAAACTGTTAATAGTTCCCGACTGATTCCTTTCTTGCAACTGTCACTAGTCTAATACTATCTTTACCCCACTCCCTCTAGCTGTAAGCTCATTGAGCAGGGCCCTCAACCCCTCTTTTCCTGTGTGTCCAACTTGTCTGCTTACAACTACATGTCTGTTCGTCCACCCATTGTAAAGCACTGCGGAATTCGATGGCGCTATATAAATAACATAATAATAGTAATAAAAGCAATAAAAACTATAATAAACAAAAAAAAAATAATAAAATCAGAGGAGTAAAGACTCCGTTAATGGACCTCCCATTTAAAATGGTCAATGTATTGATTCATTTATTTGTAATTATCTCCCTTAGTTCTGTCTCAGAAAGAGAATGATTTTGGTCTGCTCCTTAAGGAGCATGCTCAGCAGAACAGCACACAAGCAGGAAAAATGATGAAAGCCACAGGAAATGCTCTGTGTTCCTCCGCTGGGCAAAGGTATGTGGAATGCATCTTTGAACAGAAGAGAGTGGTCACTGTTTATTGGGTGATCCAGTGTCCCAGTACCCCTGTTAGTTTAAAAAGTGCATTGACTCATTTTCGCTCTTCCAGTTCTTCTGCTCTTCCAGTAAAGGAAGCCAAAACTCCAAAAGCATGTTAAAAGCTGGGGTTTTTATCTTTGTCTTTAATCAGGTTAGCAATCTGCACCCCCTTATCTCGCCTGGAGCAGGAAGTGGTCACTTTCAGTAGACGCGCAGTTTCCGATACCCTTCTGACCATAAATCGTATGGAGAAGGCACGGATTGAATATAGAGGGGCTTTGCTTTGGATGAAGGATGTTTCCCAGGAGTTGGACCCTGACACCTATAAACAGATGGAGAAATTCCGAAAGGTGGGCTGCAAGGTTTACTTGTCTGACAGGAAGCTACAATGTGATGTGCTGCTAATGTATTGATGCCAGATACCACAGGACATGTTCTGAGGTCTTGTGGAGTCCACGCCTTGATGCATCAGAGCTGTTTTGGCAGCATTTGGGAGGCCTTACTTTAAAATACTTAGCAGGAATATTAGGTGCAACTAATAAGTTGGGGGATGTAGACAGATTTAATTTGACTGCAAATATTTTGTGAGTACAGAGCCTAACTGGAGTCTGTTGATTAAATGATCACTGTTTTGGCTCAGTTGTCTTCAACTCAACTGATAACATTCCTAAAGGTACACTTTATCAATGATCAACTGAATTTAAACCATATTCAGCTAGAGGGATCTCTACTGTTTTCACAGGGCTCTTGGAAATAGCCCAACAAATTTCCGTTTAGGGATGGAGAAATGTTATAGTGTTTAGGAGGCTGAAGGTAGCATTAGGGTGACTTAGAGTTAGATGGGCCTAGTGTTATGCGTGCAGCTTCTCTGGTCTGTAATACCATAAATAAAGGGAGTTTGGTTGTTATTCAGCTGTTTGGAAATATTAATAGTGATTTGGCTGAATTTAACAGGTAATCAATTCATAGTACAAGTTTGGTTGAAATGGTCACATTTACTTGTTGGGAATTAGTTACATTTGTGTGAAACATTAACACTTTTACTTTAGAACAAGCATGTCAAACTCAAAGTCTGGATCGGGCCACATAAACAAGGTTTAAGTTTATGTGACCACAAAAAAAATAAAAAAAAATACCGTAAATGTTCATAGAAACGTATGTTTATTTTAAAAAGTACTGTATAAAAAAAAAAAAAAAACAGCAGCCCCGTCTACTAGACCACAGCACCTCCTCTACTAAATCCCAGCCCCCCTCTACTAAACCACAGCAGCCCCCCCCGCCACCCTGTGCCAAATCTGACCCTCCCGCTGACAGACACACACATTCACTGACAGACACACACATTCACTGACAGACGCACACATTCACACTGACAGACGCACACATTCACACTGACAGACGCACACATTCACACTGACAGACGCACACATACTTGCTGACAGACACACACTCACTGACAGACAGACACACACACAGACATACTCACTTTCAGAGACACACACAGACACACACATATTCACAGACAGACACGCACACTGACACACACATACTCAGAGAGACACACACATACTCAGACACACACATACTCACTGACAGACACACACATACAGACACACTGACAGACACACTGACAGACACACTGACAGACACACTGACAGACACACACACACTGACAGACACACACACTGACAGACACACACATACAGACACACACACACATACTCAGTGACAGACACACACACACTCACACAGTTACACATTCTTGCACACACATACAGACACACTGACAGACACACACACACACACTGACACACACACACTTTTTTTTTATTGCTCCTTACCTCATGGTGCCGATGTGGGGCATCTCCCTGGGGTTCCTCCTGCTCCTCACTGCTCCCTCGCATGGTTTAGTGATGCCGAGTGCCGGAATATGACGTCATATTCCGGCGCCCGGCTTCACTTCAGTCAGCGTGCGCGAGGGAGCAGTGAGGAGCAGGAACGCTGAGCTCCCTTGCTGGCCGCCAGCGTCCTGCTTCCTCCCCGGCCGGGTAAGTGTTAGCAGAGTAGGCACCTGCAATATGGAGAAAGCAGGCGCCCACTCTGCTATAACACCAGTATGTACTCGCAGCTCACCGGGCCGCAAAGATGGTCCTTGTGGGCCGCGAGTTTGACATGCTTGCTTTAGAACAACATTTGATTTGGTGAATTGACCTCCACTGTTTGATTTACACATTACTCCCTCAAACATGCTTAGCACATCTGCGGGATCCTAAGCCATCCTGCTTTGAGATATTTCTCCCATTGGTGCTGTTACGGGCAAATGCAAATATTACAAGTTTTAGAATGAAATGTTGTATTTTTTAAACTGTGTACTTTGTCTTTAAGAGATATTGCAAACTGACAAGGTGTTAGAAATGGAACATATTGTTTTTCATAACTGTTTCTTTAAGCATAATATGTTTGCGCCATTTTGTCCCAGACGAATTACAATAACAATAATGCATAAACAAGTTTCAAGGCTATGCTACGACTCTTGCAGTACACAATATACTGTGGTAACCAAGTTAATGGAACTTCCCCAAATCCGGGAATCTCCCGCGACTGTACACTTACGACTTAGTATAAACAACAGATAACCTATTCAGACTTTAAGATGCCATCTTGAACTAAGTCAGGAAAATTTCCATGACGTATACACCCTTTAGTTATGGCCTTGTATGTTTGCCAAATTAAGGGAGGTCCTAAATTGAATAAAGTAAAAGAAGTGTTACTTTTTCATATTTGAACTACAGTAACCTAAAATGGAGACACCTAAGGTATAAATAGGTGTACTTTTAAATGTTAAGACACAGAGGAGAGACTTGGAGACAGACGCTGCTCCATCTTAAAATGACAGAGAGGCTGACATGATGACATGTTCAGAAGGGTATGTTAACCTATTAATGATATTTGCAAGCATGTAATTTAAATCTTATAAACTCTGCTATAATGGATTTTATATTTTTATATAATAAATATCCAAAAGACAATCTTGCTTCCAAGACAATCCTTATTTTATATTGTATTCTCAATTATTTATATATGTTAAATAGAGGAGCTCTTACACTATATAAAATTATGGCTAAGATATCTGTATGGTTAGCCCTACTAAGTTCTATGCTTTAAGACATTATAGTGGTAAATAAGGGAACCACCAGCGGTTACAGTGCCTACTGAGCAGCAGTCTATTTATCATGTGGGTACAGGAAATGGTTGCAGTATAAAAATTTTAAATGACCATTCTTTGTTTTATTTGTAGCAGCCTAATCAAATATTTGTATTCTAATGTAGCAATTTATTTCAAGTGCCATGCCTCTAAAGATAACATTTCTACTTTTGTATAATGTCCACAGGTTCAGATTCAGGTAAGAAACACTAAAAGCCATTTTGACAAGACTAAGATGGATGTATGCCAGAAAGTGGACCTCCTGGGAGCCAGCCGTTGCAATATGCTGTCACATTCACTAGCTTCATATCAGGTAACACTGATCAAACATGTTACTTATATCATAGTTGTCAAAGTTTGTTTTGCTGGGTCAGTCTCATTGTTTTTTTAAATCAGCCCTGCAATGTAGAACATTATTCACTAAAGTGGGAATTCAAATTTAAAGAAACACTATAGTGTTAGGAGTACAAACATGTATTTCTAACACTTTAGTGTTTCCCTACCTATGTAGGTTATTCTGATGTGATTATCAAACAACTTGGAAGTGGGCTGCAATATGTATTGATTAAAAGATATGTGTCTGTAGGAAAAAAAAAAAAAGCGAAGGAGAAAGAAAACCGAAATTGAGAATGGGTAGAAAAGAAGATAAAATAAGAGCGAGGAAAAGGGAGCAAAAGTAATTATTCCACTGAAAAGGCAGACCTATATATGGCATTAAAAAAAAACTATATAACATTTTTAAATTAAAGGGAAAATGCACCAAAACCCAGGATGCTACTGCAGGCTGTTAACAGAGTAGGATATAATTTAGGGGTAATTATTTCAGATGACTTAAAGGTAGGCAGACAATGTAATAGAGCAGCAGGAAATGCTAGCAGAATGCTTGGTTGTATAGGGAGAGGTATTAGCAGTAGAAAGAGGGAAGTGCTCATGCCATTGTACAGAACACTGGTGAGACCTCACTTGGAGTATTGTACGCAGTACTGGAGACCTTCAGAAGGATATTGATACCTTCGAGAGGGTTCAGAGAAGGGCTACTAAACGGGTTCATGGATTGCGGAATAAAACTTACCAGGAAAGGTTAAAGGATCTTAATATGTATAGCTTGGAGGAAAGACGAGACAGGGGGGATATGATAGAAACATTTAAATACATAAAGGGAATCAACACAGTAAAGGAGGAGACTGTATTTAAAAGAAGAAAAACTACCACAACAAGAGGACATAGTCTTAAATTAGAGGGACAAAAGTTGAAAAATAATATCAGGAAGTATTACTGTACTGAGAGGGTACTGGATGCATGGAATAGCCTTCCAGCTGAAGTGGTAGAGGTTAACACAGTAAAGGAGTTTAAGCATGCGTGGGATAGGCATAAGGCTATCCTAACTATAAGATAAGGCCAGGGACTAATGAAAGTATTTAGAAAATTGGGCAGACTAGCTGGGCCGAATGGTTCTTATCTGCCGTCACATTCTAAAGGAAGTTTGATACATGGGAATTGTAGTTAACATTAGATATCCCTTTACAGCAAATGTGTAGAGTAGACTATGTAAGTCCCAGCCAGGGGATGTTTGGCTAGGGCTGTATAAACAAAGTGATTTAATGGCAGATGAGTGAGACTGCAGAGGCGTGATCTATACACCAAAACTGCTACATTAAGCTAAAGGTTGATTTGGTGCTCCGAGTGTCCCTTTAATGTATTATATTGAAATAAAACATGCAGAACTGTGGATCCAACAAACCCTGTGCACGTGTAGAATGAAAGTAGAAATGAATAAATTGCTATGTTTTATTTCGTTCTAACAGACCACCCTACTGCACTTCTGGAAAAAGACTGCTCATCTTATGTCCGAAATACAAGAGGAATTTCAAGCAATGCTTCCATTCAGTGTATCAGAAACCAAGGTTATTTTTCTGTATACTTTTCATCTTTCCCAGCGACCTAAAGGGGAACCATTACCGTGGGAATCGATATCATGACATTGGGTTTTCATGGTGATTGATCCACGTTTCTGTTAGCAATGCTTCTACATCTCCTCTCCTTTGTATGTTAATGGAACACTGTAGTGTTAGGAATACACACATGCATTGTGTTCTCATCCTTATTTAGATAAAAAGTTGTTATAGCTTTGCCATCATGACTTATTCCAGTTTTCATTAGTGCGCCAGTTTATATATTGCTTTTGGTGGGGATTTGAGCTTAATTTTGAATGGCTTGTTTCCAACAGCAAGAGAGAGAACATGTACCCCTATTTATAACCCTTATTGCAGAATGAGGACTAATGAGTGTATAAATCTTTCCTTCTCCTTACTTCCTAGGCCAGTGATGGCTAACTATGGCACTGCAAGTGATGGTAAGATACATGGGAAATGTAGTTCACAAGCACATACAGTGCCAAAGGTAGCCCCTGTACACACTGGCTGGGAGGAACCTAAATTAATTGCATATGTGTTGCTCAATTCCTTTGACCTAACTTCCTTCCTCTACCCAATGTATTGGGTACCGAGCGTCCCTCCTAATGAGTTATATATCCTAGACAGAGCTTGGCTGAATGCTGCCATCCACCCTCTAAAGAGTTGATTATGAGATCGGAATTACCATCTTCTGTTCCACCAGTAACTTTATTGGAAAGTGTGAGGGATGGCAATCACACAAATTCCTCTTTTCCAGTTACCCGATGAACGTGCATTTTCTTTTAGCACCGAAAGACATCGGGCGTTTTAATCCTTTAAACGCAGAACAGTGCATTTTATTGCACAAGATGCACCATTTACTTTAAATTATTATTTCACTTTTCTGTTTTTTCCTTATCCTGTGTAGTTGGATCTGAAGGGAGAGAGGGATGTTCTATTCTCTATCTAACAGACTGAGAAACTCTAGACTCGTTGAGAACACATTATGGAATTGCTCCCCATCTTACATATAGGAGATTCGGGACTAAATGGATTCATCATACTATTTCTTTGAAGAAATGTTTCTACAGCATTTGCTACTCTGTATATCTATTTGGAGTATGTGATCACAGATACTTGGTACCTTGGATCTCTTCTCTCAACAATTTATGCTAGCCTAGTATTCCTATGTAAGGAATGGATGCCTAATGAGACGTATGATGGAGCAGGAGGGCTAGATTTAATAAAGCCTTACAGTATCCACTGTCCAATTGGTTTTTAATAGATACAAGGAGATAGGCCTAGCTAATAACAGGATAAGTGTTAGTCTATCACAGAGCTATTGTAGTGTTATAGTAAAATGGTGATTTCTATTGAGGAGTTATTTGGTTGTCCAGTGAAGTGAATTTAGATTTGTGGGAATTTTTGTAGATTTTCATCAGGTATGCCCTACCACATTTGTTTTGCAGTCAGTGCTTTTTCTCTCTCGTAGCTCTTCTTCTGTATTTTATGTGCCGTAATTTTAGGCAATAAAAGCATTACTCATCTCACTGGTGCTTAGTGGGTATTTTTACATTTAATACGTAACTTATATTTTATTGATGTGTTTTAGGTCACTAAATAGGTTTCTATTTTCCTAATGCATGTATGTTCCCTTCTAGTCTCTTCTCACTATTCCAATTAACCCTTCCCATTCTTGCATGATGGAAAAAAATCGTATTTGGTTACCAACTGGCATAGCCCATGTAACGTCCACCCTGGTGGTTAGAGGGGTGTATGACGTTGGAGACGTCCTTTGCCCTTGCGAGAGGTTGAGCTGCAGTGTATTCCCGATGTCCCATCAGCTGGATCAGTGTAGATAGAGAGAGGGGCAGAGCTCTTACAAGAGCTAGTGATTAGCTGGATGCAGGTTCTCTTCAATAACGAGACGAGGCTATGTATTGAGGGTTAAGCAGAATTGAAAGTTTAATGTGCCAGGCTTGCTTTTATACAACTTTTCCCACGAGGTTACCACCCATGTGAACCTTGTTGGGCACCGAAAACACAAACTCAACAACCAATAGTTTACAGTCACACAGTTAAACACTCCCATTCATTACTGTAAATTCCTCCTCTCTGCTTGGGAGATAATTGAGTTAATTGCTGTATCAACTCAGTTCTCTCTGAGCGAAAAATACACTTTTTACTCATTTTTCATAACATTAAAATTATACATCCAACTCCCATAAAATATATTTTCAGAATGAGCATAATTAGGGAACAAACATATCCAAAAATCATACAAATTGGTTCAGGGGTTCGTGAGATAGATGGAAGTCCCATTTCTGCCTGGTTGCACACGAGGCTCCTGCCCAAAATAGTTCCATGCGTTCAGCTGGTGTGTCCAGTCCCTTTTTGTATATTTAAAATACCGAACAGTCATTCTTTTTATTGTTTGTGCCTTTGGTGGTCGTGTGCCGCCTCGTTCGTGTAATACTTCTACCGAACGCCGCCTTGTTCGTATGAATCTGTGCGAAGTTAAGTGGTCTTGGAAGTTTCAGCGGTGTTCGGGCGTTTGAGTGTCCGAAAATAGTTTCAAACACTCGACGACCAAACCCCGCTGAACGCGTTCGACAAAACAAGATGGCCGCCGCCACATTTTCATGCATACGAATCGACGGCCACACAGTGAACCACTTAGAACATTTGCGTTTGGAACAGAGTCAAGGAGTCAATGGCGGCACACGACTGGTCTGGGTGGTCTCTGGTTCGGTAGTTTGTTCGGTTATACGAACGAGTTAGCAGGGTTATTCGTTTTCCCATTCTTATGTTCAGCATAACAACGGTAACAAATACAGTGGTTACAATGTTCCAAGTCTGTTGGCCAGGCAATAACAGGGATCTGTTACAGCCCAATATATGCCCTGAGCAGTCCTGGCACTATAAGTGAGCATTGCTGGCTCCTGTATATTGCAAGGAGGGGGTGGGGCACAATTTGCATTCTATCACTGTGACAGAAAGCCAAGTTCAGCTAGTTTATTGTGGTTTAATTTTACAATTCAATGAAAACTAAAACAGACTTTAGCATGCAACTGGTTATTGATTAAGTGTTTGGGACACGCTTTATTCCCTTTAAGACATTCATTATCCTGAAAAACATGCCATGGACTCCATATGCTGTATGTTACCAGTGCAGTCAATTTAATTTTATAGATGTACATACGTGTTTATTTTAACCCGCTGTTTTACGTGTATTTCTAACGTCCTCTAGCCTTGTGCGCAGCTCTCGGAGAATAGCACAGAGGAGACACACAGTGAGCACGCAGCAGAACACAAGGACATGTGAGTACAAAAGGCAACAGTTACCCGTGTTATGCCGTATTCTTAGATTAGAAATGGTATATCTTCAATGGTCTTACATGTATGAAAAATTAATATCTGACGTCTCTTTGGCTAAGATTTCACAAACCTTTATACTGTCCTACATTTAAAAAACGATTGACATATAATCTGAATGACAATTTAAAGGTTTTCTGGTTGTGCTATCACTGTATGGAGAGTATAAGTTGCAGTAGGATATGTCTTCATACAACAACTTTCTGTGCTGTTGTTTTCTCCCCTTGGGGATCAGAGATTCTTCCTTTATCTGCTTGAATGTTTTACCTCTTCAACAGTCTTCATTCTAGTACAGTGTGGTTAGATAGACATTCACGATCATCTGTTTTACAAACGGGTTGTTGTGGCCAGTCCAGGCGTTGTAAAACCAAAGCAAGCGTTTTTCTAGCCATCCGTGCATTAGTTTAATTCCAAATAGTTCTATGGCTTAAGTATGTGCAAATCTTCAATCTAAATTTCATCAATCTTTTTCCTTTTAAAGGTTAAAATATTATTTTATGTCATCAGAAATCATCTATGCACCATCATATAGCATCTTAAAACCTTTTATATAAAAGACAATATTATAGAAATATTGGTATGTGCGGTTTGTACAACCTATAGCAATGGTAGACCACCTACGGCACCCCAGATGTGGACTACATCTCCTTTAATGCACTTACAGTCATAATGCCGGCAGAAGGTTGCCTACCCCTGACCTGCACATTGCTTTGTGCCTTTTATTGCCTGTGTTTTCTACTGACATGTATTGGCAATTCTTTCTCTAATAAAGTCTTGTGTTTTTATGCTCTCTACTTTGCAATGACAATTTTCAGGGACAATTAGTAAAGCCAGAATTTAAAGTGGATTCTAAGAGAACTTCAAATATAAGGCCAGAGTAGCTGAACTGAAAGCATAAATGATAGAGAATTATTCTAGTTCAGCTATTTTGACCTTGCACCCTCAGATTGTTCAAATAACCATTTCCTGTTTCCGGTGCAGTGGCTACTCTGCAAATCACAGAATTTGATTGGCTGCAGGCATCACATGCTCTCCACAGCCTTGCTGACTTTACACTGTGTCTGAAAGTTGTGATGCAATTTAAAAATGACCTCTTCTCCATTGAACAATGATAGATGCAGTAATTCCCGATAAACGTTCTGTAGCTTGTTTAGGTGAAAATTATGTTTTCAATTTTTTTTAAAACCAGTGGTTCCCAAACTAGTCCTTGTGGCTCAGGAGCAGTTCGGGTTTTGATGGTGTCTCCTTGGTATAGAAAGGGGAAATACCTAAAACCTGGACTGTAGCTGGGCCATGAGAACTGGTTTTGGATCCACTGTCAAAACCATTTATGGAAAGAAGATACCACGTGACGACCGTATCAGTTCAAATCCTGACTCTCCTTACTACAGCCAAGGAATGTCATGGTTAACATGTGAATGTTTAAAATTAAAATATATCGGCTACCATTACTGACCATGCAGTTAAAAACCAATCCGCTTTCAGTATTTCCCTCCTAACTGCTCTGATCCCACCTATTTTACATGGAATACAAGTCCAATTTTCTTCTATAAACTGCATAATAGGCAGTGACTTTTGTCCTTGCCAAGGAGAGTGATTTTGGGTTAGATAGGTGTTATATCTGACTGAGGATTGACTAAGATTTATGTGATCACAGGACAACAGGGGAAAAGATCTATGACAGGGGTAGGCAACCTACGGCACTAGTGCCATGCATGGCACTCAAGATGTCTTTGCACAGCACTCAAGGCTGCTAGAGCCAAACAAGCTCTGGCCTATCAGGAGTCCTGGTATCCGATACCTGCTAATACGAAGAGGTGGTGAAGGACAATCCTCAATTTATGCATTGCAGCATGTAGAGGAAGTGATCTCAGATCACTTCCTCCCAGCACATGTGAATGGGAATCCATACTGCAGTAGAGCAGCCTGCAGCTGCTGTTGCAGCTCCTGTCCTTGACCTGTACCTGGCCAGCCCGGTCCCCACTGGAATTCAGGGAAGCCACCCACCCTGCTAGATATACACAGAAAGGCAGAATAACCCTCCCCTAATACAAATAACACGAACAGCCCACACACAAACATACACACAATCCTTACAAACGCAACACCACTAACAATCCACATGCATGCACACACACCACCAACCACAAACTTCTCATGAACATATACAATATAATAGCTCATATACTCTCAAATACAACGATACAAAGCAATTACAGTAAAAATAACACAAGCAGAATACGGCAGCATACACACCTCAATTTAAAAAAATAGGACCGGCACGGTACGGGACATCACAATCCTATATCGGCACAGTGCTGCTAAAAGGTTGCCTACCCCTGATCTATTAGGTAATTTTGAATTCAGTGTACTTGCTTAAAGGAAAGATATTGAAAACAGACAAACTTAACAGGAGAAAACAAACATTTCATGATAGTTTTCCTTTAACAAAATCAAAAATCTTAATCGATTTAATGTATTTGTTTTGTTTTTTATTTATTTTTTATTTATTTTTTTTATTTTCAGGTTAGTTACACTACAGATGGAATCCCAAGCAGAATGTGGAGCAGAATTGGGTAAATGTCATAGAAACCGTTTTTCTGTTACATGCATTTTATTTGTTTTTGTTTGCTGACAATATATTATACATGTTATTTTCCTTCAGAAAAAGTGTCAAAAAAATAAAATAATGGAATTTGCATAAAGAGCTTTGTGATAAGCACGATTGTGCAGGGTTGCTGCAAGGATTTTTAATGCTGCTTGTTCATCCTCTCTGCCTCCTTTCTCCTAGTCTTTGATTTCAGTTGCTTTTTTTCATGGTTCTGCTGCATGTGAACACGAGGCTTTGAGGAGGCTGTGCATGGTACCAGGTAGTAGAGTGTTGCACACCAGTATATTGACACACTGGAGCTCTGTGGGGGAGGTCTGCTAGCCCCCAATATAAAGCCAAAAGTATAGAGCCACAGGCTACACAGTGCAGGGTGATCAGTAAGGTGTATTTAATAACAATCTGTTTTCCTGGCACTGCAGGTCTCCTCTCCCTCCCACCACCCATCCCCGGTTGTTGAAGGTGTGAAAACCCCTTCAGTCACTTACCTGAGACCCCCGCCGATGTCCCTCGGCGGTGGTTTCGGGTCGCCACCGCTCCTCCCCTTCATTACGCCAGCCCGCGGTGGAGACTGATCCCGCCCGACGGCTGAGGAGACCTAATGCGCATGCGCGGCAATAATTACACTTGCAGGGTTAAGGGTAGTGGGAGTTGGCACCCAGACCACTCCAATGGGCACAAGTGGTCTGGGTGCCTAGAGTGTCCCTTTAATTATGGTCCAAAAGACAAAACAAACATACAATGTGAGCCCTTGATCATGTATATATCTTTGCTCCCAATATAAATCCAGAAGTATAGGAGGTGTGTGGGAGGCTTTGCTATGTATTTAGTAGGTATGAGGATTATGTGTGCATGGAAAGCTGTGATGGGTGTGTGTTGGGCGATGTGTTTGTGGTGTGGATATACTGCATATAGTGTTGTTCACTTCTTAGATTTTTATTTATTTAGTGTTTTTGAAGGCAGAATCTTATTCTCTGGTAGGCGGGTGAGTGCTAGTAGCAGTGATGGGGTGAAGGGCTAATCCTTTTTAAAAAAAAAAAATTGTATTCTTTATTTTGTTGTGCATGTAAAAAGAGGCAAGCAATGCCACATAAGCTATTGCTAGCATAGTAATCAACATTCAGAGACAATTGTATGGGATCCAATAACATTGCACATTTTATAATATGATGTAGAATGATAAATAGATAAACTAACATGTCAGTTACAAGACAAGGCATGTGTAAGTAAGTCGGATTATACGTACTGACAGTTTGGAAAAGTATGGAACGGTAAGCTTAGATTGGACATATTCTATATTCACTATTTATAAAAACCAGGTATGAAATGTCTAGCTACTATCAGCTTTATCTTCCCAGGAGGCCCGGGATCCCTCTGGGTAAGGGCATGAGGATGCATGTAGATCTGCTGACTTGCATATTGTGTTACACGAGTGACCAAAACAGTAAAACTAAACAAAATGCACTCTATTCAAAAGGTAACATCGTTCACATGTAAAAGATATGGTTATGTTGCTTTCTGCTAATACGGATTTCTTCTGTGTCCCAGAAAGTCCCTCAGTGCCTTCTCCAGCCTATGCCTTCCATGGTTACTACCCAGACCTGTAATCCGCATAGGGACTCATCCATCACAGATACCAGTCCTGAGAGCCCTGATGCCAGGCATATCTGCTTGTGCACATAAATGCATGCTGTAGAGTGACCAGGTCTGCTTGTCTGTGTCGGTTGGGTCCGGCGTGGGTAAGAGTGCAGGCTCTTCATGGCTTTTGTGCCGGGCTTTGATTTGGAGGTGGGCTGGGATGAGACTGGCTGTAACCTGCGTGGGATATTAGTAGCAATCAGGTGTAGTAGCCACACGGGTTTGTGTGCTGACAGGATGTTGCACTGTCTTCAGTGCCATTTTCTGGCTTGCGGTGGTCGCCTTGGCTTGGATTTCTGCGACAGCAATAACCCACATCGGTCCATGGGGGGGGGGATTGCCTCAAGGAGCAGGAGCAGCTCTATCCTGCCTCTGCTCAGCTCTGCAGTCAGGCTCCGCCTCGAAGGGGTAATCATTTGATCTCTATACTTTCCCATGGGTCTGCTAGGTACCGTCTCAGAACATGTGCGCCATTAAAAATGCCTTATTCTCTTTATGGTAGCACCGGGCTTGATATGTTTCTTCCTAACCTGCTTATACAGCTAGATCCGTTGCTGAAGTTTTGAGTAGTAGTGTTATTATCTATTTAAGATACATGACAGCAGCAAAATATGTTTGAGTACATCTCCTGTATCTTAATAGTGATAAGATACATGAATGTACATCATCATAGATTATATACAAAGCATGAATAACAAAGGAGCTCTGTAGTGTTGCATTACCATCAGCAAAAATAAGGGGTAAAAAAAGAGGGTGGGATTGAGAAACCGGAGTAGTGGACCTTGCTGAGGTAAAGATAGGGGTGATTTGAGACCTAGTGCCGGGCTCCCTTGGCGCTGGGGAACTCTCCTCCTCCTGCTGACGTCAGTGCTGAATGCGCATGCGCGGCAAGAGCCGCACGCGCATTCAATCAGTCAATAGGAAAACATTTCTCAATGCCTTATCACTGTGATTTTCAGTGTGAATCGCAGAAGCAGCCTCTAGTGGCTGTAGGTGAGACAGCCACTAGAGGCTGGATTAACCCCGAACAGAAAAGAGACATCTGTTTTTTGTTTTTTTTTACATAAATCATTTTTATTAGAGAATGTTATCAATGCATATAATATCAAAACTGTAACATTTTCATATAACAGAGTAAACAATTGCTATACGACAATTTACAACTATTTTTCCTAGATTGACAACAAAGCTTTGCTTAAACGTATTATGCTGTTGTCCTCCGGTAATTGTAGCCTTATTAGCTTAATTAAAACCTAAGAATACCACAGAAAGATAACATAAAGGGAGGGGAATACAGAAAGGAAAAAAAGGGGGGAGGGGGGCTAGGTTCACATTGATATTGGTTATGCAACAGTTCTTGTGACACATACCCTGGTCTTAGAACCCTAGAGCCTGGCCGGACATTCAAGTCACACAAAAGTGGTGCCCTGTAAGCTATTTATTCCTATCAGTTTCCTCATTGTTAGCGTTGCTGTCCTGTGCCTTTCCAATATTTGTGGCCCAGCATTCCCAATCTCTCACATACCTACTTACACAACCCTGTGTTTTGCTAACCATTCTCTCGTTAATACTTATCGTATTCAATTTTAGTATGAGAGTATTTAACAAGGGAATCGTTGTGCTCTTCCAGTGAAACGCCAAGTTTATCTTAGCTACCGTGAGAATGATGAGCAATACTTTGTGGTTGGGGTGGTGTATCAGCCCGGGGATGATATGCAGAAGGTAGCTGGTTGGCTTCTTTGGTATTCTATAGAGCAGCGGTTCCCAAAGTGTGGGTCGCAGGGCGATTCCCAGTGTGTCGTGCTGACCAACACATCCAGGGCCACCGGAGACTCGGGAGTCAGACTGATCAGGAAGGGGCCTGGCGGCTTGCCCGGTATGCCGCCGGGTTCCTTCCAATCAGTCTGCCCAGCACCTCCGGTCTGCAGCTCCGCCGGGTGCAGACCGTGTGATAGAAGTCTCACGAGCACCCAGAGCATTACCATGGCAACACTCTGGGAGCTCGCCAGACTTTTATTACACTGTCTGCAGCTCTGCACCCGGCGGAGCTGCAGACCAGAGAGGTAACCCACCGGACCACTAGGGACGTTTAATGAAGGTAGGGCACAGAGCCCAAACAATGCCCCACCCCAATGTAACCCCTTCTCTCCCTGCACCCCCCACACAATGTAACCCTTTCACTCCCTGCCCCACCCAACACAATGTAACCCCTTTACTCCCTGCCCCACCCAACACAATGTAACCCCTTTACTCCCTGCCCCACCCAACACAATGTAACCCCTTCACTCCCTGCCCCCAACACAATGTAACCCCTTCACTCCCCTGCCCCCCACACAATGCCAACCCCTTCCTCCCCTGCCCCCCTGTGCTTGTCCCCTTCACTCCTGCCCCCAATGCAACCCCGCCTGCTCGTGCCCCCCTCCCACAATGCCAACCCCTTCACTCCTTTTCCCACAGTAGCAACCCCTTCACTCCTTGCCCCCCCTCCCCACAATGTAGCCTTCCTCCTTCCCCCCCCTCCCACAGTGTAGCCCTTCACTTCTTGCCCCTCCACCTCATGTGCTTCCTCCCTTGCCCCTGCCCTGTGTGGCCTTCCTCCTTGCCCCTTCCCACCTGTGGCTCCCTTTCACTCCCTTGCCCCTGCCACAAGTGCAACCCCTTCGCACTCCTTGCCCCCCACACTGTAACCCCTTTTCACTCCTTGCCCCTCCTGATGTGACCTTCCTCCTTGCCCCCTTCCCCACACTGTAACCCCTTCACTCCTTGCCTCCTCCCCACAGTGCCAGCCTTCACTCCTTGCCCCCCAGACAGTAGCGGCCTTCAAGCTTCTTTGCCCCCCTCCCACACTGTAGCCCTTTCACTCCCTTGCCCCCCTGCCCGCACTGTGGCCCTTCATCCCTTTCTTGCACTGTAGCCCCTTCACTCGCCCTTTACCCCACTGCCAACCCTTTCCTCCTTGCCCCCTGCCTGATGCCAACCCCTTCACTCTTGCCCCTTCCCACAGTGTAGCCTTCACTCGCCCTTTATCACACTGTAGCCTCTTCCTCAAGCTGCCCCCTCCACACTGTAACCCCTTCACGCCCTGCCCCCCCACTGTAGCCTTTTATCCCCCTGCCCGCCCACTGTAACCCTTTCTCCCCCTGCCCACCCACTGAAGCCCTTTCTAACCCTTCCCTCACACTGCCCCCCACACTATTACCAGCACACATACTCCCTCCCACACTGTCACTCTCACCTCTCCCACACGCTGTCACCCTCACCTCCTGTCTCTGCGTGTATGTGTATCTGTGTGTCCGTGTGTATCTGTGTGTCCGTGTGTGTCTGTGTGTATTGTGTGTGTCTGTGTGTATTGTGTGTGTCTGTGTACATGAGTGTCTTTGTATCTGTGTGTGGGAAACTAGGTGTCATTGTGTGTCTCTGTGTATTGCTGTGTCAGTGTGTGTGTATTTCTGTGTCTGTGTGTGTCTCTGTATGTGTGTGTATGTGTATACACTGCACACATACTCCATACAAAAAACATGCTTACATTCAAACACATTGTGTATATGTATAATTTATAAACACAATATAAACACACTGCATCCACTACACACGCACTGCATTTAAAAGCAAACATTACATACAAACACACCCCTGCATTAAAACACTAAAATGATCTACAAACACCCCTTCATTCAAACACCAACACTACACACAAAAAGCACACCTGCATTTAAAGTTCTACACTACATACAAACACCCATGCATTCAGACGCAAACATTACAAACAAGTACACCACTACATTCCAATGGCAACAGTACATACAAATACACCCATACATGCACACATATACCGTATTTATCGGCGTATAACACGCACCGGCGTATAACACGCACCTCATTTTAAGAAGGAAATTTCAGGGAAAAAAAACTTAAAGGACCACTATAGTGCCCTGAGGGTGCCCCCCCCCTCAGGGACCCCCTCCCGCCGGGCTCTGGAGAGAGGAAGGGGTTAAACACTTACCTTTCTCCAGCGCCGGGTGGGGAGCTGTACTCCTCCTCTCCTCCTTGCTCGCGACGTCATCGGCTGAATGCGCACGCGCATTCAGCCCGTCGCATAGGAAAGCATTTACAATGCTTTCCTATGGACGCTTGCGTGCTCTCACTGTGATTTTCACAATGAGAAGCACGCAAGCGCCTCTAGCGGCTGTCAATGAGACAGCCACTAGAGGCTCTGGAGGCTGGATTAACCCTCAGTATAAACATAGCAGTTTCTCTGAAACTGCTATGTTTATATATTAAAAAAAAAAAAAAAAAGTTAATCCTAGAGGGACCTGGCACCCAGACCAATTCATAAAGCTGAAGTGGTCTGGGTGCCTAGAGTGGTCCTTTTAAATTTCAAATAAAGAACTTCTTACTTCCCCTTCCCCCTCTTACCCCTTCTTACTCCCCCTCCCCCTCTTCTTACTTCCCCCTCTTACCCCTTTCTTACCCCCCTCCCCTCTTTCTCTTACTTCCCTCCCCTTCTACTTCCCCCCTTCTTACCCCCTCCCTCTTACCCCTTTCTTACTCCCTCCCCTTCTTACTCTCCCTCTTCTTACTCTCCCCCTCCCTCTTACCTCTTTCCCCCTCCCCGCCTACCCCTCCTCCCTCACTCCCTCTTCTACCCTCCCGTACCGTGGTCAGCTGCCTGCTGTTCCGCGCGGAACAGGAGTTTCTCTCTCTGTACCGTCGGTCGGACAGGAAGGTGCACACTGAGCGTGCACCTTCCTATCACTCCGGCCGGCCACCGCGGACAGCAGAGCGGCTCGGCCACGCTACAGGGGAGGTGAGTACCAACTGCAGCCGCCTGAGCGCTCTTGACAGAGCGCTCAGGCGGCTGCAGTATTTAAAGGGCCGGCGTATAACACGCACCCACAATTTCTCCCCTATTTTCAGGGAGAAAAAGTGCATGTTATATGCCGATAAATACGGTACTTAATACAAAAAAACATGCTTAAATTCAAACGCTCAAACAATGCTCACAAATATAATGCAATGATGCGAAAATGGTAGATACCCATCTGGCATAGCATTGTTGAAGTTCTCCGACAGACGAAGATCTACCTTTAGGCCACACTTGCACTAAAGGGGGGCCCAGAAAACATACTTGCACCAGGGCCCTCTCTACATTAGTTCCACCACTGGGACAATCAACGTGAGATGCCTGGATGAAAGAGCAGGACACAGCACTTCTGATTCTGAGTCTGTGAGTAAGCAGTTGTATGTCTCTAAAACTGATTACCATGATGTGCAAAGTTTCTGCCTCTAAAACTGCCATGATATCCCACAATTATGCCTCTAAAACTGCCATGTTATGCCAATTTTATGCATCTAAAAGCTGATTGCCAAGGTATGCCAATTGTATGCATCTAAAAGCTGATTGCCATGGTGTGCCAATTTTATGCATCTGACTGTTTGCCATGGTGTGCCAGTTGTATGCCTCTGAAGCTGATTGCCATGATGTGCCAAGTTTATGCATCTAAAAGTGATTGCCATGGTGTGCCAATTTTATGCCTCTAAAGCTTGTTGCCATGGTGTGCCAATTGTAAGTCTCTAAAACTGATTGCCATGGTGTGCCAATTTTGTGCACCTGAAGTTGCCATGATGTGCCAAGTTTATACATCTATAACGGATTGCCATGATGTACCAATTTTATGCGTCTAAAACTGATTGCCATGATGTTACAATTTTATGCCTCTAAAGCTGATTGCCATGGTATGCCAATTGTATGCATCTAAAGCGGATTGCCATGGTGTGCCAATTTTATGCCTCTAAAACTGATTGCCACGGTATGCCAATTGTATGCATCTAAAGCGGATTGCTATAGTGTGCCAATTTTATGCATCTAAAGCTGCCATAATGTTCCAATTGTATGCCTGTAAAGCTGATTGCCATGGTGTGCCAATTGTATGCATCTAAAGCAGATTTCCATGGTGTGCCAATTTTATGCCTCTAAAACGGATTGCCACAGTGTGCTAATTGTATACCTCTAAAGCTGTTTGCCATGGTGTGCCAATTTTATGCCTCTAAAATTAATGGTCATGGTGTGCCAATTGTGTGCATCTAAAGCGGATTCCTATGGTGTGCCAATTGTATGCCTCTAAAGCCGATTACCATGGTGTTCATGGTGTTTTAAAATATGCATTAAAAGCAGGTGGGTCTCGAAAAATTACCGTTTTGAAAAGTGGGTCTCGGCCCATAAAAGTTTGGGAAGCCCTGCTATAGAGTGTGGTATCAGAAATAAATTTCCCCACCCGGTCCCAGTATTCTCCCAGGGCCGGACAATCCCAAAATGTGTGTAGCATAGTGCCTATCTGTGTTTTGCATCTCCAGCATAGCTCCGCGATATAGATTCGCGATAACTTGTATGGCACCAGGTACCATCTCATGGTGATTTTACAGAAGGCTTACCAGACCGATAAGCTCCTTGAGGCTCGTTTAGTAATTGACATAGCTTCGTGCCAATGTGACAGAGGTATCTCATACCCCAGCTCCTTCTCCCATTGGATCATATAGGGCATTTTGTCTTTTGCAGGCCCCTGGAGAAGAGCATTGTAACAGAGAGAGAGGTTTCAAGTGTTTGGCTGAAAGCACTGAGGGTACATTCACTACCGCTTCAGGAAGTACATCATGTGTTGTGTCTAACCTGGAAAACATTAAACTTTTTTACTCTCATGTACAAAAATAGGTCTCTCGGTGGTAGCGAGTATTGTTTTTGGAGCACTGGGAATGGTTTAAATTTATCCCCCTCGAATAGATCATTCACCTTTTTGAACCTTTTGTGACCCACGATTTAATCGTTAGGTCTGGGGAGATGCTCATCAGCACCTCAATTGGTGCAGAATGGAATAGGGTGTCGGGTTTAATAATGGTTGAACTCCAGGTTCTCCAAGCTTGTACTAGAAATTTGGAATTGTGTAGCATATGGGCACACTTGACCGGGCATCATGTTGGACCATAGGGAGCTAGCAATGTTGTGTGGACTTATGCATGCATTCTCTAGAGACAGCCAAAGCGGGCAGGGGTCCATATGTGAGAGTCGCAAAATGCGTATTCCTTGAGCTAGCGCCGTGGCCCTATAATAGGCCCTGATGTCTGGTAATCCCAGCCCTCCCTTGATATAAGGGAGCCCTAAATTATGGTATGCCACTCGAGGTGGCTTTCGCTTCCACACATGTGCATTAATGGTAGATTGAAATGGATTAATAAGTTTGGTAGGCAGTGATATTGGCAACGTACGAAATAGGTAAAGGATGAGCGTCAGGATCATAATTTTTAGAGAGTTTATGCGACCCAACCAAGAAACTTCTAATTCAGCTCATCTTACCAGTGAGGTTTTTATCTTGTGTAGCAATGGATAGTGGTTTTCTGTTGGAATTGTTTGGATGGATTTAGTCAATTGAACCCCTAGCTAGGACAGTTTTTTTTCCTCCAATCAAATGTGTATAGTTTTTATGGCTGGGTCACTACGGCTTGAGGGAGATTTATGGGTAAAGCTTGGGTTTTGGCCGTATTGTTTCTATAGTAGGAGATTCTACCATATGTGTTCAGGATTTCTAGTAGCTTCGGAATTGAAGTTGTTGGGTCCGAAAGAAACAGGAGAATATCATCCGCGAATAACACTAATTTTTTCATACCCCCCGGGGTAACTAAAACTAAACTGGAATTAGTGTGTTCTGGTTAAAGGACCACTATAGTGCCAGGAAAACATACTCGTTTTCCTGGCACTATAGTGCCCTGAGGGTGCCCCCACCCTCAGGGACCCCCTCCCGCCCGGCTCTGGAAGGGGGAAAGGGGTTAAATCTTACCTTTTCCCAGCGCTGGGCGGAGAGCTCTCCTCCTCCGTTCCTCCTCCTGGGCTGAATGCGCACGCGCGGCAAGAGCTGCACGCGCATTCAGCCCGTCGCATAGGAAAGCATTTACAATGCTTTCCTATGGACGCTTGCGTGCTCTCACCGTGAAAATCACAGTGAGAAGCACGCAAGCGCCTCTAGTGGCTGTCAATGAGACAGCCACTAGAGGATTAGGGGGAAGGCTTAACCCATTCATAAACATAGCAGTTTCTCTGAAACTGCTATGTTTATGAAAAAATGGGTTAACCCTAGCTGGACCTGGCACCCAGACCACTTCATTAAGCTGAAGTGGTCTGGGTGCCTAGAGTGGTCCTTTAATTTGGCGTAAGAGTGGTTCCAAGCATAGGATAAAAACAATCTGGGACAGCGGACATCCCTGTCGCATGCCGTTGCATATATAGAAAGGTGTAGATAGGAACCCTGTGCTAAAAACTTTAGATATGAAAGCGGGTGGGAAGTTCATTCTTTCTAGCGTTCGCTCCATGTAGCCTCAGTGCAATCGATCGAACGCCTTTTCGGCATCCAAAGCAAGGATCAGACCACTCCGGGACGAAGGTTGGCCCAGTCTATGAGGTTCAGAAAATGTCTGGTGGTGTCCTCAATTTGCCTGCCTGGTACAAAGCCTGTTCATCAGATATGAGTGTGAGAAATAGAGGCTTAAGTCTTGTCGCCACTATTTTGGCATAGAGTTTTACGTCAGCGTTCAGTAAAGATATCGGGTGGAGATTGGCGCAGAATGTCGGGGGTTTGTTGGGTTTGGACAACGTTATTATGTAGGCTTCTAGCATCTCCTTTGGAAGTGTGCCTTAGTCTTTAATAGTGTTAAACAGCGTGGTGAGGTGGGGGGACAGTTGATCCACTAACTTTATATAATAATAGTTGGAAAGCCCATCTGAGCCTGGTGCTTTGTGTTTGGGTAGTGTGGTGATCGCTTTCCTAACCTCCTCCTCCGTAAACGGGTTCACGAGCATTGCACATTGGTCTTGAGACAATTGAGGTATTTGCACTAGGTTCAAGAATGTATCTATTTCCTCCCTTGTAGGCTGGTGTGTTTCAGGGTCTATATGCAATTGGTAGAGGGATTCGTAGAACCCTGCTAGTTCGTTAACAATGTCCTGAAGATGATATAATTTTATCCCCTGTTTGGATGTAATATAGGGAATTTTAGTTTGCAATTGCCTCTGTTTCAATTTATTGGCCAGTCGCTTGCCTGCTTTATTTCCTGTACTATAGTAAGTTTGCTTTAGTTACTGCATATGCTGTTCAGTCGTGTGGAGTTGTAGGGAGGTAAGTTTAGTTTTTAAAGTCATGTGATTTTTGTGGCGCTGTCTAGTTGGGTTGACTTTGTGTAGGGCTTCTAGTTCTATGATTTCTTGTTCTAGTTTAATTTGTTCGTCGAGGCGTTTTTTATTATTTAGGGCGTCCATTTGAATAAGGTGACCCCCTACCACCGCTTTATGTGCTAACCATTGGGTCGTACGTTGTTTATGTTCAAAAAAGTATTGTGCTAGACGGGTCTGCAGGTCAGTTAAAAATTTTGGGTTGTCTAGTATTGCTTCATTTAGCCTCCACGTGCCTCGGCCCCTGGCCGGGTGGGGGGCCTTCAATATAACAACCTGTGGTGCATGGTCTGACCAAGTGATTGAGCCTATGTTCGCCCCAAAAGCATGTCGTAGTGTACTTTTGTCAAGTAAGCACAAGTCAATCCTGGAATAGGTCATGTGTACCTGTGAGTAAAATGTATAGTCTCTATCTGTGGGATTAAGGATGCGCCATGCGTCGTAATAATTTTTTGTGTGTAGAAGATCAGATAGGTGTACGCCCAGTGAGATGGCTTTTTGTGTGAGCAGTTTGAGATGTGATCTACACATGCCCACCGCGGGTCAGGGGTGCAATTAAAGTCCCCGCATACTATTGTATGTCCTAATTTACATTGGTCAATTTTTCCAAGGGCCATACTTAGGAAGGATTTCTGGGTGTCGTACAATGACGCCACTGTGACCTGAAGGCCGTTCAAAGTACCAGATATGATTATCAGTCTACCGTCCTTGCTTGCATACTGTTTGTTTAGGGTGAATGCCCAGTCGTTATGAAAGTATATGGAAACTCCCTTAGATTTGGTATCGGTATAGGCATGGGTATAGTTTTTAATTTGAAACTTGGGGGGATTGCGTGCGCAGAAGTGGGTCTCCTGCAAACACACAATTGCTGCCTTGGATTGGGTCAAGTCGCGTACCAATAGTCTGCACTTGTGGGGTCTGTTTAGACCCTTTGTATTCATAGTGAACACTTTAAGAAGGTCAGCCATTGTACAAAAACTTATAGTTGCATATTTTACTGGCCATGTGATTCCAGGCATGGGATAGTGTGCAGCCGTCTTGGGGATTTGGTCACAAGTTCTTCATGTGCTTGTGTGGGGAACATACCCCATTCTTTGAGGAGATGCATTCCCACCTCTGGTTCGTTTACTACGTGGTGTCTCCCGTTTTTCCAGATGAGGACCTTTGTGGGGTATCCCCATCTGTATGGCACATTGTGATTCCTCAGCGTTTTCGTGACGTTGATAAATTCTTTCCTCCTAGCCATTGTTACTGCAGATAAGTCCGCAAATAGCTGGATTTCTCCATGGGGGTCTAGCAGTTTGGGTAACTTCCTAGCCGCTGCGAGCAACGCGTCTTTTGACTTGTAGTAGTGGAATCTTACCACTATGTCCCTTGGTGTGTCTTGGGTGAGCCTTGGAGGTCGTGGTAAACGGTGTGCTCTATCCATAAACCATTCTCCCTCGGCTATTCCAGGTGATAGAGATTTACAAAGGTTCAGAAGGTATACATAGTCTGATGAGACTGACTGGGATCCCCCTGAAACGAATATTATTCCTCCTCGAGCGGTCTTCCATGTCTGCTAATTTCCTTTTGAGTTGCTGGTGTTCCTCTGCTAGAAGATGCACAGTTTCTGCTAATTCATTTTGTGACAAGCTTATTTCGTCCGTGACTTCAACTGCCAACTGCTGTTCTGAGCGGTAGCATGGAGTAAGTGCTCCACTCCATAAGGACCCAATAGCTTGATGTTTTGAAGCAAATAAACGTTGTTATAACGTATTTACAAGCCCCTGACTTCACTGATATCCATGGCACTGGCAAAGCAAACCAAAATCACGGACCCGCTTTGCGGCAAAAAAAAGACTGTGCGCGGCCTTTGCAAGATGGCGGCGATAACAGACTTTCGGTCTCACAAGGGGCTGAAGCAAATGCCACCTCACAGACTTTTGAAGCACAACCTTTTTTGGACGGGAACCACTACACCGATGCTCCGGTGACTGAAAAAAAGCTCTATGCCATGCTGCAGGAATTTCGTGTTATATTGCAGGAAGACTTCAAAAGTGTCACAGGGGAAATAAGACGGGAATGGCCGACCTAGGTGAGCGCACCAATCATCTAGAAGCCCGCACGGAAGACATCTGATGTATTTTAATTCATGCATTATGCAAAAATCATTGTGTTTATTTGGTTTCTTTTGCTTGATGGCCGGTTCGTGATACCAGATTTAGAGCCCTTGTCTCAAACTTCCAAGTGGAAGTGGTAAAACTTCTAACAATACAATCGGTGGTATATTTTTCATTGGATCAATAAAGGGCCATGTCACTTCTCTGGGAGTAAGACAATTGGATAAAGCATCACTTTTAACCCATGTTAACCTTTCTCCTGCAATGCTCTATTTTCTTTATGATTTAGCAGTTAAAATCTAGTTCAGTCCAGACACGGTCAGAGCACATGTTCAATTGCAGAAGTTGAAAAAGAAACGGAAAATGTTCCTTCCTGGCAATTGATTATCTACTTGTAGATTTTTTGGTTGTGGGGAGGACTCTGTGCTGAGTGACCAGTTCCGAGGCTGATTTTTACATAGTTTAATTTTTCAGACTTCGAAACCAAACATGTGTTAACTACATTATGCATAATATTAAGAATCTTGTGGAAGCGGGGGCATGGCCACAATGTGCCATTCCAGACAAAATAACTCTTATATCTTAGCCTTAGGAAGTAATAGGTGTCCTTACATTGATGCTGTAATCCTTTAAGGTAGGACAAACCAGAACTGCAATTTTCTGGCTTAGAAATCCACTTCTCACTTTATCGCAGCCAGCTGGCTCCAGTTCCTTGCTGATTGTTACATAAAACTTTGAAAGTCAAGCAACCATCTTTTTGGATCACACTACCCTCTAGGGTCCCTCTAGCATGTAAGCTTATTGAGCAGGGCCCTCAACCCCTCTGTTCCTGTGCGTCCATTTGTCTGGTTACAATTACGTGTCTGTTAGTCCACCCATTGTACAGCGCTACGGAAGTTGCTGGCGCTATATAAATAATAATAATAATAATGATGAAGCTCCTGCACATTTGAGCTATATCAATTAAAAGCACAGCAAGATTTTTAAGCTCATCCAAAATGCCGCCACCTACTGGTCATTCTGACATGTGGCACCTTACAGTTCTTTTTTGCCACCCTCATAGCGTTGCATCCAGGTATTGGGTAAGTACATATTCTGCGCATATTATCCTCAAAATAAGACAACTTATGATGTCTAACTGAACATTTTTTTTTTTTTTTTTTGGACAATGGCCTCAATATAATTTGTTTGTTTGGATCAGAAATTATTTCATTCTTTTAGCAAAAAGCTTTTCAAATGGTTTATCTGCAAAAATCCCCTTAGAGTTGGTGGGCAAATTATTTGAACAATTTTTTTTTTCTAACCTAATTGAATTAATCCGGATTAAAACAAATTTAGTCTATGCCAATTTCTGAGAATCTGTAATGTTTACATTTGTTAGTAAACACGCTCCTGTTAGACTGACAGCCCGTAGACGAGCTTCCTCATCGAATACCTTTAAAAATATGAGTTGTTTACTTTTGGCATCATCCAGTCCAGTATGATGATAGTGACTGCTGTCTCCACTTCCTCTCTGTGAGAAACTTTGGATTGGACAAAGGTCGTCACAACTGATGAATTAATTGAAAGTGCACTAGCTGTATCAAGAAGTTATATACAGGTAAATACTTTGATCAGCCACAGCATTAAAACTACTGAGAGGTGAAGGGAGTATCATTGATTATTTCGTTACAATTGCACACGTCAGGGGTGGCATATATTGGGCATCAAGTGAACAGTCACTTCTTGCATTTCATCTTTTAGAAGCGGGAAAAATGGGCAAGTGAAAAGATCTGACTTTGATAATTGCCAAAAATTGATGGCTAGTCCACTGGGTCAGAGCATCTCCAATGCAGCACGTCTTGTGGGGTGTTTCCAGTATGCAGTGGTTAGAACCTACTAACACTGGTGCAACGAAGTACAGCTGTGTACCGGCGTCATGTTCATGGACACTCAAGTCTCATAGATGCATGTGGGGAGCTAAGGCTAGCCCGTCTAGTCCAATCACACAGAACTACTGTAGCTCAAATTGCTGAAAAACTTAAAGCTGACCATGATAGGAAGATGTCAGAACACACCGTGCATAGCAGTTTGCTGCGTATTGGGCTATGTAGCCACAGACCTGTCCATGGCCATGGCCGAAAGCACCTTCAATGGGAACGTGAGTGTGAGAACTGGACCATGGAACAAATGAAGATCTTGTAGATCAGGTGGATGGCTGGGTGCATGTTCAACGTTTACCTGGGGAAGAAATAGCTGCAGGATGAACTGTGGGAAGAAAGCAGACCAGCGAAGGCAGTATTATGCTCTGGGAAATGTTCTGCATGGAAAACATGGGTTCTGACATTGATGCGGGTGTTACTTTGACATGTACCACCTACCTAGAGAATGTTTTAGACCTCATACACCCCTTAATGGCAGTGGTGTTCAGTGATGGCAGTGGACTTTTTGAGCAAGATAATGCAACCTGCCACACTGCAAAATATGTTCAGGAAAGGTTCTAGGAACATGACAAAGAGTTTGTGTTGCTTTGGCCTCCAAATTCCTTAGATCTCCATGCAATCCAAGGAGGCCCCACATTGCAACTTGCAGGTCTTAAAAGGATCTGCTGCTAAAATCATGGTGCCAGAAACATGTACTACAGGACACTTTCTTGTGGAGTCCATGCCTCGATGCATCAGAGCTGTTATGGCAGCACAAGGGGGGACCTACACAATATTGGGCAGGTGGCTGACCAGTGTATATATACATTCTCTTTCTCTCCCCTGCCCAATTAATTTCTTTCTGTATTTCAGCTTACTTCCTGTGCTTTAACCATCTTCGAAGGCTAAAGATATACAAGTTTATGTATATTAATAGAACAAAACAATCTTACATTTTTTAGGATTTGTTTTATGTAATCCAATCGTACTTTTGTCTTGATGGAATTGTCTATATACATCTGTCCATATCACAACAACCATTTGTATGTGACCAGAAGCTAACCTAGGAAAACTTCCATAAAGGAAATAGCCGAATGGAATAAGAACGATTGAATCAGAATGTAACCCTTTCCATGCCAACAGATGCCAAAACTCACAATTTGCCTGTGCGGCAGTAAACTGTTTAAATGCTGTTAGGAAAACCAGGCTGTGGGAACCAGTAGCTTCTCCTTGATGAGTTCAGATAGACATTCTGTATCCTCAGAGGCATGCAAATCTATCTACAAATACCAGCCAGTCAAAGACTGTATCATTTGTGCTTATTGTTTTTTTTTAATGTTTCTAAATTGCAAGAATTTCCCTAGCACTGCCACAAAAGCAGAATGTACCCTTTGTAGGATAATCCCTGTGTTTTCACAGCGCAGGGTTCCAAGCACCAGCTGTCAGCCAGCGTGCCTGGGACTCACTCAAGCATCACCACCTCGATTAATTCAAGCTCCAGACCGATGGTAGGCATGGGAATCTGTAACTAAGGGCCCCATTCATCCCTCTGTGTCAACAGCCAAAAGAGTGGAAAACTATTAATTTGTTTGATCAGTAGACCGGAGTATATCTACAGCAATTCTTAGTTTAGACATTCAGTTCCAAATGTTAATAAATCCCACTGATCCGGGACACCTTGGGTAATAAAATCCTCACATTATCATAAATTATATGATGCACTTCATCAGTCAACTAGGCCTGAGTTCCTTCAAATTAAAGTTCTATCGTTGTGCTTTTTTTTTTAAACAGCATAACATCTAGTGACAGTTCCTCAGCATGTCCTGTTCTCCATAAATATATCTGTAAATGAAAGTAGAGTTAAATGATTCCAAAGTATATCTCATGTTATGGGAGGAGCCTGGGGGAACTAATCATGCCTTCAGATGGATAAATGATTCGTTTTCGTTTTTGACTTTGAAGCTTCATAAGCTATTGTTGTTTTGGTGCTGGTCATATCCCTTTAACTTTTTTTTTTAAAGTGACGCAAATTATCTGCTTATAGCCGCTTTTAGAAAAGTGTCCTCTCCTCCAATGTGGTCCAATCCAATGCTCCTTATAGAGGAACATTGGGGACCTAATGCACATCGGCGGTTAGTGCTGCTCACGCATTCATACTTTCTCAAAGGAAAGCATTGAATCAGTGCTTTCCTATGGGGTTTTTGCTATAAACCTTGAATTTCTCGAAAACCGCATTGTTTTACTGCACCCAGGTCATCTCATTGAAATTACGTTGTCTGGCCGACTATAGTCTCCTTTTAACTATTTTGTATGTAATCATGTCACATTATCTACCAATCAATACATATATACATTGTTACCCATATCAGTGTGCTGCAGATATTGCATTTTTAGAAACCAGAAATATGAGACGGTTGTTTTGTATTTTCACCCATTAATCTGAGTATTCTGAAAATAATAGAATAATAAACCCCAATATTATAGCATCACAATGGAAATAATAATTCCTGTATGATGTCGTTTTATTTTTTGTTTAGGTTTAGATGATGATCAACTTGCCCCTACTTTCTGGAACTCTTTACCGTGTGCAATCAGAGAGGCACAGTCCATACAGACTTTAAAAAAAAAAAAAAAAAAGCTAAAGACTCTCCTCTTCCATCAGGCATTCATTCCGCTCAGCTGACCTTCAGAAACTCCTAACTTTTATGTCTTTATGTTTGTATACTTGTAAAGTACTTTAAGTCTCACAGGGAGAAAAACACTATAAAAATCGCAAATTATTATTATAATAACTTATAGCTTTCAATAGCCATCTACCATTAATACTCCCATTAACCGTAATATCTAAGTTGACTGATGGAGCTGCATTACTTTAAACAAGCATTAGACTCTCTGTGGTCACTTGTGAATGTGCTATTATAAATGTTTATGTTTAAGGAGTGTTTTCCAATCCATGTCTCTCTGTACCCCTAGCAGGAAATGACCTACTGCTGGACTGCACAGAAGGTGAAGATTTTGACAAGGAGTTTTCCTTCTTGAATTTGCAACCCGGTAATCCACCTGAGCTTGGGTTAGATGATCAGGATATCTTCGGAGGGACAATTGCTAGTTCAGATGAGAGTGGACAGTGGACAAACCAGACCGAAAACTTGGCAGGATTTCTCCCTTCACAGCTCTTGGACTTGGGTCTGCAATCTGCAGGAGAATTCAACAGTGAGTACCATGCTGAACAATATATTGCTTCAGGCAATAGCAGAGCTTGACAAGTCATATTTCCTCTTTGTGCAATCTTAGTATAACTTTTGTTTGTTTGTTTTGTAATAAATAAATTCTAAATTCTGGTACCAGAGATAAGCCGGTAAACAGATAGATGGGTCACACCACTATAATAAAGTACTTTTGAAGAGATCTGATGAATGTTAATGATGGCAGTGTTTAGATGTAGTAGAGCACATAGATATACCCTGGTGGTTGCCAATAAATTAGCTATTTGTGCAGAATGCCAAAAATTGTCCTTGTTTCCAGCTCCAAGGATTTCTAATTGAATGCAATGATTACTAGCATCTCGTTGCAAAATGTAGTTGGTCTAGGGCAGGCAAGTTTCCATACACCCTGTTTCTGAAATCTATTTACATTTTATTGTGCATCCTGTTACCAATATTTTGGCATGAGCACTCTGATAGATTATGAAATATAATAAAAGCTAGAGAGACGGTGCACTTTTAGAATTCCATATCTATTGTCGTTAACAGTGCATTATGAAAAATGCTTTGCAAGACAACCCAGCCTGCATGTCAGCACTATTTCACTCTCAAAAAGAACTGAGAAGCGTCAGACAGCAAAAGTTTAAAGATGAGTGTTGCTTTTTTCAGGTTGGACGCTTACAGATCTATCTTCAGGCAACTCTGATCCTAGTAGTCAGGGTTGTCCTCAAAAGCACACACCCGACCCACAAGGCTCTGGTAAGTCTCATAATGACATCTCAAGGGAGAGACATTACTACTTTAAGATTTAATTTCTCTAACTTTTATTACAGGTCTTAAAATTCCCTCACTATCAGTTTTAACTTGTTTTGATCACGTGTGTTCGAGAGAAGCAGGACACTTCATACATGGAGAAGAAATACATGGGGTCTGTGGTACTAAAAACCCATATTGGCCAGTTGTGCAACACACCTAGAACTGATGAGAAAAATCCAGTATCGCTGGTATATGGTACCGGACAGACTGGTGCGAATCTACCCGAACACTACTAGCTCCTGCTGGAGGTGTTTACAGGAAACGGGAACAATGTACCACATTTGGTGGACTTGTCCCAAGATCAAGGGATACTGGTGTATGGTGGGAGACGTATTATCAGGCACATTTTGGATGGGCATCACACTCACACCTGATACATGCCTTCTATTCATGCCACTGGAAAACATCTCTAAACCGGCCTCTACTCTACTCTTCCACGTCCTCATGGCTGCAAACTTGCTGATAGCCAGAGCATGGAAATCTACAGAAATACCGGGTCGTAATGCCCTTACAGTGCAGATCACCCTGAATCTGGACTATGAGTCAATGGCCCATAAGCATATTAGCCCAAAAAAGCATATACAGAAAGCGGGAATCATGTGGCACACCTACATTAAAACTCAAACACACACGGAACATACCCACACCCCATGCGCACGTGACCAAGGGGGAGAGGCGGGGTAAGACGTAACAACACGGGACACTACCTGTAGGGCTATTATTACATGACAAACTAAACATGACGCAAAACCTCTGGTACAGAGGTTCACCACCGGGGGCAAACGAAGGAGGCGGGACTGGGCGCTAGAGGAGTGGGGGGGCGGAAATCTGGGCTGGACTCGGGGCTCTCGACCCAAGATTCACAATAGGCAACTCAGCACACTTGGCAATGGCAATCAACAAAGACACCGGGCACTCTGTGGCTTCCGAACACGGGGGCTTCACCCTAAATGATGGGACCACCCTGATAAGAGACTGAAGAAGCAAGCCTCTTCTGTAAATAGTTACCCCCCACCCCCATACCTCTTCCTTTAAAATTCCCTCCTCCCCCCTGTTTAAAAAAAAAAAAAAAAAAAGAAAAGAAAAAGGAGCCAAGCGGTCAGGCGGACTTGAGGGAGGAACAGGGAGGTAATGGATACATCTGAACACCACCTCTAGAAGGGAGACATAAAAGCATTGCTACTGCTATGCAAGCACACGCAAAAAAAAAAAACTGTCTGTCTTAGTTAAGCTACCATCACCAGAAACCCACCTGACTTGCCGATGGTTATGTCTTGCGTAGACACCTGAGGTGAGCGGAGCAGCAAGACAAGGTACAAAGTAGACACGATAAGAAACACAAGGCCTGAGATCAAACCCTACATGGCATCACTCGTTCAGACAGGCCACCCCGTACCCAGCCGCTAAGCCCAAGACGATAGGCACCTCATTAATCTTTCGTATAGCACAGGATTGAAAGTATGCATGTACTATCGAACAATAATTGTAATGTGTGTATCTATTGGTAATGCAATGTACCCTCTGGGTTAAGGTACCCGACCCTCCCTTCTTCTTTTTTGTACCCAATTGCCTTTTTGCTGACTCAATAAAAACTGTCAAATTGAAAAAAAAAAACAAACCCCATATTGGGGTGGTCCCACCACTTTTGGACATTTGCAAGGCACATCTAGATTTTCATTTAAATCAAGTGTCTCTCTCCAGGAGCAGTGAGAAAATTAGTTGTCAAATTAATGTCAAATACTAATTGGACTTTTCATATAGCAGCTCGCACACAAAAGTGGCATCACTCCCATCCAACAGATATTAGAAAGAAAGATTGGGCACACAGATGCCATCCTGAAGCAAACTTTATTGGCTCATGGAGCAATGGCTGTACAAAAGAGTCTTTCTCAAGTCTGACAATAAAATCTGCTTCCGGATGACCTCCGTGAGTCCTGTCCTTTCTTTCTAGTGTCCATTAGAGCAGTGAGAATAGTCTGAAATCTGGACACAAGCATCTACCTATACAGATGAAACATAGTATTTAAAAATGCCATGTGCATTTCAAATATAAGCTTTGCGTCTATAAAGGGAACATGACAAATGTGATTATTACATTTTTATGAATAACATTAGTTTGACTTTAAAATATCAATATATAAATATATACCAAGATATTATTGTGCACATTTCACTTTAATTCTTTCCAAGCACAAACAATGACTTGTAACTATGTGTAGCAATTGCCAGAGATGCCAATATTATCTTTTTCTTTTCGTGGTAAACTTATCCCCGTCTGGCACTGTGCATCTAGCATGATTCTGCTGTGAGCAATGTGGCTCGACCAGTTTCTTTTTAACCCGGTCTCATTCAGGAAAGGCACTTGGTATGATGTCCACAGCTCTGTCTGTTTTTTTTTTTTTTAAGCCAATCCACTGTTCATGTTCTTTCTGTCTCTTGCAGACCAAAGGACCAGGAAGAGGGACATGTCTGCATGGTTAAATATGTTCGCAGATCTAGACCCTCTTGCAAACCTAGCAACCGCTAGGCACTCGGACGATGAACTTATCAGCGCATGAGTGTAGCTACAGATCGTTGAACTATTGCGTGAAAAGGACTTTTCGTTTGCTGGTGCACTGTATTTTCTGCATAAACACAAGATAATTTATATTTTCATCACTTGAAAACAGTCCTCACACCTGGACCAACACTGTCAAATATGAAGCTTGCATAGCATCCCTCTCAGTTGCCTGTACTCTAACTTACTTCCAACATTCTTCTAAAGCCCTGTATTGTAATGATCTATTACTTGAAAAGTTTGCTTTACATGGTACTTTAAAAATACCAATACAGTATTTGTTGTTTTAAAAAAAAAAAATAAAAAAAATATTTGAAGTTAAGTTATAGAGATTGAAAAATGACACACTATGAATTTTCCTGCAATGTAGTGTGTCCATTTCAGCTGTTGGGATGGGTGCAGACAAAGATCTTGGTATTATTAACCCCACTGTATAAAACTGATGGGACCAGCCATTCCCCTGTATACCCAGACTGCACATCAGTTAGTCTAAATGCTATTCATATAAGTTAGATAAATGTGCATTCAGCATTTTTGTGATAACATTGTACTAACATTTTAATTGACCTTTAAATATATCATATTTGAAGAATCCCCCAATAGTAAGCATTTGTAATATAATCTGCTAAAAACAAAAAAAAACTGCATTATATTGTTTTCTACTGGCAATGTAATTAGTGTATGTCTAAAGTCACTGGTGCAAATGTTATATCCTAATCCTATTGCATTCCCGATAGGCAAAGCTGCGTAGGACTAGTAGTTCAATTTCAGCTTTCCCTGTAGAAAGCCAGAAGCTGTATGATGCCATCGTCGCAGAGCTTTATTTTGGCAAAAAAAAAAAAAAAAACACTATAGGTTGGGAGTGAGTGGCAGCAATGAAAATACTAAGCATATTTTTTGTCTTTTGAAAAAGATAAAAAATTAAAAACCCTAAAGATTAATCGTAAAGAAAATCTAAACGGCATTGACAACTATTGTGCATGTCCAGGAGAGTCCTTTCTGATGTGTTTAAGGCTGCTTATCCTTTAGATATTATTTCCTGTAGTTTACAATGCCATGTATTTTTATGGAAGATGATGCTGTAAAGAGATATTCTGAGCACTATAACCACTGCTGCATGCTGTAGTGGTCATGGTGTCCAGAGTGTCCCTTTAAACGTCTCCTGAACTCTCCTTCCCTGCAAACTACCATTTTCACTTAAAGCACCCTCAGATGTTGCAAAATTTACTTGTTTATGTCTGGGTGATGGTCATTTTTTTTTTTTTTTTATATCATATCTTCAGTGTTTGTATGTTTCTTTAACCTTGCCAACAACATTTGATATCTGTAACATAGCTGGCAGTGTGGGATGCAATGCAGCAAATTATTCAAACCATTATTTTGCATATAGTATGAAATTATCTTAATCTTACTGCTCTTAAAAATATCAGTATTAAATAGGTAACTTTCATATCGGTTGTGTTTTGAATGTAAATTAATATGACGTAACTTCACATTTAGGTTCAGCCATCTTGCAGTGTTTGATTCTCATTGAAGTAGAAAACATTGGAACTGCCTACTCAATTAATTGCGAGGACTTAACTCCACATTAAATGGCAATAAGAATTTAGGAAAATGTAATTCACACAGAACAAGTGCAATATGCGGTCTACTGCAGTTTTACAGATTTTCAAACTATTATTTAACGGTTATATTGTTTAAACGTTTGTGTTCTAGCAAAAGATGATGCATTTGAACTTCCTTTTTATTATATATTTTTCTGTTATTACTACATATTTGTCTACACCGTGTTAAAATGAATTGAATTTGCAGTTGATGGAGTCACTGTTTAATTTCTGTCTGTTACATAATGTAACTTAATTTTAGGATTTACAGAAATGAAGATAATGGGCTTCGTTAAATTAAATGGTATAAATTGACCTGGGAATTGTTAAATGTAAAGAGTTGCACCATCATAGCCATTAACCGGAGTTCTCTGACCCTGTCCCCCAGTAATGCGGCAAACTGTTCTGCAAAGGTTGCAATCTTACCTGGGTCCCTGCCAGGTGCTGGGGGTCCTTAGAGGATTACATGAATTAGCTAGCTGCTCTCAGCCAAAGAATGCAACTCTGTGTATAGAAATATGTATAGAATTGACATTAGCCAGCCCTGAACTCTCATTACAGGCTGGCTAGTGATGCCCCAATGACGTTGCAGGAGGTGAAGTAACACCTCAGGCCACAGAGTGGTTAAAGGAATTCTATAGTGCCAGGGAAATAAAGCTGTTTCTACAGGGCCCCCCTCCCTGAGAGCTGAAGGGTTTGAAGCCCCTTCAGTCACGTACCTAAACCCAGCGGCGATGTCACTCGGCGCTGGGTCAGGCTCCTCCCCCACTGGCTGACGTGGCTGCGCTCGCATTAGGATTTCCCCATAGGAAAGCATTAATCCTATGCCACTAGAGGAGGACTTAACTCCGCAAGGCAATTATTGCAGTTTCTCAGAAACTACAATAATTACCACTGTAGGGTTAAAGGACATGGGACATTGCACTAAGACCACTTCAATGAGATGAAATGGTCGGGTACCTACAGTGTACCTTTAAACTCTTTATGTAAAATGTTTCATAGCAAAATGATGCACACACAGACTTCAGGCACAATGACCACTTCAAACCACTTACTTCGAGTAACTCTTTAAAGGAACACTATAGTCACCTAAATTACTTTAGCTAAATAAAGCAGTTTTCGTGTATAGATCATTCCCCTGCAATTTAACTGCTCAATTCACTGTCATTTAGGGGTTAAATAACTTTGTTTCTGTTTATGCAGCCCTAGCCATACCTCCCCTGGTTATGATTGACAGAGCCTGCATTTAAAAAAAAAAAACTGGGTTCACTTTCAAACAGATGTAATTTACCTTAAATAATTGTATCTCAATCTCTAAATTGAACTTTAATCACATACAGGAGGCTCTTGCAGGGTCTAGCAAGCTATTAACATAGTAAGGAATAAGAAAATCTTAATTAAACAGAACTTGCAATAAAGAAAGCCTAAATAGGGCTCTCTTTACAGGAAGTGTTTATGGAAGGCTGTGCAAGTCACATGCAGGGAGGTGTGACTAGGGTTCATAAACAAAGGGATTTAACTCCTAAATGGCAGAGGATTGAGCAGTGAGGCTGCAGGGGCATGTTCTATACACCAAAACTGCTTCATTAAGCTAAAGTTGTTCAGGTGACTATAGTGTCCCTTTAAGCCAAACGACTGAGCCAGAAATACTTAGAGGGAGATCATTTCCAGTTCAATCTTTTGGCTTAAAAAAAAAAAGAATGACTTTTTTTCCTTAGAATTCCTGGCTGAGTGCATATACTGCCATCCGTTTCTGTAACAAATATAGATCTGGCTTTTAACATCGAGTGATAGAAACATTGTCAAGCTTTTCTTAATTTTTATTTTTTAAACAACTTTGAACATCTTTTCCCAGAGGATGAAGGCATCACATGTTATGATGTACATTTTGAGGTTCTGCATAACATTGTAATGAACGATCTTCTTAAAATATTCATAAAAAATAGAACTGTACATATTTTAAAATTTAACTTTGCAAGTAACATACATAAATTGTACAAAATCAGTTTTTTCATCTTTGTTAGACTGCAACGATTTCATGGATTTTTACTAGATGGTGTCCTACCATCAAACCATACCTCGAAGTCTGCCTCTTCCTTGCTTCTCCTCTTTGAATCCCCAATGACATAAAGAGGGATGACCACATCTTTGAAGCTGAAGAATTTACATATATGCTAGTTTATAGATTATAGAATTTGTAAGAGTCCTAGCTTTTCATTGGCAGGTCATAATGTTTAACACCAGCCGGCTATAATACTTGGGTATGGACAGGTAGGAGAAGTATTCCCCCAAGAGGGTTGAGCGGCCATGTGGAGAGGCCAAAGCATTTGATCATGTAAGTAACCTAAAGCGAAAATCAATATGTTCCTTATAAAATCAAGCAAGCCAAGAAAAACGCTTACTCGAAGTCCTCTGTTTCACTTCAAATGTCTATTCCTGTCCAGTCCCACTAGAAAATAGTATCTTTCTAGTTCAAGCAAACTGTATATATCTTTTTCAGATTTTCATCTGAAAGAATAGTGTTATAGATTCTGTTCATACCTATCCCTCCTTCCCAAACAGAAGGTCTTTATTTGCAGTTTTGGTTCTGAAATCCTCAAATTTCTCAAGGTTTCAGCCTCCAAAATCCAAAGCAGAGGCACTTCCTAACCAGGAATTTGGTATGATATGGCACTACAAAATACAAAACGTATTTACTACACATTTTGTCTAGATTCAATTAAACATTCATAACTAATTTGAAAATGTTTCTCTAATTTGTTAGGACAAATTAACACGCCAAGTGAAGTTGGACATATAGCTAAATCATATTATGTTCAAATTGTGTTAAAGGGATCCTAGAGTGCCAGGAAAACATCAGTTTTCCTGGCGCTATAGGGTTAATAGGTAAACCCCTAGCTTGCGCCCCTGTCTCCTTGGGCTGATGGGGTTAAAACCCCTTCAGCCACTTACCTGAATCCAGCGCTGATGTCCCTCGGTGCTGGGTCAGGCTCCATCCACGCCGACGTCAACTGGCGGGGGAGACCTAATGCGCATGAGCAGCAATGGCCGCGCGAGCATTAGACCTTCCATAGGAAAGCATTATGCAATGCTTTCTTATGGGGAAAATCTGACCCCCAGACAGCCACTGGGGGCAGATTTAGAGCTGCAATGTAAACATTGCAGTTCTCTGGAACTGCAATTTTTAGCATTGCAGCACTAAGTGTAAAAGGGTCACAGCACCCAGACTATTTCAATTAGATGAAGTGGTCTGGGTGCCTACACTGTCCCTTTAATCCCCTGTAATCTAACATACTCTCCGCCTAATTATTTCCAGAAGCAACTCTCCAAGTCCTTAGACATGTAACAAAGTGAAATGGCTTTGAAGGTCAAAGCGTCCAAACAGAAGTCCCTGCAGTCCATAAGTACAGAAACTGTACTTGGTGTTCATAAGACCGTTACTATTATTGCACAAATGCTGCAGTAAATTTGTAAAATCTGCCTATTAAAAACAAGCTAACCCCTCCCCCACGTTAAAAATAGCACAGGGTTATGAGAAAATGAAAACCCAGTAATGATATATTATGGCCATCCCAGAAATGGCCACAACCTAACATAGCAGCATGCAACACAGTCTACAATCAATACTGCTGTGTATTAGCTCATAGTGTAACTGAATACAATGTCAAAAATAACCAGGGGTGATCTCACTGACCGTCTCACTGTGACACTCTTAGCTGGATGTAGTTGCCAGAATCAGACCATTAGTCTTGTTTACCTTCATTTAACGAAAGCTCCGCAGGGACAGCCAATAGCTCCAGCTGGAGTAGGATGTGTGCTCAAAATTATTTCTATACTTTAAAGTGGCCCTGTTGGTCCATCGGGAATACAAGTACGGTGCATGTCCATACACCACATTCTATTAAGAAGAGAATCTAATTGTGAATGAAGAACTATATACATGATCATCTAGAAGGATTTTATCTTTAAAAAGAAGCCATTAAGCACTGTTAATAACAAAGTCCAATAGATGTGCACACCCTTTTTACATCTAAATGGAACCCACCACTTCCCCTGATCAAGATCACCCATTAGTGTTTAGCCTCGAACTGGATATATGTAAAGACAAAAGCACATTTTAAACGAATTGCCATAGCAACTCCAAGACACTATAAAAGGTTTGCTTTATGTATGTACACGTTACCTGCGATTGTCAGAGCAAGTCGCCCTTATGTTTGTATACATCCAACTTGCCAAATATCACAAGTAATTATTGAAAACTACAACATGCTTTAGGTCTTCAGTGCTGAAATGATCTTACCCCAAATAATGAATTTATAATTTTAATATAGGTTGTATTGGGAGTTTAAAGTTGTTAACTTGTCTTTTTTTCTTGACATGTAAATGATGCAGGTATAATTTATAATTGTGAAGGTAATGGGTACTAGTGCTTTATATTGAATAAAATTGGTTGAAGAAATATTCAGATAAGTGTATTAATAAATAGCAGCTAAACACCAGAGTGTACAACTTTTCCAGAACAACACCAGCAAATAGATTGAAAGATAAATAGTTATTTTTTACTCCCAAGTCTTTGATCTTTCTATAATTCTTGTACAAATAGACATTTTTCTGAATGGATCCTATTATGAAGTCCATATAAGAGATGTTTCCAAACGACCAAATTATAAAGACAGGTCTTTTTTAACGTTATCAGATGACATGAAAGAAAAGGAAAATATATTTTAAACCATAAAAAATATAAACAATTCTAATTTATAATCTTAATTGTGCTTTTCAGGGAAAGACGAGTAAGTGCATAGTAATATTTATACATAGCATATATCATATATAATTAGTAACAATTAGTAGGACCATATAATAATGTAAATTCTTTAAAGTGTTATGAGCAATGATACATAAGAAAAATAGAAAGTGATTAGATCTATATGTTAAGTTAAATATCTATTCACTAATAATATGTGTAAGAATAAAATATAAATAATACTTAAATAGAATATAAAATAGTAAGAGTAATATAGGTGATATAAACAAACTAATCTTTAATTGTATTTGGTTATAAAAAATGGCATAATTCAAAATCAGTGATCAGACCATTTGGGATTTTGGGTAAAATCGACACCTCTCCAATTATTTTCTACTTTTTTTACTCCCATAAATAAAAAGGGTCTTGGTTGCATGCAGTTAAAAAAATGATGGGAGACACTGTGTTTCTCAAACCCTTTTTGTATGTTATGGATATGTTCACTAATCCTGACATGTAGTGGTCTTTTGGTACGTCCTATATATTTTATAGACATGTGCAATTCGTTTCGGTCCGAATTTAAATTCGAATTGCTGAAGTGACGAATTTCGGAAGTGCTGAACCGAATTGCCGAAGTCCCAAATTGCAGAATTTCGGAATTGCTTCAGATTTCTGAAAAGTGGCAAAACAGGAGAGGGAGGGAAAATTAAGGGAATGATGACAGGAATCTAACCCCACCCTTAACGCTAACCCTTACCCCTACCTTCCTCTAACCCTACCCCTAACCACAACATTCCTCTAACCCTACTCTTAGCCCTTACCCCAACCTTCCCCTAACCCTAGTAGGGTTAGGGAATTGCCGAAGTCCCGCATTTCGGAAGTGCCGAACCAAATTATTTGCCCGTGCACATCTCTAATATTTTAGACCACAGTAGCCACTTAAATAAGTGGCACCTGTAAGCTTATAACAATGATAGGGAGTCAAGATAAATGGGCCACAGTTGCAGAATAGTGTGTTAATTTCTAAATGTTATTTTCTACACCTCACAAATACACAATTGTTAAATATATAGATAAGTAAAATTAATATTTAAAATCCTGGCAAGTAACAGTGCCCCTTTAAAGAAACACAATTAAAACGCTGTAATTAGCTGTAATTTTCCACTCTCTCATTTACTATTCCCATGCAAATTATATATTGTTTTTTCCAGGACAAAAAAGGCTTTCTTTACATACCATTATTTATATAATCTCATGTAATTTAATTGAAAAAAATATGATGAAATTTTGAATCACTAATATTTGTGTTCAGCGAAGTCTCCCGAGTAAAACAGTACCCCTTCATGTACAGGTTTTAGGGTGTCATAGAAAGTTACAGGGTTAAACACAGTGCTAGCAAATTAAATTCTCTGGAATTTTGGCCTGGGTTGGCAGGCAGGTCCCTCAAATTGCAATTAATAAAATTACTTAATTATTTAACTATATTACATAAATACGCACGTAGAATTTAAATATATATGCATATTTATATATTTGAAGTCTACGTGTATATTTATATAATTATTTATATAATTTTGTATATGGACATATGTATATTTCGTATTATTTTTATATACACATAGATATATATAAAACTTCATTCTAAGTGTATTTTGATATAAATATATATATTTTAATACCAAAATACAGTTAGAATAAAATTTCATATAGATATATTTTTTAAAATTTTTATTTGTAATTTTTTTAATTTAATTTACTTATTGTTTGTTTTATAATATATATATAATTATATATATATATATATATATACACGTGTGTAATTTAATTATAAGTGTGTTTGTATATTAATATATGTATATATTAATATAAAAATACACTTAGTATGACATTATATATATGATATATAGACATCTATAGATATAATATATGTCTATATATCATATATAATATTTTTATTTATTAATATTAACCTTTATTTTTTTACACTAGCAGGGAGACTGCCTGTCAGCACAGGCAATCCCCCTGCAGGCAGACACTAGGACACCTATTGTGACCATGTGATCGCTCTGTTGAGCGATCACATGGCCACAGGGGTCCTAATCTGCCATGGGGAGACTGTCTGGGCTGCAAGCAGTCTCCCCACACCGGGAGCACCGCCGATCGCCGCCGGGGGAACGACGGTGATCGGGTAAGTACATAAGACTGTTAGAACGGTTCAGGACCGTCATCGGTCGGCAATGCAAAAATGCTGATGACAGTCCTGAGCCGTCCTAGGTCGTTAAGGGGTTAATTAATTTAGGAACACTCCAGCTGGCAATCAGGCTGACAGCTTACTGATCATTCAAGAGGAAGTGTGAGCTTCCATACTGCAGAAACATCCTTGTGATGTCATCTTGAATGGTTGCCTGCGAATCAGTTATCCTGACAAACCAGGCAGGTTAAAGGATCACTATAGTGTCAGGAAAACACTTGTTTTCCTGGCACTATAGTGCCCTGAGGGTGCCCCCACCCTCAGGGTACCCTTCCCGCCGGGCTCTAGGGTGAGGAAGGGGTTAAACTTACCTCTTTCTCCAGCGCCGGGCGGGGCGCTCTCCAGCGCCGGGTGGGGAGCAAGAGCCGCGTGCGCATTCAGCAAGTCTCATAGGAAAGCATTCACAATGCTTTCCTATGGACGCTGGCGTCTTCTCACTGTGAAAATCACAGTGAGAAGAACGCAAGCGCCTCTAGCGGCTGAATTAACCCTAAAGAAAAAAGGGTTAACCCTGGCTGGACCTGGCACCCAGACCACTTCATTAAGCTGAAGTAGTCTGGGTGCCTATAGTGGTCCTTTTAAAATAACTGCCAATGCATTATGTATAGGGAAGCTGAACTGTGCTAATCCAAACAGAAGTTACTATTATCTGTACCCCTTTCTAAATTATTCAGTGCCTCTACTTATATACAAATCTTGTCTGCCATCAATTTACACTTACTCTAGATTTTTCTAAGCTCACAGAGTAGTAATTGTTTGGATGAGAAGGTGGTGCTTGTAATTACTGATGGTCACATCACAGGTTTTATCAGTAAAAACAATAAGACATAATTTCTGTAGATCCTTTCCCATTAATACATTGTGGGCGCTTCTTTTTCCCTGGCACTGAATAACCTTTACAGGACAACACATTTATATTCCTTAGATATATAGGGATTTAATAGTAAAACATTTGTTGTAGACCAGGTGGGATAAAGGGGTGCTGGATAAGTAGCCATTGTTGTGAAGACATGATGTCTACTTGACCATTTAGACATGAAACTGAAATATAACTGTGCTCCAAAACAATGTGTCAGTGGATTTAATGGTTCACTATATGATTATGTCGGCCTTTAATCTAATCTCACATTTTGGTGGTGATTACTTCAGTATCTGGATAATGACGGTTATATTAGCAGCTAGTGATATAGATACTAGTCTATACTGAAATTGCAAAGGACATTATTAATTAGCCCTTCCATAATAATCTTGTGTCAAACATTGTATAGATTGCATTAGTAGTAGCCCTTTAAATAGAATCGGCAAACGACAGTTCTTCATTTAAAAGGTTTATTAAATTAACAAGTCTGATATTCACATTTCACCATGTTAGGTACAGAATGACCTACCCACAAAACAGATTATTTTCTCTTTCTTTTGGGCTGCAGTGATAACAGGTTCTGACAAAGTTTACACTAAAGGCTGGTGCACAGTACACTCAACTCTTGAAACAAGAGTTATTGCTATAGAAATAAAATTTTCGATGGACCGTGTCTAAAACCAGCCAATGGGGGGGATTAGACAAAATAGTGCTGCTTGAAACGGATATCACAACCATTTAGCTTAAGAAGTTTGCTTCCAAATGGCCATTGAAGAAGGTAGGAATCTGTAACATAAACCTTATATAATGGCTGCACTGATTTACAGCCTATGAACAGTCTTAAGGATGTAGTTTACAAACATCACTGCACCAAGACTGTCTTTGGAATTGGATTACTTAGATAATTAAAGGTAATTCACAAACAAGACATTCATAATAACTGGCATGAAGGCCACACTTCAGTAGACATTTTGCTTCTCTAGGTACTTTGAGCAGAATTAAAGATATAACAGTACCAGCCATAGTTTGCATTCTCATTAATATGCGGATTAAAGAGACTGTCTGCATGGGTAGTAAATGCATACAGTGTTCTAAAGTCCTACAGCTGTAGCCCAACACGCTTCTTTGCAATAACACTACTCAATAAACATCTTTATCTTTTACTAATGTGAAGATAGGTCTCCTTTTATATTAATAACAACACATCATGACACATGTCTATGGCACATACATCCACACCGCTGCAGATGATTTTTCAATATTTTGAAAAAGAAGTAAAAACGTACAATGTCCAGGGAATGGCTAAGCAGTTCTGCCAAACACACTTTATAAACATGTACATTGTCTCAGCAGCACGTAACGGTGCAACACACTTATTTACATTTTCATTCCTTGGCAGAATTAGAAGAACTGAGAAGGTTACGCAGATACATTGTCTAATTAATGAATGGGATTTTATCTTTCTGAATGATTCAAATAGCATTTACACTGTCAGAGCAATCACAATGTGGGCTACAATAATTATTAGGCATTATCTAGTCCTTGTGAGAGGTTATAACAGAGGAACAGCTAACTCTTTGATTAGAGACTGAAACTCTATAAAAAAAAAAAAAATACAAATGCATGGTATGCAATAAGGTCAGATGATGACTTTCTGTAACCATTTTTGTATTACAAGATGCATATGCATGACATGGGACAAATAAGTTTGCTAAACCCCCTAACAACTTACCTTATTTACAAATCCCTCATTAGGTCACCAAACTTTAACCCTTTAAGTACCAAAGGGTGAACAGAAGGTTAAATGAAAAAGCTATTTGTCTCTCCAATTGATGGAAGCAAGCTGAGAACACAATACAATAACTAGTTAGAAAATTTTCCACTTTTGCAGAATATTCCCAATTTGTACGAGGAAAAAAAAACAAAAAAAAAATTATACTTCTACATCACGGCTACATGATTCTGCTTATATATATCTTCTGGTAAGAGGTTGTTTTTACATACGATTTTTTGTTTTGTGTTTTTACATAACCAGTTGAAAATCTTATTTCTCTCATGAAACAGTGATCACAGTGGCTGAAACATACAGGAGCAAAGCCTCAAAGTAAGCAATTAAAACAGCCAATGAGCCTTTTTTTGTTAGTATTAAAACACTAGTGCAGCATTTCACCCAGTTCGTTGACATTGCCAGTGCAATGAGGACCAGTAAAGGCAGAGGTAATTATAAAAACAAAGGATAACAAAAAGCTTGCGAACAAAGAACTGAAAGAAAACCCTTTCCAATAACAGAACAAGAGTTAACTGCAGTTAACACCAACAACGTTTCTTGCATTCTGTCCATTTTACTCAAGAATATGTCCAAAAGTTAAAACAGCTTATTTCAGTACTGCATATGAAGAATCTCCATATGGTAAGAGAATTACAGTTCTCTTTCTAGTGAATAGCACACTGGCTTCTAATCCTCTTCTTCATCAATTTGTCCTGACGGGTGCAGCAGAGACATTGGGGAACAAAATGTATTGGTCCCACGGGTATTACGCTCCTGTTCAAGGCTCGCTGATAATGACGCCATGCTGAAATTCTGAACCAGTGACTGAGGGATACTAGAGGGAACGGTTAGGGTATGGCTGGAGCTCTTAAAGGTAATTTCCTGATTTGGCAAGAGAGGCTTGAGAATGCTGACCAAACAGAAAGCAGAGCCGCTTTTTGGAATGAAATTCACTTTGTTCTTATCAGGACAGTAGAAAGGTGGGATTTCATGAAGCGGTTTTGGCCTGTGAGAAGAAATATATATTTATTTATGTGCACAAACCTTTATTTTTTTTAAACAACTTGGATACTCAAGAAACAAAGCGAAAAGAAAGAACAACTCATGCAGCATTCAACATGTTGAATAAGAAATCATAGGTTCGAAATGCATATTCTCTGTCACAGGAAGTTATTTCTACAATCAATTACCAAAAGATCTAAAAGAAAATCCTGTTCAGCACTCAGTTATTCACTGTGAATTTTAAATTTAAGGTTAAAATATTGAAAAGATTCTCTAAGTCAGCTATGCTGTCAGCTCATGTGCTGTGGGCTAAAATGAGAAATTCACTTTGAATTCTCACTTTAATTATTTTCAGACAGGGTTAATAATTAGTCCAACTTCTCCATATTTAAATAAAAACACTGAGTGAGGAGAATGGGTATAATGTAAATGATCTTTCAAGCTCTCTGTGAGTTACCACTTACCCATGGCTTGAGTTAGTCAAAAATTGGTGACACTCAATACATAAAGGTCTCAGACACCCGTTTTTTACCCCCACTAAACCTACCTTATATACTCGAGTAGAAGTCGACCCGAATATAAGCCGAGACACCCAATTTTAGCACAAAAAAATGGGAAAACTTATTGACTTGAGTATAAGCCTAGGGTGGGAAATGCAGCAGCTACTGGTAAATTTCTAAATAAAATTAGATCCCAATAAAATTACAATAATTGAATATTTATTTAGAGTGTGTGTATATAATGAATGCAGACTGTGTGTGTTTGTATATAATGAATGGAGTGTGTGTATAATGCAGAGTGAGTGTATAATGCAGAGTGAGTGTGTGTGTATAATGCAGAGTGTGTGTTTGTATGAGTGTGTGTGTAGTGTGTATGTGTGTGTCTGTGGGCTGTGCAGGAGGAGGGGGGGCGGGAGCAAGCTGTTACTTACCTTTGTAGCAGCTCTGGTCAGCTCCCAGTGTAAGTCTCGCAGTCTGCGTGCCGCGCGGAGAGTTGCCACGGTAACCCATGGCAACGCTCTGACGGCTGCGGGTCTCGCGAGACTTACACTGTGAGCTGAACGGGGGAGCTGCTACAAAAGTAAGTAACAGCTTGCTCCGGCCCCCCAACAGGACCGCTGGGCTTGTAATGAGCCCGGCAGTCCTGGTCTGTATTATAGCAATGTAATTTGCCATAATACAGACAGTGACTCGAGTATAAGCCATGGGGGAGGGGGGGAGTATATACAGTATTTTTGTTTAAATAGGACTATGCTGGAAAGGGAGCTTAAACATAAATTGCAGACCTCTGCAACACATCAAAGGACCACGTATTGTGTGGGATAGGCATAAGGCTATCCTAGCTATAAGATAAGGTCAAGGACTAATGAGCGTATTTAGAAAATTGGGCAGACTAGATCAGGGCCGGTGCAAGGATTTTTGCCGCCCTAGGCATAAAATTTTTTTGCCCCCCCCCCCCATATGTCCTGCCCACCATGTGACATCACAACTCCCCGCCCATATGCTCTGCCATATGGGCTAACGCCAGTCTTCACAAAGTGTCTTTTATCTGAAAAGACAGTGTGTTTACATTAAAAAGCCTACAGGCACAGGCTATAGACACCAGAACCACTACATTATGCTGTAGTGCTTCTGGTGACTATAGTATCCATTTAATGTGAGGTAAATTAGAGATTAGTGCCACTAATAATATATTGGATTGCCTACTTACCACCAGATGAGGCTAATGATGGGCTCTGTCTGGCTCCACAGGTCTGGTGTAGAAGAGGCTCTCTGGAGACTGTTTTTAACAGTGCTCACAACAATTAACGAATAGGAAGCAGCTCCATTTTTTAGGGCCCCTTACACAGTTTAAGGTCTGAGCCCCCAGGGCTTGACCGCGAATATGCCTACAATGCCCACCCATAAATCCAGCTACATGGCCCACCCATGAGTTCTCTCACAGGAAGTGGAGTGTATGTGTGTAGGGGATGTTTTATGTGTTATTGTAGAGGATGCAATGTGTGTGTGTGTTCTTATAGAATGTAGTGTATAGGGATACCAATTTCTGTAAGGGATGTAGTGTGTTTATAGGGGATGCAGTGTGTGTTTGCGTGTAAGGAATGCATTGTATGTTTCTGTGTGTGTGTGTGTGTGTGTGTGTGTGTGTGTGTGTGTGTGTGTGTAAGGGGTGCAAGGTGTGTTTCTGTGTATTTAATTGAATGCAGTGTGTGTCCGTAAGGGGTGCATTGATTGTGTAAGAGATGCATTTTGTTTCTGTGTGTAAGAGAATGAGTGTTTGTGTGAACGTAAGGGATGCATTGTATGCTTCTGTGTGTGTGTGTGTGTGGGAGGGGTGCATTGTGTATGTGTGTAGTGTAAAAGAGAGGGTTTGTGGAGTAGGATAGGGACTGAGAGGGGAGCAGCTCTTTATTTTTTTCATAGTGCTCTCCCCTCCTGTCAATTATTGATTTACCCTTCCCTCCGTGTTCTCCCCTTCTGTCCCTTAGTGCTCTCCCTTGGCCCCCTGTAATCCCCCCTTGGTGGTCTTCTCACTCCCCGCTCTCCCCCTTAGTGGTCCTCCATCCCTCCCCTTAGTGGTCCTCCCTCTCCCAAACCCCTTTGTAGACATTCCCCTCCTCCTCCCACCCCCTTAGTGGTAATCTCACCCCCTCAGTGGTCATTATCCTCTTTCTCCCCCAACCCCCCTTTAGTGGTCCTTACCCTCCTCCCCTCTCCTTAGTGGTCCTCCCTACTTACCCCCCTTTGGTGGTCCTTTCCCCCCTTAGTGGTCCTCCCTCTCCCAAACCCCTTAGTGGACCTCCCCCCTCCTCCCTCAGTGGTCCTTACCCCCCTCAGTGGTCCTTCCCCCCCCCACCCCCCCACTGGTCCTCCCCCCTCCTCCCTCAGTGGCCCTTACCCCCCTCAGTGGTCCTTCCCCCCCCCACCCCCCCACTGGTCCTTACTCCCCCCATCCCTCTCCTCCCCCAGTGGTCCTTACCCTCCCTCCCCTGGTGGTCCATACCCCCCTCCCCTGGTGGTCCTTACCCTCCTCTTCCCTCCTGTCTATGTAGCGTGGCCGGGCGGCACGGAACGCGGGACAGGAACTTGTGTTTCCTGTACCCGGCCGCCGGCGGACTGAAGGGAAGTGCTCACTCAGGCGGCGCAGCATGAGGAGCCGCACCGGTGATTCCTGGTGCAGGGATCCGGCGCCCCCTGCTAAGGTGCACCCTAGGCGGTTGCCTAGGTCGCCCTACAGGTAGCACCGGCCCTGGACTAGATGGGCCGAATGGTTCTTATCTGCCGTCACATTCTATGTTTCTATGTACAAGTTATAGCTTCTGTAGAATAAGTCTATGTTTCCTTGTCAAGGAATCTCGACTACACAGCTACCTTTGTTGATGTTCATATGCTCAAATCTCTATTTATATGCATTGTTGAAGACGTAGTAAGATTTAAAAAAAAAAAAAAAAAAAGGATTAAAAAAAAAATATCTTAGGAAAAGTCTGCTTCAGACACAGAGGCTATGAAAGATTGTGCTTTCACATAGATATGCAAAGAAGCACAAATAGCTAGCAGATTTCCAACTTACATTTTCTGCAGGTTCCTTATCTATTTGAAAGCACAGCTTTTTATGCTAATGTTATTCCTAGGGCAGCCAGGAAATGGAGAAAGTCATAGCTGTCTGTACTCATTTTTACATTCCGCAATGCATTCTGGGAAAACAAATTGTGGAAACAATCTCTCATAGCTGCTGTACCTGAGGGAGATTTTCTCAAGGTTTGAGTCAGGATATGTAAGTGATGAACAACAGTGCATTATTGAATATATATATTTTAATGTATCTGTGATCATAGCAAGGACAAAAAGTGAGTTCATGATTACGTTTGTCAGTACTATGCAAAGCAAATAAACATTCTGTCCTAAACTAAATATTGGCAAGCATGATTATCTAATTCTGGTTACATACACAATCATATTGTATACTAGAGAGTATCAATCGAATGTTACATTTGGTCATCAACCTACATCAACTTAAAATTAAGATTTCTTATAATGAAAACCAGATGTGTATCGAATGAATCGTTACACTGAAATATCTTGTCTACAATGCTTTACAAAATAAAGTTTTGAAAAGACGAAGGTTGGCCTTTCATTATACTTCTATAAATTGCAGTTCTTTTCTAATTACTCAAATTGATACTTGAAGTCTGTATGTGCAGATTTGCGATTTAGAAACGTTGCACAGTCAAAGCACATTGCTGCCCAAGGTGTAAATCCATCCCAGGCAGTTATGGGCTGGCTAATGTAAACTCTGTGCATATTTGGCATCTGTTGTCAGGTTTTGCGATTTGCGATTTAGAAACGTTGCACAGTCAAAGCACATTGCTGCCCAAGGTGTAAATCCATCCCAGGCAGTTATGGGCTGGCTAATGTAAACTCTGTGCATATTTGGCATCTGTTGTCAGGTCACATATGCTGGTGACAGATGACCAATGCACCATGGCCCCCCTCGCCGTTTGACATTACCAGGGATGGATTGGGCTGCAATGAAAACTCGTGGCATTGCAGTGTATTCGCTCTCTTTCTTTTTGGAGAGGGGAGACATGCCAGCAAAAGTTTCTTGACCAAAAACAGTGTTTCAATAAAACACCATTTTTGGTTGGAGTAACTCTTTAAAGTACAATTACAAAAAAAAACAAAACAAAAAAATAAATAAAAAACCATGACATATCAAAACTGAATATAAGATATCAACTCCTTTGATATTATTTAAATGATTTAGCTAGAGCGGACAGCCTTAAATTCTAAATACCATGTTAAGTATAAGACATTATTTGTATAAAATAAAAAAATGTATGTAAATGTTTATACTTACGAGCTTTCCTCAAACACTTTTACTCTCTCACAACCTTCTGGAGGTTCTCGTTTGAACATGTAGCTGTTGTTTGGCTTTGGAGAAGTGGCATATTTAGGTAGAGGGGAGTGGTTTCCATTCTCTGCATTTAACAAAATAAATCACTGCTCTATTAATCAGCCCTACAGTAGGGTGGTTGAAACATAAAAACAAAAATGTTATCAGCTGTCACTATAAGCCCCCAAGTTTTAAAACAAAAACAAATGAAACATGACAAAATAGTGAAAAGAAAACCGACTTCAGCAACCACAACTTACTAGGTCAAGAATGTAATAGTAACTTAATACGGTATGTGTGTATCTTCCGAAACAAAATGAGACAGAAAAGGGCTAGCCAAATACGGATATACAACTTTTACTTCACTACACTTCTCTTGCCATTGATGGTACTTGCAGAAGTATTTCTTTGTGATTACTACTCTGGTACAAAATAGTGCCTTTAGAATTCCCACCCAATGGATTCATCAATATATTTATCAGATCAATCCAGCTTGGGCGCTTTCTAAGAACAGGGGAGAGGAGGTGGGAACTCGCACTGCGTGAACACGCTTCTATACATACAAATTAGGATTGGGGCAGCCAAGGAGTAAGTAAAAATGCTTCTTTGCCTTCCCATGGAGAAGGGGTAGTTTAATAACTCTAGAGATTTTTGCTTGTTGGTTTAGTTATACACTCATATTTGCAGAGATACTTTCTTATTGCAATGAGCATCAGTTGATATGGTGCTTATAATCTGTTTTATAATATTGTGTCACTAAAAATGATGCATAGAGCTTTGGATGCTATCAGTTTGTCTGACAGAGATACTCTAAACACCAACACTACAATATCTTAATGTAGAAAAGACAGTATTTACATTTGCACAAGCAACTAGAGGCATTACATCCCTAACTGTAAGATCTTGATATTCAAATGCTTTTGTTTGGCATTATCACGTACAGTATGGTGACATTTAACATGTCTAATGTTTATCACTAGACCCAAGATCAATATCAATTCGGATAATATCATGGAATGGAGCAGCTGTGAGAAAACTGTCCCGCATTGGATTAATAGCTGCTAAAGGATGAATCACATGGGGTATGTCTGCTATCAGTTTACAGGGCAGTTACACATCCTAAGTGGTCTGCAGGAGTGTATGGGATAAGAGTGTCTACATAATGATGGAGGGTTCTGACTGCAGATGAAGCACTTAATATATGCATGAAAGGAAATCTTCCAGACATGCATCTTCTTTATTTTCTATTATCTTTATAATGCATTTAAAAAGATGGGGGTTATTTTTACCCCATACTTTCACTTTAACTAAATGACTTAGACTTTTATGTCACACATTCCCAAAAGGAATATTATTACTGGCATTTATTTAGTAACATCCTATTTTTCAGTGCATTACAATATAATTTAAGAAACACTATAGTGTTAGGAATACAAATATGTATTCCTAACGCTATACTGCCCTGCTCATCGTTTAGGTGACCGGGCTCCTGCTGCCTTGGTTAAAAAGGCGATTTAAAAATTAATTTGTCTCTCACAGAACTGGTCTCCAACATTCTGTTCAGCCTCATTGGCGGAGAACATCAAGATCAAGATGATTTAAGCCAATACAATGCTTTCCTATGCAATAGCATTGGAAGCCTTGTGTGGGTGTGCGGCAAAATACTGTGCTGCACCAATCTCTTTGTGACCATTTGGTTGAAATAGTGGACTTTTACTCAACTATTTTGCAGAAGCATATCTTGTGTCTCTTTCACGGAACTTTAACAATAAATAAAATTACAAATTTTGACATGAACAATAGGTTGATAAGGTCGAACTTACAATCTCTAAAGAAGAGTACATATAAAGTGTATGACACAACAGGTGAGTGTACCTTTGTCTCGAGGATCTGTATGAGTGTCATCCACAGCGCAAGGGCTTTCTTCGCAGAACTCATTTGAGATTGTAATGAAGGAGGCTGGTGAAATAGACTGAGCGCGACTGCTGTTGTTGCTTCCGCGATCATTTACTCCTGGTGTCTGAGTGTCTATACTACGCAAGGCCAGAGGTGGAGGAGCACGGTGTCCATCAGGAATATCTTGTGGCTACAAAGACAAAACAAATAAATATGATAAATTATATAGCAAAGAAATGCACTTATCAAATATACTATTTATTTAAATAAAAATTGAAGGAAGAAACACACAAAAGCAAATTCTTTTAAAGTCAGATTTCAGCATTAAAAATATAATCAAAGGGCGGGGCCTGCCTGCCTGCCTGCCATGCTGGACGCACGCATCTTGTATGGGCTCTGGCATATACTTTCATAAAAAACAATTTTAACGAGAAATATAATATCCTTGCTGACCCCTACTAAATCTAGGATGCTCCTGAACCCATCAGGATTACTTTGGAGTGTGTTTGATGTCCCCGGAGGTCTACGTTTCTGAAGCACCGTGAGCAGGCTTGGTGAGTCCGGGGGAATGGAGAAGTGGACGATCTCCGCCCCTGACCTGCGCTGCTGTGTGATGCCCCGTCCCCTGCCCCTGGACCAACACTGTTGATCCTGGTCTACCCTCTAGAGGCTGCCCTCATTGCTGAGTGCACGCGGTGTACCTGCTGAACACGCAGCTGGCATTCAAGCATGTACAAGATGGTGGATGCCACGTGTCACTCTGACCCCTCCGGAGACACAGTTGCAAACCTGCAATGAGTTACTCAGGGCAAGGCTCAAACTGTCCTTGGGAGAACTGGCGCTGCAATCCTGCGAACAGTGACTGTGCACGAGGAGGACAACTTTCAATGCGTCTGGGCCTGAGTGGTGCACGGCTGCACAGCGTGGAGCCGATACCTTTAGCATTGAGCAAGCTGGGCTTTACAGCCCCCCGAGGGAATGCCTGATGCCTACATGAGACTCACCTGATTTCCACACTGTGGCTGTACAACTCTACCTGGGAAAACCTGAGCCTACGGCCGGGACCTCCATAGAGGGACTGTTCTGGGCCCTAGAGGGGCATGGACTGACCGTAACGATGTGTCACTGATTACCTGTTGTGAGCGATTACCAGCAATAAACCTACCGACCTCACCTATTCCTACCGTCTGTTTGGAGGGGCCCTATTAGTAAATTAGTTACCCGTTTCCCTCTACAGTTATTACCTGTCCACTTACCATTAGTGCATATTACCTGCCTACCTTCTACTATACTGATTACTCCAATCTTCACTATGTTACTCTTGTCTCTCATCCTGCTTTATATAAAAAATGTGCTGTTAAATATGTACACTTACCATCTTTGATAAGCTAATCCTGTACCACCTATCCAGTGTATATTGTGCAAACTTTGCTATTAACATGCACAACAAATATAAAGAATTTAAAATAAAAAAAATAAAAATATATATAACCAAAGTTTGTAGTCAACTACACTTGCAGGGCTATTCAATAAATTTAGAATTAGTGGGAATTCAAAGTTAATTTAAATGTAAGGTAATAATAGTCGATTTGGAAAAATTCTCCAGGCCAACTATGCTTCCAATCAGCTACTTTGGCTTTAAATTTGAAAAGCAACGTGAATTTCCAACTATTCTCACGTTACTGTGTAAATGTTTTATTTTTGGGGTGTTAAGATTTGGGACTATTTTACCTTTATATTTTTTTATACTTATTCAAATTCTGTGACTAGTATTTAAGATTTTATGGTGACATAAAATCTTTATTATAATTGTGCCTGTTGAAGTCTACTTAATACCTTATATGTTTTCATTTTATATTGGTTGCCTATTATTCTGCAGAGATCAAAATAAGGATTACATAATACTGTAGTCCAAAAGGACTTAGTGTACAATTCCTATACACAAAATGTGTATTTGCAGTATTAGAAAGCAATAGTTGTAAATACATTTTAATTTAATAACATAGGCATTGAAAATAATGAAATGATAAAATACAACATAGCTATATCCTAGTTGTTCAAAATTGTTTATTTATGGCACGAGTCTGCGTAGGAGATACTATGTGTCTAATTACGAGGTATGTAGATCCTACGATTGCTGTACACAAAGGAATCAGATTGCAATGCCAAATAAATATATTAATGAATAAATAATGGGAAAAATCAAGTTAACCAGGAACAGAAAATGTGTCACAATAACAAAAATTGTGGAAGAATAAAGTCAACAGCAGTGCAGAAGGTTAGAAAAAAAAAATCAGTTTTAAATCACAGCATACCTAATGAGATGTTAAAGAAGGCGACCTTTGCTAAAAGGGAATCCATCATTAAAAATATAAACATACATAACTGTAAATAATAAAGTTGAACACATTTTTAATTTAGATTTCACTGACCATCAGTTAACTACCAATTATACTTGGCACCCATTGTGAACTTATCTGCTCAAGAAGGCTATGTTTGCAGTTCCGCTGGTTTTTGTCAAACTGCTTCTTATCTCCTGTTTTTCTCCCCCATTTACGTCTCCATAACCTAATCTCTATCTGTCTGTCTCTTTTTCCCTGATCTTCCACTCTTCATTAGTGTCTCCTTCTCAGGTGTGACTATCTATTTTACCTCCCAAACCACGGTTTCCTTCTTCATCCATGAGTACCTCTTCATCTTCTCTCACGTTATGCCTTTCTTGCCCTAACACACTGCATGTCTCCTTCCCCTTATCGTATGTGTCTTCCCCCTACTTGTTCCTCTGTGCCCCACCTTTCACCCACTTTCTCTTACCCAATTAGGTCTTCCTTGGCTACTGTGTCTCTCCCACTCTTTAATTTGTGTTCCATTCCCACCTTGTTCGCACCTATCTCCTCTCTTAGCTGCACCATCATCTACACTTGTGTCCCAACACCAATGCTGCCTCTGTGCAAACCACTGCTCCTCACATGCCTCTCCATCTTCCCCCAGCCTCCCATGTGTTCACTTAGGTTATTGATCATGGACGAGGAATGTATTCCAGGTGCTTTAGGCTACATCAAATTCCAGTTGCTGTAGGAGAGGTAAGAGAGGTGGAATATGATATTACTCATATCCCTGTCTCCTTTTCACATGAAGAGGCCATGCAAAGCAAAACACTAGAGTAAATTACATTTAAATTGTGTCCCTTTTTATTGTGACAGCACCAAAGAGTTGTCCAAAAGGATTAATAGCTCACTTCCATGGTAAATGAGTACAAATAAATAAGCAGGGACTTAAGAGGTATAAAATATGATTTATTTACAACACTGAACCACACTAAACTTCATGCACCATGTATTTATATATATATATTAATACACAACAGATTCCCTTTAAGCATTATATCATTTTGAAAAGAAAACGCAAAACAAAAAACACACAAATCTCCAAAACACAACACAATGATCTAAATGTTAGAGATATTAAGAAACATTTTTTAAATCATACAGTACTTCGTGCTCCAAACTAAATCAAAACAAAAACAAAACAAAATAAAAAAAACCTTACCTTAGGGAGCAGATGCAGGAAACCCACTGAAATGTTCCCATTGACATCAGGAAGGCCTGACCATTCTCCATGCTGGGAAACCACAAGGATATATGCTTCAAGATGAATAGTGGAGCAACCCACCCTCCTATGTAAACCCATAGTATGGAGGGTGATATAAAAAAAAATGCTTCTTGATCTCATGTGCGGCTGAGAAAAGTGGATATAGAACCCAACTAATGGTAAGCAAAATTCAGCAAGAATCTAGATATGAATCCGGAATGGATAGTAAATGTACACTTACCATTAGCTGATCTTCTTTTTCTCCAGTTTCCTTGATGATAATCTCAATCTCCTGATTCAGTCCTTCCACGCTATTGCGAAATCGTGACCCAGATGATTTTGTGATGGGAATTGTCATAGGAGTCAGTACATTCTTTGACATAGAGCTCTGGAGGAGAAATATTTTACAATGTTAAAACAGGAACCATGTTTTCCCAGAATATTTAAATATTACATTTTCTTATCCCTATATTCAAAAAAAAAAAATGCATAGTGTGAAAATTAAATGCAGAACTCCACACCTTCATCTTACTCCCTATCAGTCATGGTTATAAGCACTGTCCTTTACACCTATATAAGTCAAAATAGAGACAGCAATATGTTCAATAATCTGTAGAGACAGGGAAATGACTGATCTCTCTCTCACTACTTCGAGGCCACCCAAAGTTTAGTTTACAGGGCATTATAAGACACGTAAAGCAACATTAAGGACAGCGTCTGCTGTAACATGGATCTAAATTAATAAATAAATAAATAAATACTGAATGAGAAGCACTCATGCGAGTGAATGGAATCTGACAGGAGCTTTCATTCACTTGTGCGAGTGCTCTAATTTTTTTTTCCCATAAAAGAGAAGACACCAGGCAGTCTAGGTGTGTACACATAGCTTGCTGTACATTCTGCAATATTGCCAGAACACTGTTTATAGCCACTCCTGCAAATATTTTTTGGATTATCTACTTTGTGTTTAAACACTACTCTCCTTGTTTTAAATATATACGTTTTAAATACATATATTTAGTATACTTGATGTGCCCCTATTATTTGGATTGCAACAATTTGTATTACCGTATATACTCTAGTATAAGCAGAGTTTTTCGGCACATTTTTTTGTGCTGAAAAACCCCCACTCGGCTTATACTTGAACGAGTGTCTGTATTATGGCAACTTACATTGCCATAATACAGACCAGGACCGCCGGGCTCATTACAAGCCCGGCGCTCCTGTTGGGGGCTGGCAGCGAGCTGTTACTTACCTTTACAGCAACTCCCTTCACCTCCATGCAGCTCCCTGTCAGCTCTGTTCTGCTCACAGTGTAAGTCTCGCGGTGTCCGTGCCGCGAGACTTACACTGTGAGCAGAACGGAGCTGACAGGGGAGCTGCACGGAGGTGAAGGGAGCTGACCGGAGCTGCTGTAAAGGTAAGTAACAGCTTGCTCCGGCCCCGCCACTGGACCACCAGGGATTCACAAAAAAAACAATTCAATAAAAAAATACAAATATTAAAATAAAATAATATTAAAATATAATAATAATATTAAAATTTAAAAATGTAAATAAAAATGCCCCCCCTCACCCAGTTTACACACACACACTGAATTCATTATACACACACACACTGCATTTATTATATACACACACTCTACACACACACACACACACTGCATTCATTATATACACACACTCTAAATAAATATTCAATTAATGTAATTTTATTGGGATCTAATTTTATTTAGAAATTTACCAGTAGCTGCTGCATTTCCCACCCTAGGCTTATACTCGAGTCAATAAGTTTTCCCAGGTTTTTGTGGTAAAATTGGGGGCGTCTGCTTATATTCGGGTCGACTTATACTCGAGTATATACGGTATATATATTTTTAAGATATCTATTTTTACATTACATTTCTGAATAAGTTTTCTAACATTACACTCTTTTGTTTTAGATATTTATATTTGTTTTATATGTGTTTTTATAAATTGGAACTCTTTATACACTTCCACTCCATGATTGCAATATTTCTAAGCACGTGGAATGCAAGACATGTTGCGTCCACAGAACGAAAATGGAACCTCCCGCCTAGAGAGCAAACAAGAGAAGTACATAGACGTCACTTCCTGAGAGACAGAAAGCGTCGAGGCATACAGAGGACCAGGGAGAAAAGGGAGCTGGACATCCTAAAAGTGTCCATCTACGTTTACCATCCGAGCCATATGATGTGAATGGCTCCCTACTTGTGAGTGATACTCCTAACCCTATTGACCAAAACATAACCTGTTCTGGCAATATTGCACTATTTTTCTGTCATTTTTTTATTTTTACATATTTATACCAGATTTTATACTTTCAGCTCCACCTTATGTATGTATTATTTGTATATTGTTTAGAGGTGGTTTAGGGGATAATACTCAAGGTGTTTTGAGCACTCATTTTAATTACTTCTAATTGTGCACTTTTTGTAATATTGCTGTACATTCTGCCATAAAAAAACCCAAGGGAGAGATGTACTTCCAAGAAACTAGTGCAGATGAGGTTTCTGGAAAACATAGAGCAAGCTGTACATTTCCTACCGTGTGCCACTTCCTATCAAAAAGGCATACAAGGGTGAGGAGCTAAAGAGCAAATTATTTTTGAATTTCATGATCAAGAAATGCATCTTGGGAAAAAAAAATAATATATGTTTTCCAACAAAGGCAAATGCATTCTTTAGATGATAGGAGTGTCCATTTTAGGTGGTAAGCAAAAACATGCATTATGTAATCCTTTGCCCTTTACTCATATTTCTAACTCACGGCTTTCTCTGACTGAACACAACAAGATATATCAGTTCAGTAAACTGAAATTTTGGTTAATATCTCCAGAACAGACTGTCCATTTAGCACAAGATATACTTGCACAGAATTGGAAATTGTGCATCTCAAGACAAGTGATATGTAATAAATCTAAATAAATACAACCACAAATTCCACGTTATCTTTATGCTCTAGTCTGCTCTGTGAATCTCAAGCAAACATTCACTTAAATGTAATGAAGCAAAGACACGAGAATAACTAGAGGAACATGGACTTGGGCTGGGAGATGTAACTATGTTTGAATTTGGAGAACAGAAGTAAGGTCACGGTGCTGTGGGTGGAGGGAATGACAAATGAGGATGGTGGAGAAAAGGCCAGGACATGATTTTCAAAGAATACTGGGTGTAAAAAGTAAAGCAGTAGAAACCAGAAGGTGAAAACAGGACAGGAAAAAAAGTGGGGGAGAGGAAGAATGGTGGGAGGAGGAGGAATAAAGATGGGTAGGAAATACATGCAACCGCAGCAAGGAAAGTTATGTTACTGATTAACAATGGCTATTATTTGCGTGTTTTACTTTTGCGTGAGGGTGAGAGGAGCTTTATTTTCTCTGTGCAATAAATATTACTTCAGTCTAGACTTGGGAGCAATACGGTCATGTTTTTATTTTTAATGAAAGAAGCTTACTGAGAAATATTTAGTGAGAAGATATTAAGCCCTGACACAAGAGGGACACTATAGTCACTAGTGCAACTACATGTATTCCAGGCCCTATAGTGCTAACACAACCATCTAGCCCCCCTGGGCCCCTAATGCCTCCATAAATATAGTAAAAATCTTACTGTATTCAAGCCAGTAAAGCTGTAAATCTGCATGCTGTTAGACTCAGGAAAGAAAAAGCAGTCTGCTGACATGTGGTAGCCTGATCCAATCACAGTGCTTCCCCATAGGATGGGCTGAGACTGACAAGGAGGCAGATCAGGGGCAGAGACTGACAAGGAGGCAGATCAGGGGCAGTGACTGCAACTGAAGGTGTTCCTAGCTTTCAAAGTAAACACTGTATTTTCCCAGAAAATACAGTATTTACATGAGAAAGGCGGCAGGGAGCTTTAGTTCTCACCTGAACAACCTGATTAAGCTGAAGTTGTTCAGGTGACTATATAGTGTCCCTTTAAGAAAGGTAGGGAGCAATGTGGAGCCTAGGAAAATGCACAGTACTACCATATTGTAATTAAACACTAAAGACTTAAAATATATTATTACTGCATAAAATGTAATATTACATATTGCTTTGAGACATAATGATTTGCATTTGAATCCTTAAGGATATGTAAAACTAAAATCATTTCAATATGCAATACTGTGTCAGAGAAGTATCCATTAATTCTCAAATATGGGAACACATTGTGTGAAAGAAAAAATATTTTAAATGTGTTTTATATATATA